GGGCACAAAAGCTGATACTTCTATAAATAACAATGGGTTTTCATGACTTTATCGCAGCTTTATTGGTTAAATTGTTTAAAACTATACGCAGATATATGTATGACATGTTTTAACATAAAAATACTGTTAATAATTTTATATATATATATATATAAATTAAACTTTCGTTATCAATATTTTATACTTTTCAATAAGTATGACATGTTTAGTAACTTAGTATTGTTTTGGCCGAAAAGAGAATCGGCCGAGAAAAGGAAGGGTACGATTTTGGTCGAAAAAGGTCTCACTCAAATATTTACGGCGCGCCGAGGCGTTACCGATCTCATTGTTGTTTTTATTTTTACCTTTTATGTTTACTACCAAAAATTATGCTCCAATTGAAAAATAACACGAAATCGATTTTGTTCCTTTCATTATATAGCCGCTGTTTAAGAAAGCCGTTTTTTTTTTACCTATAGTAGTTTTCATAATAATTATTAAAAATCAAAAAATACGATTTTTTTTTTTCAAATTACGGCACAATGATTTCGTTATTTTAAATTTTTACGGCTTATGTTTTCTTCTATAAATATTGCTCCAATAGAAAAACGACAAAATACCTTTTTTGTTGAATTTTTAATCTAGTTCATGATTAAGTTATTTGTTTTTTTAATTTTCTAGATAGATTTGTAATAACTGAAAAAAACCGAAAAATAAAACTAATCAATTTAAGGTGCTAAAGCATTCCTCCATTATACATTTTTATGGCTTATGTTTTCTTCGAAAAATATTACTCTAATAAAAAAACAACAATTAACCATTATGTTTAATTTTTAATCTTGATGAATAAGAAAGCTATTTTTGATTTTTTTTTTCCATAGTTGTATTAATAATTAGGGAAAACCAGAAAAAACGTAAAATAAAAATTGACAAATTTACGACGTTATGATTGGTTTTTCCGTTTTCTACCTAAAATATTGCTCTTATACAAAAACAATAATAAATATTTTTGTTGAATTATGTATACAATATAATATACAAATTACAGATAATATTTAATGACTCAGTTACTAGATTACGATTATTATCGACCCATTGGGGTGGCGTGCAATGTAAACCTTACTTACACTATCAATAAACTGTTCAATAAAAAAATTGTTTTTATTTTTCACATCCCCTATTGTCATACTGATTCATTAGTATATAATATTAGATATTCAAAATGCTTTTATCATTTTATATACCTACACAGTACACATATATAGTTTATATATAGCTATAGGTATAGTATACATTATATTATATGAGCTATGACCATGAAAATTAATACAACTTTACTGTACAAATTATGGAAACTGGAAACAATCTAGTGTTCAATACATATCGTTTACTCTTTAGAGCCATTGAAAACGAACTTCAATAATAATTAAATGCATTTTATATATATAATAAATAAATAATAATTACAATAACAATCTGAATACAATTTCTTCGTACAAAATATGTAAATTACATTTAGATTATTTTAACTATATCATATTTATTTATTTATTTATATATTTATTTTATTTTTATTAATTATGTTTAAGTATCGTGGGTACATCATAGTCATGGTAGGTATACAATGATAATATTATCATAATAATTTGCTGTCAATGATAATCGGTAAAAAATACCAAGAAAAAAAGAACACGAAAAAAAGAACAAAAATTTTATAACGTTAAATATATTAATTGATTATGAAAATTAAAAAAATGTTTGTTTAATAGAAGTTTTTAAAAATATTAAAATATATAAAATAATGTTCATGAAAAAAGTTATTTTTTTAATTATAAAAAATTATGTGAAAAAAAGTATTTTCAAAAAAGTTAAAACTTTTCAAAATAATGAGTGGTTGCAATAAATCTTTCTTTCCTTTCATTCATTTAAACCTATAAAGGAAAACCTTTCCATAATGCCATGATATTATTTCAGTGAATTAACATTAGTCTAGCAAAAGTCACTAAGGTGTCAAAGTGTTCTAGTGATATAATATGACATCATTTTTTTTCTCATGTAATAATCAATTATAATCATCGAAATTTTAAAATTGTTGTTCTTTTTTTCCGAACAAAACTGTCAAAAATTTTAGAAAAAGTTCTAAAATATTTGAAGTTTGACGTACGCCAAATATTTGATCGTTTGAACTGGGCTTAAGAGTTGTATTAGTAGAATGCATATAATTAAATACCTATAATAATAAAAATGGTCTATAAATTATCAACTATACGACAAATTTATACTAGAACCAATTAACAATATGATCAAAAATACACGACAAATTTATGCCACGGCCAATCTCATACGACCTGTTGACGTAAACTTATCAGAACATACAATACATAACATACCATTAGGTTCCCATTAAGTTACCTTGTAGCTAAATATTTTGTTCAATAGAATAGATCAAATGTATTGGATATTACAATGGCAGTCCAAAGAAATGTACCGACAAGGTAGATTAATATGACCGATGTACCGATAGATCCAGCAAGCAGCAAGAAAACTGAGTGAAATTATTATTATAAGATTAGGTTCCTTTTCAACAAGTTGATATTATAATTATATTCACCAAGTAGGTACACATATTATGAGCACCAATACCTCTATGACTTGTTATTGGCAAACGGCTGAATTCAATATATTTTACTACATTCATATGTCCGTAAGTTTTACTCTCTGGGAATGATCGAGGATATAAAATATATATATATACCCTGGGGATAAGTAGGTTTAGTTTTGGTGTCTATATGTATTATATAGACATAAATAAATACATTAATTATTAATAAAATTAATGGACAAGTAAACATTGTTGTTTTTATCCGGAACTCTGCGGGGGTGTGTCCGGACGAAGGTTGGTGCGAATGGACACGGGAGTATAATATAATATATTATGTAATATGTATGTTGACCACCCTTGGTGATGGATAATTTGTCAAAAATATAAATACTGTACCCTATGCGTCGTGCGTCGCGTAGAAATCGTTCTCTGACTACGTAGTATTTATGTTCGTGTGTCACTTGAGTAAACAGTGGCGGTTCGAAGAAATATTAATTATTTTTACTCGTGAAAAATATATATTTATAATTTACATTATATTATTATATGTGCGTGTATAACTATGTACAATACACGTGCAACGGTCTTGCGGAAACGTACATCCGTCACGTATTATTTTATTGAGTTGTTTTAAATACATACTGATACTTAATATATTTATTAATATATTATTTACCCTCAGCTAAAACACATCTTGATTTTGTTTTGAGTTGTTTAAAACATTCTGGAGTGATAACTTATAAGAAAAAAAATCGTGACCGCCATGGCAATACCTTGTATCTCATGTTTTTGTAATTGTTCGGGTATAATAGTTAATAATATTCTCGTACTCCAGTTTCTCCAAACTTATTACTTAATAATTATTTGGAAATTTAGAATAAAGTATAGCCGTATGGGTATCATTGATAATAATATTTATTGCTACCGCTTTTTTTTTAATAAATGAACGTTAAACGATCAAAATAAGTAGTTCACGTTCATGTAATAATCGATAGAGGTTAGTTTACCATAATATAACATATATATATTGTTAACAAAGCATCACTTTCAATTGAACTCCACTCAGAATCGTTTTTAGCTCAGACCAGTCTATACTAGTAATGAATGTCTTATCGATGAAAACGAAATGTTTACTCTGTGATAGATAGAGGTGATCAACGCCATCTATGAATAAATATTTACAACAATAATTCTAAATGTTTTTTACATAGAATAAGTGAAATTTCACTTATCCTGTGGTTTTTATTTTAACCACAGACAAACACAAGAAGATACGAAATAAATTTGTGTTAACTGGTTAAGAAAATTTCTTTTTCTTTGCGCTAACTTTATTTTGGTATCTGTTAGAAACGAGAATACTAGCTGTCGCATTCGTATATTAATATAATAAGTTAAAATATACCTATGTAAAAACTTCAGTCTTGTGATCTTTACATGGAAAATATCAAACATTGTTGTTAGTATTAAATGAATCATCAACTGTCAGTATAAAAGCATTAGTATTATCATAATATTTAGAGAATGATTTTTCCACAGAAGATAGAAAACATAAAATAATTTGAATTAATCAATGTACCTCTTGATTTCAAATTATTCAAAGCAGCTTCTGCTCTATTGCAATAAAAGAAAATATTTCCTTTCGGAAATAGTGCCACACGCACATATCGAGGAAAGATTTCTGGTAGAAATTGTTTTCACATTTATTATATACATTATTACACTTAATAAGACCTTTAATAAAAATGTAACATTTTATGAAAGTCTTTGTAAAAATATATATTTAACCACACAATTGTCATATTTTAAGTGAACTTTTTGCAACGAATAACACTGATTATGATTTAAATGAAATACACGATAAGAATATAAGATAAAGTACTTCACTCCAATCGAAATTGCAAAAGATATTGGTATATCAACCCCAAAAAAAGGGCCTGGTTACGATCAGATTAACCAAAAATCCTGAAAGAGTTATTTAAAAAGCTATTATCTATCTAACACACATATTTAATGCCATCCTACGCATGAAATACGTTCATAAACAATGGAAACGAGCCCAAGTAATCATGATACTTAAACCAGGAAAACAACCAGAACAAGTAACTCATACAGACCAATCTCGCTTATTCAAAATTATTCGAAAAACTACTTCTAAAACGCTTAAAACCGTTAATAGAAGAAAAACAGCTTATACCAAAACACCAATTTGGATTTCGAAATGAACACTCAACCATCGACCTGATCAATCGCGTCACAAATGTGATAAATAAAGTGCTTGAAGAGAAGAATGAGAGATTACCTAAAGAAGATTACCTTACCAATCCTTACCCTTCGATCAATCCTGTATTTACTCTATACAGCGAACATTCCAACCAACAACTATTCAACGATAGTCATATTTACTGATGAGATGGCAATAATGACAACAAATGAAGGCCAGCAGATTGCAACTGATTGGCTTCAAAGATCAATAAACGTTTCCAATTGGACGAAACGTTGGAAAATCAAGATTAACAGTGACAAATCTGTACACGTAAATTACACCTTGCGTAAAATGTCTATAAACCAATATTGCTAGATCAGTGAATCATCCCACAGAGTGACTTGGCAAAATATTTAGATGTGCACCTTGACACTTGACTCAACTGGAAATACTATGTTCGTCAGAAAAAATTCCAAATTATGAAGAAAACTATATTAACTAGTCGAAAGACACTCAGAACTGGACCTCGCAAGCAAACATCTATTATACCTATGTAATGATAATTAAACCAATAATTATGGACTGGAATTCAACTGTGGAGTTTGTGTCAACAAGTCCAATATTGAGATTATTCAACGTTGCCAGAACATCGCTCTCCGTATTATTGTTGCAGCATACCGGTATGATAGAAACGACATTATACAACGAGATATGATCACCTCCATCCATGACAAGATTACAAAGTTTGCCAGTAAACATGAGAAAAGTTTGGGTAAACACACCAATCCAGCAGCAATTCAACTAGTCGACATTTCTCAAGACATTAGGCGTCTCTTACGCCAAATACCATATGACTTAGTATAAAATTCTTAGATAAGACCAAAACCACTCCACTGGGAGTGAGACAACACATGTTTATTTTATTTTTCTTGTATATTGATAAACCACAAGTATTTATGAATACCTTTGAAATGTATTGTTAAAAATCTTTGATCGTTATAATAAAAGCTTTTGGCGGTTTAATAAAAAAAAAAAATATATCATATTGCATACTAGTTAATAAATAAATAAAGTTGGAAATTCATAGATTTGCAATAATATTTGTCTATTGTACCTAAATCAAAAACATTAAATCCACTTTTGCACAGAATAAAAATATTTTTTTTTTTATTATATAAGTATTAACACTAAATATTATCTATCTAAATTTAAAAATAAATTCAGGTATCTAAATAAAATATTTTATGCTACAATTACACGATTAGATAAATTTTAATTTCCAGGGAAATTAATAAATAAACATGAACAAATATAAACTTTGGAATAATTAGACCAGTAAATTATTAATATTTATCAATAAACAATTAAAATAATTATAAAATAATATGATTGTATTATTGTCATTATAGCTATAATAACCTATTACGTAAAACTATTATTTATTACTTGTTTCATCAACTACTTATTTGAGTCATGGACAGAAAATAGATTTCGTTACTAAAGAGAAGAAGAATATTGAAGAATATTTAAATATATTATTAAAGAATTAAATATTTTTTATCAGTAATAATTGTTTTCTGGTATAGGAACAAATTAGAAAACATGTATTATTAAACTGTGTCCCAAATCCCTTTTTGGTTACTTATATTGAATTATTTCAAACCAAGGATATAATTAAAAAATTGAATTAGACTCATTATAATTGGTCCCCAAGCTACACCCCACCGCAACCAATCTAAGAGTTGACCGTACAAAACATGAGGTTTTTCCCATCTGAATAAATTAAATGTTAAGGATATGTACAACATAATATAATAAAGATTAAAATTAAAATAAATAAAAAATAAGCATCTGTATTTAAACTTTTGGAAAAACAAACGTCTACTCTGATGGAGATATGATACTATCATATTGTACTATCTTTGAGTTACAAATGTATGAAAATATATGCAAATTAGCATTTAGCAGGGAAACTTTGTGTAAATAGTTTTTGTATTAAAGTAAATTGACGCATTATCAATCTTAAAGATTATAACATTATCTATGCAACACTGTCAATTTTTTTTTGATAATTTAATCTTCAAATTATATATATGTATTATTAAATTGTGATATTGCATATATTTACTTATTTTTTAGATATCTATTTCACTTAAAAAATAAAATATAAAAAAAAATCAATATAATCATTTAATTTAATAATAGATGTAATTCTCTCTAATATTAAAGTTAACAGCACAAAGTTGTCTCTGCTGAACACAAATTTGCTGTATAATTGTAAAACGGATACAACACATTTGAATATCACGTAATCTTAAAAACATAATTTAAAAATTATAAAACGTTTATGAATGTGCATCAAACTTTACACGTGTAATTTGAGATACTAAAAAGAGCAATGAAACTGTTTCAGAAAAAGAATATACACAATTATTTAATGTAGTAATATGTATAAATATAAAATTTAACACAAATAGCACTTTAGAAGTAATTTATAAAATTGGTTAGTTTTAAAACTGGAACAAATTTCATTAGCAAATTAATAATAACATTTAAATTCAAATTATTGTGAGCAATACATTAAGTAATACGAAAATAGCATTGAAGCTCAGTATTAGGACAATCGCCTAGTAAGTTTAATTCCCGTTTTAAGCGCTGTTTTGCAATTTCTACATTATAATTATTAATTGTTTTTCATAGTGTCCCATTCATGAAATGATTTGTTGCCAAACATTGCCTACTCTTTACTCGAATAAACTTATTTCTGTTTCACCGCAATGCACTGTAGTTATTTACGGGGTATGAAGTAATAATGCTATGGTTTCATAATTTGTACATATTATACAGTAAAACTTCCATATAACGGACATTAAATGGACCAGAAATAATGAACGATATTTAGAGGTGACTATTCATTAATTTTCTACAAAGGCATAACACTTGACAGGACAATAAAAAAAATGAGTTACATAGAGGTGACTATTAATGGAAGTTTTACAGTATTTTTTATACATTTCCTACAATTTTTTATAATGTCCAACTTATTGGAAAGGAAAAAAAAGCATTAGTTAAAGCTGCATTTGTTTTAACTGTGGACAATGACAAACAAATGAAAAAAAGGAAATGTTCAAAACAATGATTATTGGAGAAGATTAAGTACACATGAATTTTTTTAATTCATTTTATAATAAGTGCCTCAATGCCTTTATTTTGTAGGTACTTTTTTTATTATATCACTTTTTATGTTTTATAATGCTGGAAGATTTTTGTATTCATCAATAAATTTCTAATTAAATATAAAAGCCATTGTGATCACACAGGTTTAAAACCTTTAAATAATTTAAAAAAATAAGTAGGTAGGTAACTGAATGATTATATGAATATAAATTGTAACTAAATGTAAATCTGAACTCGGTCATTACTACAGTGTAGTATATGCAAACATGCAGTTGAAATCAATAATACCATACATGCAACAGATTTGTCAATATGTCACAGTTGTTATCAATTTTTCTCTTCAACCACGTTTGACAATAAGTATGTCAATATATCATTCCATATATGAGACACTTAAGGCAATTAATAAAGTAAAATCTAAAATACTACATTATTACCCAGGTCAGTGTTTAATAAAACGAAATGGCTGCTAGAAATCTAATTTTTCAGTCATATTTATTATAGACACCAGAAACCTATTATCTATTATGGTGTTTCATAATATTAAACTTATTTATTTTGATAATGTTAAAAACTCTTTTAACAAAAAAGGATACGGATTACGGAACATATGTTTAAGATCAACCTTTTCTTTACAGTATGGACATGTTTGTTTTTTGCCAACAATACACCAGCCTCGAATACAAAATTCATGAAATCTAAAATTAAATAAACAAAATTGTATTATAATTAGTTAAAAACAAATGAATAATTTAAAAATAAACTTACATGTGATCACATGTCAATTGGTAAGTAGATTCAATAATTCCTTCTTCGCCAGCATTCACTAAAATTTTGTTGCCACAAACAGCACAGATATTTTTATCCAAACTCCTAGTTGGTATTCCTTGAGGAGTATAATACTAATAATAATAATAATAAAAAAAAAAAAAGTAGTTGATTTATCAAAAAATAACTTAATTTAGTCATCATAAAGTTCATTTTTTTTTTTTTTTTTTTTTTTTTAACAGGTATTAATGATCTCTCAAATTGTTAATGTGTTTAATTTCAATACTTATTTTCGGACTCCAAGTGGGTGCATGCATAAATTAAAATAAATGTACTATAAATAGCTCAAGTTTAGGAAAAAAAAGTAATATATTTATTTTATACATTATAATATAAAAAGTAATATTATTGGTTAGAACTACATATTATATAGTACCATTAAACATTTATATTGTACCATAGTACATACACAACAGTTTAATACTATTGACTATATTATAATATATTCAATGATAATATTTTTAACGTTTTCACAAAAATAATTATCGAAGCAAGTTATTGAAATCTGCTTATAATCAAATTGAATGTAACAAAAATGACAACTACACTATAGTGTAAGTACAAAATATATAAAAATCAGCTTAAAATAAAGCTATGGCTATAGCATATGTACTCAGATGTTGACTTTGTTATCCCTGCAATCTGAATAATGACTATTCGATAACTTGGATTTCCAAATCGCACACCGATTGAATATAACAAAAATGATTGATATTTATTCATAAATATATTTATTTATATATTTATTTTATTTTTATTTATATCGAAAACACTGTAGCATATCATATAGGTTTTTTTTTTTAGGTACCTACATATTTTTTACACTCCATGGTATATATCATTTAATTTCTTTTTAAATTTAATACAAATATTTTATTATTGTATCTATGCATGATGTAATGTACTATTATCTCATATGACATATTATATAACATACCAATAATAATATAATATACCTATTTATTTTTAAAATAAATAATTATAAATTATAAATAATACTCATATGAATTCAAATTTCTTCTTTCCAAATGTTCTTATTTTGAGACAAAAATATTTACATACTTTATTTTTTCCACTATATATTGTAACTATAATATATTTAATTTAAGTTGTTTTTTATTTATTTTATACTCGCACTACAATAGAAGTCATTTTTTTTTCTTTCAATTATAGGCTGCAGATTTCAATAAATTGCTCCAATAATAATTTTTGTGAAAACAGTTTAAATATTATCACTGAATATATAATATAGTTATTAAAATATAGTGCAGGTACTTATTATATGGTATTATATACTATCATGTAGTACTAACCAATAATATTATTATTTTTTATATTACAAAATGTATTTAATTTAAATAAATATATTGCTTTTTTTTAATCCCAGATAGATCGAGCCAAGGGAAAACTCACAAATCAAATAAATGGATGTTTTTGACCATGGCATAAAAGCTCTAGTAAACACTGATAAGATCATTAAAAGTATTAAAGATATTGGGTAAGTGTATTTTTTGTTTGAAACAGAGTATGCTATCTATTGGGATGTTGCACTAATAATTTAAGTTTTCATTTTTATTTAATTTGTGGTCCAAGAAAGTAAGTGATTTTTAAAAGTATTGTACTTACTCCCAAGTGTGCAGCCATTTTGGAAGCACATATTTCAGCAATATCTTGTCCTAGCACACCAAAGTACAATCCATAATACATAATGATCAATCCATAATCTGTCCATGTAGCTGGATTAGCTTTGAATACAAAACTGATACCCAAGAAAGCAGCTACCATAATCAAGTATCCAGCAATACCAATTACATATGTTAGTTTGTAGACGAAATAGAACCATTTGTACACCAATCTGGATAACATTTATGCCATCACACTATACACAACACGGTGCAATAATTTATATTAAGTGCTCGCCTTGGCGACAAATAAAATAGGCGACAATATACATACCTGGGAGTTGATCCTTGTAAAGGTTTTTCCAAAGCTTTTTGAACAACAAGTCCAGTGATAAATGAAAATAATGTCCAAAATATAATAAATCTCCAATATGACAAATGAATACACATTATAAATGGTACCACCCATAAAGCCAAAGATGTTACAATCTAAAAAAACTTAATTAATAGAACATACAATTAGTATTACAATATAAAATAATATTTACTTGAAAGGATTTAAAATGTCTTCTTTTCCATTCTATTAGAACTATTTGGGCAACAATCATAGTAACCATTAAAATTAATAGCATTTCAGCATGCATTGATTCATGGCCTTTATGTGCTTCATGTAGCTTTCGGTGCTCTTCTCTAAATATTAAAATATATATTAATTTGTCATATTCTTTTCTATTTGAAGTTTTCCCCAATTACTTGAGGTTGACAAAATATGAAAATATGTTATAAATAAATTATATATAATATAATCATTAACTTCCCCAGGTTTTACTAAACATCAAAATGTTTATGTTAATTTTAAAATTATTATTAGTCTTATTTAGTCATGTTTCTAACTGTCACTATGACTGTGTATAACATGTGATCCAGTTTCACCATTTATAGGTAGTATAAGAGCTAAGCTTCCAACATTTAAACATTGGGGACTATGGATTGCCAGTTGGTTCAAAGCAACTAAAGTTGTCAATTGTTAAAAATATACTGTATATAGCAAAATCACCAAAGTTAAAGACCATAATAAGATGGTTTATTATGTCTATGTAAAAAAAACCATCACTAATATAATCTAAATTTTTATTATTAATATAAATATATATTAAACTGACCATTTTAGTTTAATAAGTATAATTATGAAAAATATAAAAAAAATCGAAAACAATTCAATTGAAATACACCAAATTAAATATAAAATAAACTATGAAAAATCTGTCTAATTTATTAATGGCTAATGTGATAAAATTGAACTTAGAATAAAAATTACAGGGTATAAATGATTTATCACTGATAGGTATGATACATACCTCATTTGTTCTTCCCTGGTCATGACTCTCGTGATATTTTTTCCTGTTTCAATCTACGATTAAAATATTTCATATAAATTTATCATTATTTCATTACTAGGTATTTAATTAAAACTTACAACCATTCCAGTTTCATTTGCAATATCCATCTTTACTTTATATTTTTTAGAAAATCACCAACACTGGAGAAACATTGAATTTATTTGTTTTATATTATCAAATGACTAGATAAATGTATATGGTATAATCTTATAGTAAAAATAAATAATAAAACAATTTAATAATTTCATCATACAATAAAAGCAAATTAAATATATATGATACTTACCAAGGTGCAATATAAAGTATAACAATAAATTAACAGTCGATTAAGTATATTGATAAATTGGGAACTAAAATAGTTATATATTATAAGGAAATATAATATTTAATAGATAATTATAATTGTACCTATTATTAAGTTACACAGCAAAAAATATCGGGTTTTTTTTTAATCAACCTATCTTAAAAATTATTTAGAAACCCATTTATATTATGCCACAGAGTCAAATTATTAATCAATAAACTGTGTAGCAAACAAACATGGTTATAGTAACGTTGTACCATAGACAAGAAAGTACTATAAACAAATTGTACTAAATGGATTTATTTTTATCATTATAAGATAAGGTAATTTACGGATTTTAATGTAAGTAGTAAGTAAATAACTATTTTAATAGTTTGAAAATTATAAAAAGATTATAATATAAAGATAAACCAATAATTCGTGCACTTGTTAAAGGGTGGGGAGCAGTCGTACGAAAATGATAGGATAAATAACGATAAGTTTAAATGATAATGGCCCGAAAGCATAATTTCTGTAGCTATTCTGCATTAGTACTGCAATATTTAGTTGTACATTTTTTTCGTCTGGGTTCTTCGGATAAAATTTTATTTCATGTATGATGTATTGTATGTTAATATGCGACCGGGCCTCGTTACCGAAAACTTATTATTTACAGACAGCTGCTTATCGCCCCTTATTCGGTATGATAAGGGTTTGATAATCTACAGCAGTGGTTTTCAACTTGAGGGTCGCCAAAAACCATAAATATTGTCTATACTGTACATCGTATTATTAAAGTTTTATTAAACGATTTTTGAAAGAGTCGTCTTAAATGAAAAAAAAATGAAAGGGTCTCCATTCGTATACAGTTGAAAACCACTGGTATACAGGTATACAAAACAACTAAATAGTCGACTTTGGTATGTCTAGTGCACATTGCCGCTATCGTTTCGTCGCCAACGTTTCACCGCCATTATTTCGCCGCCAACTTTTTGCCGCGAGATGTTTTTTTTTCGTTTGAAACCAAGCGTACCTTGGTTATTTTTCAACGTACGTTAGTATGGGCACTTCATATTAAAATTACCCCTTTTCTGATTTTTAGATCAAGTATATCTGACAAGATTTAGTCATAGGAGAGCGGTTTTAACGCCAAAACAATTGGCTTCGTACCTCACAAAAGTTCCCTCCATAGTTTGACACAGTAAAATCCCTTCCAAGAGAACTAGCCTGAAATTCGTCCGATCACCATTAATCTATGGAAATGGTCTCTAGATTACTTCTAAACTACTCTCATAAAATTTAGTGTCAATCGGAATAAATGGAAAAAGAAAATTTTGCTTCAAAGTAGTTGATGGGTCATTAATATTTAACGAAGTTACCCACCTCCCTAAATTTCAGGAAAATATACAAGAATAAGTAATAAAATTAGGAACCTAACACTTCGTAAATACACCATTGTACTTACCTACTTGGTCTTAGATAATAGATATAGGTACACCTTGCCAGTACCCTTATTATTCATAGAGTAATACACCGTATACTGTACACCGTACAGTGAAGTTCCAAAGTGTATTGATATCAATACACCTTGGATTCCAAAGATGACCGACTACTACGTCATCATACAACCATTATTATTATCACCACTTACAGCTTGACTTCACTACATTTTTTTACAATTTGATTTACATTTTTACGATTTTAAACTTGTCGACGTTAAGTAAATTGTTTTTCTTTTAAATTAGACTGTTGCTTATATGATTGGCTATGTTACGAACTATTTAATTTTCAAACCAAAATCAGGATGTTTTAATCTATTTAAAATTCGAGCAGAATATATTTTTAGGTATTTAATAAAAATATATTTTGTACGAGTATTAATTTATTTATTGATTAAATACAATATATTATGTTATTAAAGGTAAATACAAATAATATTAGATAGTTAAACTTTTTACAAAATGATATCTAGATTTTTATATTTATATTTATATAACAATTAAATAATTTAACAATATCAAACCAATCTACTTTCCAAATTAACTTACTTGTTTTGAAATGATGATCTAATCGATATTATTTTTTAGTAGATACAGATTTGTTATATACGAAACAATATATATCCTTTCCATCTGATTAAAATACTTCTTTATTTTTATTGTAAGGAGTAATCCAATTCGAAATTTTCCTTTTTAGAGTTGATTTTATTTTAGGCATTACATGGAATACGTTCACTGTGCGATCAAACTGATCAAAAAAATAGGTAGTAAGGTACCACCAGGTAAACGCATATGAAACGCTATACTACTACGTTTAATTTATAAAAAAAAAAATAATAATTACCACCATGTATATGTACAGACGCTTATCGCTCGATAGGCTCTCCAAGCTCCTAAAAAATTCCAGACGAACGATAAACGCCTATGATTTAAAAACGTGGAAAAATTGCAAACTATTGCAAAAAGTTTGAAAATTGAAAAAAATTGTATTATAAAATTAAATAGGCAGAATATTTTCAGTATATATCGGCTGTATATTTAATCAGATCTGAGTTATCTTTATTGCAAAAAAATTTGCAATATCAATTAAAACTAGTCTTTAGTTATAACTCATAAACGGTAAATCTTATATTAGTGTTATGCATATCAAAATTTCTAGAATAATATTCTCTATTACATCTGTCTGTAAAGGGGGGGTTCCTTTTTGAAAATCAAAAATATGTATTTATTTAAAGTACATGGCGTAGGGGCAAACATTTAAAAATTCGCTTTAAAGCTTAAACAATTCCATAATGATCAGAAAAAACAAATCAAATTTACCTAAAATCCTTTGAGATAATTACTGATTCATGATAAAAAAAAAATCACTCTGTATACATCACAATAAACAAAATATTATTGTTTATATTTTAAAATTATAATAGAAATAGGTATAAAATTGGTTGCGAGTATTGTAATCTGGGATTTTTTTTCCGGGGTTCTGTTTTGAAAAAATGTTTCTCTACCGCTAGACCCATTTTAGCTGCTTTAAAAAATGAACATATCTTACCAGCAATATATTTTTTTATTTTTTTTACATTTATATTTATTTTTGAATATGTTAATATTATATTATTTTTAAGGTTTTTTTTATGGCCAGTTCAACAAAATGTATTACCAGCAACATGCTCCATTTTATCTAGAAATTCGTTGATACAAACCGGTGTACCATGTTGATTCCGATTTATCATACCGGTATGTCAAAACGGATTTGTACAGTACACATCAGTACGTAGGAAGAAGATCGGTTAAGATGTTAATGCCAAATTGTTCATACCTGTGCGTGATATCGATTCGGATATTATGGTGCCGGTTTTACGAAAAATTCGTTGACTTGTAGTTGGTACAAAATATTATTATCACCTCTATAGTCTATAGTTTTTTGTTATTACATAGTACATTTTTCTATGCTATCACATTTTTCTCTGAATAATTCAAACATTACTGAATTTTTTTCTGAATGATTATTCTAGTAATACTAGAATGCTGAATGATAAAGTTTAGCTACAGTACAATTTGGATTACTACTAAATCCGCATGGTCATTAAAATGAAAATAAAGTAGGTACCTATGTAATTAATTTTATATTAATTATTAATTATATTTTCAAAAATATGATCATCTACATTAGACATTTACATTACATTTATGTTTGATGCCATTATTATTTTAATTGTTTATTTATTAAATAATATTTTTTTATAAATTAATTTAAAAAAATGTAAACATAACAAACATAGAAAAAAAATAATAACAAGTAAAACCTGACAGTTGGTCGGTTATTGGTGGTGGTGCGGAGCTGCCACAGTAAAAATGATAAGGTCGGAAGAATTTCAGAAGAAATCAGACAAAAAGATAATAGAAAACGAATCGGTATAACGAACCATATCGTCAATATGGTCCGAAAAAATTTCTCCGATTCACACTGATTTATTTTAAACACACCGGTTTGTACCAACGAATTTCTAGTATATGTTTTATTTTTAATTATTTACTAAAGTATATTATATATCTATGAAAAAGGTATTAACTAGTCAAAAAGCTAATTTGTTTCCGCCAATTGTTATTTCACATAGACCTTATACGTATATCCTAACGATTTCTTTTATACTAATAACAATGTTTTCCATTTTTCTATGTAAAGATCACAAGACTGAAGTTCATACATATATTATAACTTATTAAATTGCTGTACGAATGTGACAGTATTTTCTTGTTTCTAACAGAGATCATAATATATTAACGCAAAGAAAAGAAAATTTTCTAAACTAGTTAATACTTAATTATAAAATTTAAAATTTACTTTATATCTTGTGTTGGTCTGGTTAAAATAAAAATTCACTTATTCTATGTAAAAACATTTAGAATTGTTTTAATTATTTACTCATAGATAGCGTTGATTGTCTTGTACCGATTGTATGGGAAACAGTTCGTTTTCATCGATAGGACATTCGTTACCTGTCCATTCTTTCTTAGTCCGTGATAGGTAAATATAATAATGATTCCATTTTTGTGATAACGTTTTATTTTGACACAACAAAGCAGTCATATTCAAAGAATACGACATTTCTAAACACTGTCAATATCGTTTTATTATTATAAACAATTTTTCAAAAAAAATTGTATTATACAAATTATTATTAATTATTTGTATGCCCTTGATTGTGATACTATTGAAAATATTTTACCGAGTGGCAATTATCTTAATTTCTTCAATAAACTTCATATATTTACGAAACAAAACTTTAAAATTTTATTTTTAACCAACTGGAACGAACGCAAAAGCTAATCCCGTGCGTTTCGGTCCATTTAGAACACTGGTGTTTATGTCTATTAAACAACAAAGAAGATAAAACACCAGATTTACGATTTAAAATATTATAGATATTTAGGTATATTGTATACCTATCTTAAATCATAAGTTTAATGCGTCAGATATCTATAGATATTTTTAAAGTGTTTCTATTTTAATTTTAAAATATTCCATTCAATAAACCCATTCAAAATAAATACAAAAATAATTTTCAAAAAGTATACTTACCTACGTCATAAAATAGTGACGGTCAACAGGTCATTAAAACAGGAAGTATAAATTTGTACAGCTGATGGATTTGATGTATGATAAGGTTATCTGGATAACCGATCATTCAAGAATTTTATTCATATAAATTCATAATTGGCTCTAGTAGTCTATTCTATTTCCTCGTTAAACACTTTAACTTAAACCTTTGTTGCTCAACTACCTACATTATCAGTACAGACATTTTTGTTGAAGTGATTCTATTATAGTCTAATTTTAATCAATTGAACGTACAAAAAATATGGCCCGCGTTTTGGTTGGAGTGAAGAGAGTAATCGATTATGCGGTAAAGATTCGTGTCAAACCAGACAAATCAGGTGTAGTGACCGACGGCGTTAAACATGGGTTAAATCCGTTTGACGAAATTGCTATCGAAGAAGCCGTTCGTATGAAAGAAAAAAAAATAGCGTCTGAGGTAATCGCAGTGTCATGCGGATTGCAGCAAGCTCAAGAATCCTTACGTACGGCCCTAGCCATGGGTGTCGATCGTGGTATTCACGTAGAAGTACCACAAGCACAATATGACACACTACAGCCCTTACATGTGTCGAAGATTTTGGCAAAGGTCGCACAAGATGAGAAAGTCGACGTCATCATTGTTGGTAAACAAGCAATTGATGATGATTCTAATCAGACGGCTCAAATGACTGCAGCTTTGTTGCAATGGCCACAAGCAACATTTGCTTCTGAAGTTAAAGTAGAAGGTAACGAAGTAGTAGTGAAAAGGGAAATTGATGGTGGGTTGGAAACTATAAAAGTGAAATTGCCAGCTGTAATCAGTGCCGATCTAAGACTAAATGAACCGAGGTACGCAACTCTACCCAACATTATGAAAGCAAAAAAGAAGCCGATTAAAAAGATCACACCCTCAGATCTTGGAGTAGATGTTTCACCTCGAATGCAAATAGTGAATGTAGAAGATCCACCAACAAGACAAGCAGGTTCAGTTGTACCTGATGTTGATTCTTTGTTAGCAAAATTAAAAGAAAAAGGTCATATATAATGACCTTTTTTAGATTTTTTTTTATCAGGTTATATAAATTAAAAGTCTTGTTAACCGATTGTTTTGTGATATCCAGTCAATAATTGTATTGTTTTTATAAATTGTTGGTAAAATTGTACCCAAGTGTTAAGCTGATAATATATTTTAATTTATTAGTAATATATCCTGATTATAGAAATTTGATTTTTATTTTACCTGTTCAATAATAATCATTATTTCACGTCATATGAGTAACTAAAGAATTTTAATATACTTAATAAAATATAGGTAGATTGGAATTATTGCATACAACTTATTTAAAATTTATGCTAACAATATTCTGATAACTGCTTCCCACTAAGATCCAATTGTAGTGAAAATCATTGTTAAATGCTTCAAAACCACATAAACGTGATTAACTTATGGATTATCTGCAGAAAAATAAAAATTAATGAAGCAAAATTTACACAAGTAACTTACTTTGCACAAGCTAGACTCTCTACCTGCCACACTGAACAACCAAATCCTTCACACAACCAAAGACGTTAAGTATTTTGTTTACACACTAGACAAAATATTCACCTGAGGTCTACACCTAAAACTTAAATGTAACTCAGTTAACTTTAGATTTCAATTATCACAAAGACTTAAAAATCCCATCTCCTAATCAATTAACAAAAAATCTTTTACTTAAAATGATACCTCAGTCTAAGCGCCCATTAAAATCTGTTTATTAATCATCTATCACTAGCCTTAGTCTCTGACAACACACTAAAAAACTCAAAGAAATCGGTCGAAAGACATTTTGATCTAATTTTCTCTTATTAGTTAGTCGCGTATTACTGATGAACACCTATTCATAAATGTTACTCAATTGTTATTTCTTTTATTATATTTACTTTACTTATTGTACCAGTTGTCATAAAGATTGTAAATATTTTAAACCTTTGAAAAAATAATTGCAGTAAAATAAATAATTTGGGTGTTTGTATAACAATTTTCAGCAATCGGAAGCACAAAATTGTAGTATAAATTGTATAAAGAAATAAATGATATTGCATAATCAAAATAATAGAATGAAATAATAAATAACTTTCCATTGAAATCATGTAGAATTCATAGTGTTTGATGAATTGTAATTTCCTAATTCTAAAAATTATTAAGATATCAAGTTTAGTTTTTATTGTTATAGATATTATGGTGATCCTAATTTTTCAATGTTGAATTTTAGATTCTGTGCGAAATTAGGAATTTATTGGTTTTATAATGATGTTTATTTTTTTTCATCTGTAAACAACTTTTCTACTAAAAATCTTGTTCTAGTGTAGATGGTATACTTAGGTCATTTTTTAATTTTTCAAGCAGTTTTCAAAATAATTGGGAAAATTTACAAAATGTATTATTTTAAATTTTGTTTTTGTTGTGATTCAGTTAAAAGTAGGTTCATTATAATTCATACTTTGTGGTCAAAAAATAATTGAATGTAATGTAGACATTTTTTTTAGGAATTTTAATATAAAATTTTGATGAAAATCATAAATATTACAGCCTTTTAAAATATAAGTAACCAAATTCCACAAAATTGTTTTTCATTAACAATCATTAAATGTTGGGTACAAATATACATTAAATTTTCTTCTATATTATCATACCTGTTTAATTTCTCACTTACAACAGTGGCCCACCCATTGTGCGAAGTATATATTTTTTTGTTTGTGTTGATTCATCTATATAAGTTCCAATATGCAAAATAAAGTATGAATAATTTTAAGTTTAACCTATGCCCCTTAATCAGATTTTCTTCAAAATATTTGGATTTTTTTAAATTAAAAATGTTTAGTTAATACTTTGTTATATTCACTTTGTATAATATGCATGTATTTATATATTATAATATAATAGGTACATTTTTGGTCTCAGTATTTTATTTAAAATAAACTTCACAAAACACAAATATCTCAAATGCTTTGCAACATGCAAGGAGCATGATATTCTTCCAAGGAACATTCCAATGAACACAATTATGAGTGATTTATTCACAATAAATAATTTCCGTGATAATGAATTCATTCAAAAAAATTAATAGAAAATGATAAAACAGAATTCAGTCATAAAACGACATTCAGTCGATTATTTAATTTTTCATCAACTTGAAAATGTCTAATTTGTAATGTTAGTCTTTAGCCATACTAATTAAATTTGTTGAAATAGTGGGGCATTTGTACCAGAAATTGTATCAAATTAATAATCTGACTCAACAAATGAACTTTAATGTCTTTACCAAAGTACAATAAAAGATAAAATAACTATCCACTATCAACGATAATAAATGTTAATATGCAGTCAATTATTATTTTGATGACTGAAGCAAGTTCACTAAAATCTAAAACTAAATATAGTAAATAAATGTATAAATGAATGATTACATGGCCTGAAGTATTATGAGTATTATGATAACCGGTTTCAAATTAAAAATTCATCATCAGGTATATCTCAGTCAGTTGAGTCGTGTTTTACATTTCAAATATGTAATATTTATCAGGTATGATATACCTGATGATGAATTTTTAATTAGAAACAGGTTGTATAATATACTTATCATAATACTCCAGGCAATGCAATCATAAATTTCATTTATTTATTGTTCATTTCTATACATACATTTTTTGTTTATATATTTATTTATGAGTATTAACCATTTTAATAATTTTGTTTTTATTTAATTATTTTATCATTTAAAACTAAATATTATGATTATTTTAATAAAAACATGATTTTAAACATTTAGAGCTTTAAAGAATGGATTAAATTTAATCAATCAGTATGATGTGTTGTATAAATTATTGGTGGAGATACTTTTTGAACCTTTATGTATGTAATTTCAGATTTCAAACAAACAAAAATTTCCTTGTGTTATATTTAATTTTAGCTATGAAGTTATTTTGACAGAAGTATTTCCTCATCCACATAAAATAAGGTATTAGTAAATGCAATGTACAATAAGAAAAAAAAATAATAATTTGATAACATTAATAAATGATTATACTAAGGTAAAGTAAATACTCTTATTTATAAAATGTATGAGTTGTAATTGTGGAAATTGCAAAATAATTTGTTACTATATTATGTGTAAGATAGACAGAGAAAACAAATTGTGTGTAGAGGCTCCTTAATCCCATTATTTTCTAGAAATATTGTTCATTTAAAAAAAAAAAATTGTGGAGGCTCTTTAATACAGTTTTAAAATTTAAATGATAAAAAATGATGAATAAATAATATGGACTGGACAACAAAAATTTGTATTTGATGTTAAATGACTAGGTATTTCAGTTAGATATCAAATTCTTTTTTATCCGACTTGTGTATTGTTTCAAACTAGATAAAGCTGCTGTGCTTGTTACAAAACTACCAGTTGGATTTCTAGGTCTAAATAAATTCAATAACTCATTTCTTTCAGCTGCTTTTAAACCCTATAACAAAATTGTTTGTAACAATTAATTAAAAATGTACATACAATGTAGATTAATAATAATAATAATAATAAAATACCTTCATTTCTAATATTTTCTGAAATTCTGTCATATCGGATTCTGGTAACAATTTTAAATACTGATCAACAAAAGATGTATAGTGCTTCATAGTAGGCGCCATTACTAATTTCAATATCATTTCTGCTTTTGTCATCCCTTTCACAACTACCTTTGTATAACTAAAATATAAAATTGATGAAAAATTGCATAATATACAAATAAATATATACAATAATAATAACTAATAATACATTTTTATTACCTAGCAGGAGCTTTCCTGTTATCATCAAGGTTCATTGATGGTAAATCTAACAAAATAGTTTTTAGTGAATGTGTATCTAATAACAATTGTTCAGCACCAATATTTGATAGTGGCTTGCACTTATATAAATGTTGTATGAATTTTGGTATGAAAGAACTAAAAAAAATAAATTATTAGGTAGAATATTCAATTTTTTTAAATAGAATATTTTTTTACATACTGTTATTATATTAGAATATATAACAAAAAGTACATAATTTAATTTTTACAAAATTCTCTTAAAGGATAAAATATTATTTTAAAAACTTACTTTGCAAAAGTAATACAGAACTTTGTAAAATATTTTCTAGATGTTGATAAATATGTCCGGACCACAGGGACAACCGCTCTCAAATGTGTAGTCATAATAGTAACATATTCACTCTGATCACCAACAGCAGTGATATTTTGCCAAGGAACCTTGAAGAAAAATGTTGTTAAAAATTTAAAGAATTAATGTTTATGTATTATTTAAATATACTTTAAGCATATTATTTAACGCAGGCTCTAAGTCAGCTTCTAAATACTGAACTAATATGTTAATGGACATGAAAATTATGCTGAAACAAAAATAAAATAAGCATTTTACTTATTTTGAATTCCCTATAGGCTTTATACTTTTGAAATGTATCTTGTTCATTAACCATGCTAATTTTTCCTATTAAACCAGGATCAATTTTTTCTTTTAACTTTTCTTCCAACTGTTGTGTTGTTTCCATACAATAATCAGCAGTAGTTAATATACTAGGACCAAAATAAAATACATATTATGCATACTATCGGCAAATATACAATTTTAAGCTTAGAATTAGTTTCTTACCAACATATTTTAGCTAATTCTTGTGAAGTACAATTTATATTTTTAACACTCGCATCAGTCATTCCACTTGGAAGAAGTTGTAAATCTTTTATTAAATCTTTAGTAAGATTAGACATATTTGTTGTTAAAGAAGTAGCTGGATGATTTATTCTATAAATGTAAATATATTTTAATAATATTTTAACAACATGTTAAAGTTAACATAAATTTTATACTTAGGAAGATTAGCTTCTAATATTTTAGTTGCATATTCTTTTAGATATTTTTTAAATACTATTGCTAATGCAAGCATTGGATTGTGGTTACTGAGTTCAGTGCATTGACCTAGAGACTTTTTATAAAAAAGGAATAAATCAGCACAATTTGGTAGAACAGTAGCAGTTTGATCATCAATATTTTCTTTAGCTAGTGTTATCTTAATGTCATTCACAAAGCGTTCAACCAATTCTGATAGGTTTCTTAAAATATAAGGAATTTAATTTCATACATTTTCTTATAAAATCTTATCTTTAAATTTCAGTTATAATTTCAGTCAATACTCACTTATCAACACTATCAATATAAATATAAAGAAATGGTTGAAAACAATCACTTATCAAACCATAGAAAGGAGAAGAATTTTGTTTTGGATCGTTTCTCTGACTTTGTGATGGAATATTTCCTAATAAATCATCAGAGATTTGTAATTCTTCTGAAAATGGCTGAAGAATTTCTTCTATTTCAGTGTTACTGATATTTGATGGTTTCTAAAAAAAAAACAAAAGTAATTAAATTACAATTGTATTTATTATTAAAATAAGTATAAATAAATACTAACAGTTTTATTGTTCAAAGATTTTTCATCATTTTGAACTACAGTACTTCCATTAAAAGTTTTAGCCATCAAATTTTCAAATGCAACTGTTTTTTGAATAGCATACAGTAAAAGTTTAACATCAATCTCATTTTTTCTTTTACACATCAATTTAGACAGCTCATTCCTACAAAATTCTATTTAATTATTTAAGGTTCTAAACATTTTTAACTTACAGTTAATGTTAAAGTTTATATACTTTGTGATTTTACAAAATTCAACAGCAATTCTTTCAGACAGTTCCCATTGAATAGGAAACATGGTACCAAATTTCTCTTCACACTGTAAAAGTTGTCGTTTAAACCAAGCATAACGCTGATTAACTTTATCTAACCAAGCTACATCTTCTGTACTGTCAAATAAATGTGTATACTCAGATAATTGAAGATCTATAAACCATTCTAATAATTCGGCTCTAAAAAATAAAGTGACTTTTTATAAAAAGAATGTTTACTTTAAGTAATACTTTACTTGACTTTGGGTTCTAAAATTGAAACAACTAAACATGCCTCAGCCATCTGTCGATTGGGTACAAAATTTTTTGCATTAGGCCCAGAAAAAGCTTCACGGAAATCTGCCATAATTTGTGTTGCTAGTGATTCCTGAAGTTGTTTTACCTGTAAATTAATGGTACATAAAAATAGGACAAATAAATAAAAAATGAATTAATAGTATTTACTTCAGTAGCTAATTGAGCAATATGTGGTATATCTGTATAGTTCTTAAAATTTTTCATAACATCAGTTACACCTTGCAGGGGCATGACAATTTCTCCATATTTTCGTTTTGTTGTTAAACCTCTATGTAAATTTATATATTAAAATAAAGTTTTTTAAAAAAAATATTATATACATGCTTAATACTGCTAATATAGGTATATAAGTATGAGTGTTAATAACGTACCTAAGCGACTCAATACCAGAAACAAGCATATGTAAATTATTTAATGTTGTTATGGATGTAGTGAGATTCTTTTTAGCACAGTCTAATTGTTTAATATCTAATGTAATTTCTTTAACGATTTCTTCGCTATGTTCAGCTTTTTGTTTGATCTCTCTTATTTGACTGAATAGGTGTTTAATATAACGTTGAGCTTCTTCAAGCTCAGCTTTACCATCCTAAATTAACAATCATAATATGGTAGACAATATATTTAAATTGTAACATTAACATTACCTTATTAACTTCAATTTGTCCTCGAATAACTGATCGAATATCATTATCTATTGAGTCCACTTTGCATTCTAGTGAACTAATTACATCATCTATATTAGTGAGTGATTGTTCTGTAGGAAACAGGTTGTTAATATAATCTATTGTGTCGAAATCAGGCTTATCTAATGGATCATCACTTGGTAGTATCTATGATCATATTATAATACATATTTGATATAAAATAGTAAAATAATAAAATATTATAAAATTTATACCTCGTCTATTGCTTTTTGTACTTCTGCTGAGTACACTAATGTTTCAGTATTAACTACATCATTGATTTCATCATCATTGGTTGACATAATTTAAAATTAAATTAATTTTAATATTATGTGCAATATTATCCACAGAAAAGAAAGACTGCTCAATGCTATAATTGATCACAGATATCTATATGGTTATACATATATATAAATATATTGTCTATATAGTATAATATAGATATCTGTGTAATTGATGTGACTATTTTTTAGATGAATGATAATAGGTATTACAGTTGTTGCTTTGATAAGAAAAATTAACAATATGATTGAGGGTTGATTAAAATCAGATCAATACCAAATACCAATTTTACCAATATAATCAATATTTTGGTTAAGTGGAGCAATTGAATACAGGAGTTTTAAATAGAATTATATGAGACTGAATTAAATAAATGGGAACTAGTATCAGCATAAGGCCGACCGCTCACCTCAAGAGGAAAACTGTATTAGTCATCGATAGTCATTTCCGTTTTAGTCAACTAAAAGCAATTTATTTTTGTGTACAAAAATCAGTAGATGTTATCTGATGGAGATGTTGCATTTTGCGCGTGGTACACATTATAAAATTTAGAAAGAAATGATAAAAAAACAAAAATTATGGATTCACCCATTAAATAAAAAACGCAATACTCACAATGTTATTTTATCTTTATTATGCGAACTGCGTTCAGAAGAAAGTAAATTTAAAAATTATACACGTAAGTACTATCACATTTGATTTCATACTGAAAGAAATGAAAGGAGAAATAAGGAAAGAAGATACATATTTTAGAAAAAGTATTTCTTTAAGGTTTTCTTTCTGTAAGGCTTTTGGTTAGACTGAGGTAAAAAATGTCTAATTGTTTTAAAAAAATTATTTTTTATTTTATATAATAATACTTTTTTTTATAGTAAATGTTAATTTTACTTATAGTTTATATTATTATTATATTTTATAAATTTAAAAAAATCTATAATTTGAATGAAATTTGTTTGACTCCCGTGTGAAGACGAAGATAAATCTGAAGCAAAATCACTGTAATAATTGATTACATGTTGATTTTGATTAATAGGTTGACATAAAGTTGGATGTAAATTCACATTTCGTTCTGTGATTGGTCCGGCTTGATATAAATTAATTTTCTATTCTCCAACTGGTGTTATAAAATATATATTATTTGTATTGTCTTCTTGTTCGTCAAGATAGCTGTTTAGTGTTCATAAAACTACGTTTTTGAATTTCCTTTGATTTTTATCATTAAGTTTTTTATAGTCTGGAATAATGCTTATAAAGAATAACAATTCTGAGGGTTCTTCAATTGGTGCTGGCTTGTTCTTGATTTCAAAAATTCTATCATCGGTTCTGCTACCTTTTCACTTGCTGTTGTTTTATATGGATGTTTACATAAAGTCTGATTTGGTTCTTTAAATGTTAGTTCAATAATGTATTGTTCTCTCTCTATAGCTGTTTTATCTACTATATTGTCTTCTGTATTATCTATTACTATTGTATCATCTTCCACAGACTACGATTTCTTCCAATTTCTTCGATTTAATTTAAAAAGTTATCATTAATGTTGCTACCCATTTTTTATGTTACATCATGAAACTAGTTAAAAAAAACTCATACTGTAAAAAAGGTACTATTTTCTTTTTTTAGACCCAGCTGACCCAGTTTTTTTATTTTTGAGTTTGCGAAGTTCCCTTGCAAACGAATTGTGAAGACTAGTCCATTTTTGCATACCGACCCTATAAAAACAAATACAAATATTTTACAAAAAAAAATCAAAAATCCTTAATTACAATTTTTGTTTTGTTGTTATTATATTAATCATAATATTTTATTTTATTTCACTGATTTTTTATATTAGCATTTACCTACTATACACGATACATTTTGACTTTTATATTAATATTTTGAGTTGTTTACGGACATTTTCAGTTTCCAAGTTTTTAAACTTTTTTATAAATGTCAATAAAATTGTATTCGTTAGGTCAAAAAGCTTGAAAATTTAATACGAGGCGCCTAATATATTTTTACAATAGCAGTTGAAAATTATAAAAAATACCTAAGCACAATTTGTTTTATAGACATTTAATAATCAAATTTTGAATACAACTTATCACAATTATTGTATTAATTTGAACATATTTTATTTTTTAGTTTTTGGCTTCTGGTGAATAATTTCAATGCATTCATTATAATCTTAGATTAGAAGCTACCACTGCGGGTAAAATTGTTAATGATACATGTTGTGCAATATGGAAAATACTGTATCACCACAGTTCATGCCTCTACCTTCAACTGATGATTGGTTGAAAATTGAAAGAGAATTTGAGGAATGCTGGAATTTTCCTAACTGTGTTGGTGCATAGATGATAAACATATTGCTATTCAATGTCCACAAAATTCAGGATCTATTTATTTCAATTATAAAGGACACCATTCTATTGTTCTTCAAGCAGTAGTTGACGAAAAACGCAAAATGTATTTTCATAGATGTAGGTGATTTTGGTCAGAACAGTGATGGAGGAATTTTAACAGAATCAAATTTTGGAAAATTATTAGATAACAACAAATTACTTTTATTAATCTATACCATTATATAAAATTGTAAGGGTTTTTCTTCGACCGCGCTAACCGAGAAAACTACTGGACCGATTTGGCTGAAACCCGACACTCTGCTGAAGGTTATAGTACCACTTTTGTCAGTAAAAAATAAGTATAAAGTTCTTGAAAAATTAAAAAATTGTCTACCCATATTATATACGTATTGTGCGGCACGCCGGCCAGCGGGTTTACAGCTACCTGTAACTTGACCTTTTTTTTGTATCGTGTTTGATATCGGCGTTCCGAGAAGTATATCGCACTTACACCGACAACACGTATACCCAATATTCATATCTATACTATATTGTTATTATTATAACTTCGTTATCTATACTATTATATAAAATTGTAAGGGGTTTTCTACGACCGCGCTAACCGAGAAAACCACCGTACCGATTTGGCTGAAATTTTTTACCGTTGTACCCGACACTCTGCTGAAGGTTTTAGTACCACTTTTGTCAATAAAAAATAAGTATAAAGTTCTTGAAAAATTAAAAAATTGTCTACCCATATTATATACGTATTGTGCGGCACGGCGGCCAGCGGGTTTACAGCTACCCGCGACCTGACCTTTTTGTTCGTCAAATTGTATCGTGTTTGACATCGGCGTGTAGGTACGAATTGTTCCGAGAAGTTTATCGCACGCACACCAAACAACATGTATACCGAATATTCGTATTAATCTTTATCTATATCTTTATATATTTATATCTACAATAATTTCTCAATTCTCTTTCTCCTTCGGGATTTCCTCTTCATAAGCTAAAATTAAAAATTGGTACTCCGATTACATTATTACGTAATCTTCAACCACCNAGGAGCCGTCATTCTTACGGGGCCGGCAAAAGGAGAAATTGCATTTATTCCAAGAATTCCCGTGATTCCGTCGGACTTGCCGTTTCCGTTCAAACGGCTTTAATTCTCTGTTAAAGTTTCTTTGGCAATCACGATAAACAAAGCTCAAGGTCAAACATACAGGTACGTTGGCGTAGGTCTTCGAACACAGTGCTTTTCACATGGACAATTATACGTGGGATTTTCTCGAACTGGGGACCCGAAGCATCTTATGATTTTAATTTCAACAGGAGATAAAACAAAAAACGCCATATACTCAGAAGTTTTATAAAATTTTTTATCAACCGTAAATTACTCAGCATTTCTTTTGTATCTGCATTCATTTTTAGTAAAAATATATTTGTCATTAATCCCGCTTGAAACATTTCAATACGTTTTCATTAACCGTTTTTTTTTTTTTTTATATTAATTTGCCGATATTATTAAACGATAGAATTTGATTAAAAAGTTCTATATATCATTATCCAAAGGCAAATTAAACAACCAATCACGGGTGAAGCCGTGACGGGTCGGCTAGTATATAATATAAAATTATAACTCAAGTTGCTTGTGTACTTCACAATTTAATCATGGATAACGAACATAATTTAACTGATATTCATAATGAAATGGAAACAATCTTTTCGCAGTTATACCAAGAAGATGTCAATAAATCTACAAATCACAGATCGTTAAGAAGACATCAATATCCATGTTTTCATGGATATTGAAAAGTTTATGAAATATTTCAACTCAGAAATAGGATCAGTTCCATGGCAAAATGTATACATTGTTAATTAAAGCTAAATCCGGTTTATTATCATATAATAAATACTACTACGGAACAGAGTAATAAACATTTATCAATAACTATAAAATATTATAAAAATATTTATGAAATTCTATTATTATCTCTTATTTACAGTTATATTTAAAATTTTAAATATATTAATATTAAAATTACCTTCAACATTCATTACTTTGCTTATTTCTTCCCATAACCTCTCTTGAACAATTTTATTGCTATGCTCCTTGTTATTAAAATCATAAATAGATGGTCTTACTTCCACTAAACTAATATTTCTCCATCACAAGTCATTATTATAATAATAAAAAATGAATTGTATTTGAATTGAATACAATGTACGAAATACGAAAAACACAAGAAATGTTTAGTTGTGACTAGCGAAAGGTGCGTATGTAACAGAATTCCCTATGTTCCATTTTTAACAAAACTTTGTTGGGCTGACTAACGCTGCTTAAAGCAGTTTTGCTCTTTTGGTGTGCGGCCAGCCTAAGTGTACTATGATAAAATGGTACTATGTAGGGTGAAATCATTGATTTATAAGTAAAAACAAAAAGCACTTTTAAAGAAAAATTGTATTAAACTTTGACCTACCTATGGACTTGAGTTTGATATTAAATTAAATAGACAAAAAAAAAAGAAATTAAATAATAATAGAATGCTTGCAAGATGGATTTATGCTGATAATCTTGGATAACATCAGGAACAAATAAATATTAATCATCTAGAACTCTATAAGTAGAAACTTTATGTAGGCATTAAAACTAATTATGAAGAAATTATGATGATCATTAGTAGATGAACTGACTCAGGACCCTACTCAGATGAGATAAAACTGAAAGAGAAGAAGATATTTGTACTGTTGTGAAATTATTCTACATATTATAATGTTATATAATATCTTGGTTTTAATATAATATGGAAAAAATAAAAACATTTAACAAAGAAAAATATTTTTTATTGATGGTATAAAAACAAGTTCCAATGTACAATATTAAATTAAAATGTAATAATTTACAGTTTTGTAAATACAATGTAATAACCATATTTTTAGATATGCACAGTATATTAAAATATAGACAATTTACTGAATTAGAAGGAAAATCATAGTTTGAGCACTTCATTTAGTTTGTCCAAAGCATGCCTAATAGAAAAAACAAATTCAATTTTAAAACTATTCAGAGGGAAAAACAATCAATGTAGATAATTGTTTATAAATAGTAATATCATAAAATTCAAACATACTTTGCTTGAGGTTGTGATTTGTCTATTTCCATTGCAACTAATTTTGACTGATTTAAAAATGAAGTTAATTCTTTAGGTGTATTACTTCCATAAGACAACCATGAACTAGGTAGTGTTCGAGCGATCTAAAAAATATTAAATATTTTTTTATTATTATTAATATGAATTTAATAATATTAAATTTAATATTTTATAATGTATCACAGTCACTAAATATACCATTGTAATTTTTAAAATGGCTTCTAATGGCTGAAGAGTTCTAATAGATGTTAATAAGTATCTATTAAGTATTTGATTTACAGCTAAATCAATTAACACTGCATCTTCAATGATTTGATGCCAATAAAGTATATTACTCAAAAGTTTTACAGCTATGTTGAATTGTCGCTGGAAAAACACATTCATACGACCAGTATTCATAATTCTGAAAGTAAAATTCATCACATAATAGTATTTTCACTTGAAAAATGTTTAACATAAACTCACTGTCTAGATGAAATAGGAATAAATACATCATAATCGACAGCATCTCGAATTCTAGTCACTAAATTGGTTAACAGTAACATTAAAAATTTACTGTCTGGATCTATAGTAGGATAGTTATCCAGGATGTGCTTAATTATGCAAGAAATATGTTTTGTTTGCTTTGATGATAGTGGATCCCACTGACTTGTAATCATTTCTGGAAATAAACAAATACATATCTTTAATATTTATAATTTATGAAGATTTTAGCTCTGTACATACGATCAATTTTATTAAGTACAACTTTTTCTATTATTTTAGGTATTAGTTCTAAATCAACATCTTTTGACAATTGTTCTACATTATTTACACTCATCATTGTATATTCTTGCATACTTTTGTACCACAGCATATTTTCAAACATTAAATCGCTCTAAAAAATTATTTGTGTAGTATACAAGATCTTTCAAATACCTTGTTAATTAATACTGAAAATACAATTAGTTAAAACAATGAGAAAATACCTCCAATGGATTCCATGTTAACATTTCAATTCGAACAAAAGGTCCCATCATATTTGGTAAACACACATTAACATATGCTTCTACATAAGTGTCCGGATGTTTTCTTTTCCATTCTAACATTTGTTTCAAAACTAAATCAACTGATGCAAATTGTTCAAGAACATCGTCCATTAATAGATTCGAATCACTTTTTATAACCTCTGTATAATAAAATACCATTTAAACATAGTTATTAATATTAAGTACCAGTTTAAAATTATTTCAATTCATATAATTACTAGTACCTAGTTGAGATCTAAATGCAGATGCATCGGTTTCAGGGACTTCTTCATCGCTAGACATACCATCTGCGTGTTTACTTATAGCTTTTAGTTCTCTCATTCTCATACGTCTTATACGACGACCTTCACGCTCTGCAGCTCTTCTCTGTTGTTCTTCAGATCTTGTATGAGAAGTTGATGAATTTCCTAATTCTATAAAAAGATTAATATTACAATTTTTAAATATACACTGATTATCTAATTACTATTAGATGAAGCTTCATCTGCTTGATCTCGAACATCTTGTCTACGCCTATTTAATAGATCTGTACGTCTTTTTTCATACAATTTACATACACGTTGTTCTAGTCCCACAAGAATAGGAATCTAATAATAGCAATTTAATATATTAAAATGTTATACAATTAATTATAATTAAAAATTATCAATAATGATTAGGAATATTTTGCTAAGGTGAATATATTTAAATTGCTAAATTATTTTATAAATTATTATACATGGGAATAACATAATAATGTTGTAACACTTAAAATACAATTTCCATAACCAACTAGTAAATCAATTTATGAAATAAGGATTTAGATTTTGGAACAATAATATAGAGAAATCCATGTATTCATATACTTTAAGACGTGTATTATCATAATAGTATAAATCAAATTTAATGAAAAAATGTATTACAATATGTAATTATTTACAAATTTATTTAATAGGCTTGAATAGTTATTGTTATAATATCAAAACAAAAATAATTAAATTTTATCTTAAATTTAAACTGACAAAGATACACATGTGAGCTATACGAAAACAGTAACCAACCATTATAAAGACTCCTAGAAATTTTTATTGAATGTTTTTGAAATCCAATTTTCTTTTATACATCTACCAAATGTTTAAATGTTTAAAAGATTTTGGAAATGTTTTTTAAAGTATAAACATTATATTAAAGAACACATGTTAATATTATTAGAGCAAAAAAGTTCCAATAATTTCTTTAACAGTTGTTTGTCTATTGCATAACGTCACTAAAACTAGAAAACACGCCTACCTTTTCATCAAGACATTCTACCAGATCAGTGACGTACCCACGCAAATCTTGATAAAACTGAAAACATTCCGCTAACTCAGGAACCCTTTTTTTAAGCATTTCAATTTTATTCTTGACTTCTGGTATTTCATTTATCATATCTTCAAAATACTTTTTTTCTGGAATTCGTTTTTCTTTCATCTCACTCAATCTATATGAAATATTGGAATTGTATTTTAATACAGTAATCAATTACTAAACACATTGTGTAATATACATTTCTACGATTTTATTGATGACATCATCTGGACTCATTGAAGACATCAATCCTTGTGGAACATAGGAATCCAGAAATCGAGCTTTTTGATTGACTAATGTTGGTATCATTGTTTCTTCTTGGATAATCATATTATTGTATATTGAGGCTATACTAGCAGATTCTTGTTGGGCTGCAGCTAATTGTGATCCTGTAACTGCTTTCCTGATCTGTTGAGTTTCCCAATCATTATCTTCATCAAGTTCATCAGGATCTTGAAAATCACTACTGGTAGTGTGATCTAAAATCAAAATTATTGATATAATAAATGTTTGTAAAAATGTGAATATCATTTTTCATACCAGCCATAGTAATATGTAGATTTTTTTTACGATCCTCAGCTTGACTAACAATTCCAGACATGATAATTCTACCATCATCATCACTATCTTCTAATTCATCTTCTTCTCGTGTTAAACGCCTACCAGTAATTTGTTCATTTTCAATATTAGATTCACTAAATATTTAAAAGAATTTGATTAAATAAAATATTAGTTCTAATAATTATTATAATGTATTATTTAATATAAGATACCCATGAGACTGTGATGATATTGGTATAAAATCTTCTCCTAAATCACGTGCCTGTTGTCTACTTTTTCTAGCAGCATGTATTAATGCTGCGTCAGGAATTTGACCATCTAAAAATAAAATGTTCACTTAGAAAATTAAATACAAGTCAACATTTAACTTTCACTTGTTTTGTATAATACCTGGTAATCTACATAAGTTTATAGTTTATAAAACTACATTAAAAACTAAATTAATTATTTTTAACAAAAGATTTGAAGAAGATTCTCTCACTTCTTAATAATATTTTAACTTGGTCAGGATTAGAAAATTTATGTGTGGATGAGTTATACGAATCGTCTTCATCAGATGATTCATAGCCCGCCATTTCAGCAGCCCGGCCTGTAAGCATTATTTCTTTCTCCACAGATTCTGACTAAATATAAAGAATTTTACTGTACAAATTATCTAACTAAAAATAGTTATGAATTACATTAAAATTTGTTTGTTTTTCTCGCACAGTTGGTATTGTAGTATCACTCATTATAACTTTAGATTTCTTGCCATTTTCTATTTTATCTTTACTCATTTTTTCTTTATTCATTTGTTTTTTAATTTTCTTACTGTATGATGATTTTTTAACTTTGAACTCTTCACCATCATCACCTTAAAAAATATAGGTGTTCCATAAAAATAATAATTATTAAATATTTAATCCAATAATTCTTACACTCATTTAATTCATCGCCAAAACTCAATGTGTTGATTTTTTTTAAACCTTTTTCTTTATTTGATTTTGGCAGCTTAAGTACTGTATCTACATCCATTTTTTCTTCGTTTTCATTATCATAGATGCCATCAGAATCTCTAACTCGCAAATTCCGTTTGGGTTTCTTAAATTGCAACGCCATTTTTACAATAATTTAAAGCTAAAAACCATCAATAAATAATAATAATGTTTAATATGATTCAGAAAATCCCGTACATTATGATAACTACTTATAGTGTTAAGATACACAAAATATTAAATATTATTTTTTAATTAATATATTTAGTACACAAAATGACAAATACAAAACATTACAATTCGTGAAGTCTTCTAGTGATTTTTGATAATATAATCAATATTAAGAACGACCAGATTACATAACATAAATTCCCTATTGATTTAATATTTTTTTTAGATTTTGTAATTGTAGCCAATGGTTGTATAATATTCAGATTCACCATTAATTTATATTAAAAATTCACAAAAATTAAGTTTAATTCAGTTTTTTATAAATTAAAAAATAAAAATGAAACTTAGTTATTAAACATGTTGACCTTTGAATATTATAAAATACAATGAAATATTTTAATAAGCAGGGTGCGTTTGCTTTAGACGCTCAGACGCTTACAGTGCTCACGATCACGAACCGCTCACTTTAGGTTTCATATCAACAATTTTTCGATAACATGATAACAATAATTATGCCCATTGGAAACATTGTTTACAGATTACAGATTTAAATATTTATTCATTCATTTTTAATATAAATTAATTTAATTTAATTATTAATGGTCGATTTAAATAAACTAGAGTTAGTTGGACTATCTTTAGAATTTGTTGAGGAAATTTTATTTTCCTCTTTTTCGGAAGAAAGTGAGGATAATGGTCATAACATAGAACTTACAGTAGATACCGTTTGTAACTGCCAAAAATGTTATGAGTAGGTATCTAGAACTGAAAATTATGTCGAAACTATTAATACAATTGTATCTCGGATCAATGATTGACAGTTCAAATCGAATTTTAGGTTTTAAATTTAATTCCTGTTATAAAACAGGAATACAACTTTGCATTTTGATGAAATTCAACCAAACTTTACTCAGAATTGTTTTTTTAAAATATTATTGTTTTCTTGGGTATTCAATTCATAGATTGGTCTACAATAAATGATCCTTCCAAGAATCTCTTGCGTATGCCTTGTCCTTGAGTTCCTTGTATGAACCAACTCTTGTATCTTTAATTACTTGACTTATATAACTCGTTTTTGGTCTTCCACTCCCTTGCTTCCCTTTTATAATACCTTCCAGAATAATGCTATGGAGTTCCTCATTGTGCCTCAGCATATGACCTATCACGTACCATCACTTTGACCTTAAATTTCTTAACAAGGTTTTTTTCTCTTTTACTAACTCTAGCACACTTCTTTTTTAATTTCATTTCCGTCCATTTTATTTTTTAAATTTTCCTCCAGCACCATATTTCGAAGGTCTTTAAAGTGTTTCTATCTTTCTTATTAAGCGTCCACATTTCACTCACATACATTGCTGTGCTCCATACATACGTTTTAATTAAACATTTTCTTGTTTCTAAACCTACATTCTTTGATATTAATAATTTATTCTTAAGTAGAAATGCCTTCTTTGCTTGATCTATCCTGTGTCTTATTTCTTTTCCGATCTTTGATCGTTGATTATTATATGCTTCTAAATATTTAATTTGTTCCTCTGTTCTATTTTGTTTCCTTTAAAGGATATATTAATGTTCGGTTTAGTTTGCTGCATACTTGTACTTCTGTTTTTGTCGTATTTATATTTAATTCGAATGTTAAAAATATATCAGCCATTTTAGTAAGCGCTGTTTGCAGGTTTTCTTTAGATGTAGCGAGAGCAAAATTATATCGTCCGCGAATCGTATCATGGATACTAGAATTCCTCCTCTCTTCTAGTTTTAGTTTTATTTCTTCTATGGCTTGCTCAACGTAAATATTAAATAAAGAGCGTTACATTGGTCAGTCTTGTCTGACTCCTTTTAGTATATTAGCTGTTTTTACAATAGAGTTTATTTTAATTTCGATTTCCTGATTTCTGTATATTGTGTTTAAAATATTTCTATCTTTAATATCTATGCCAATATTTTCCATTATGTTAAATAATATTTTCCAATTGACATAGTCGAAAACTTTTTAAATAAACAAATGTCATAAAGGTAATCTTTTATCTGTCTATATGCTTTTCTAATAGTATTCTTAAGTTTAGTATTACTTTTGGTACCTTTATTTTTCCCGAAACTATATTGATCATAGTCAAGCTGTTTTTCAATTTTATTTCCAATTATTGTTAACTATTGTTTGGAAGCATGTGATTTTAGGCGCATTGGTTTTTCTCAGCTGTTTTTGGTAATAGTATTACTGTACTAGGGTGCTTTTATAAAAGATTTTGGAACAATTCCTTTATCATATATGTCATATATTAATTTAAATAGTTCTTCGTTTGTTTTAGTTCCAATGTGTTGTAATAGTTCCGTATTTATGTTATCTGGCCCTGGAGCTCTGTTTGTTTTCATAATTCTTAGTGCATATTCAAATTCCTCAAAATATTATTACCTATCACCAAAAGTAATTACGAGTACTACCTCCTAATAATAATCATATCAAAATATCAAATTATTCAAGCAATTACTTATTGACATATACCAGGTAGAGGTACCTTTATTATATTTCATGAATAATATTATAAACAACTATTTCATACTATTATATTATGTACTTCTATGTATTAATAAATATATCATAATTTATCTTCATAAGTATATCATTTTAAATGCATTTTGCAAAAAATCTATAATTTTAGTCAATTTTCTATTCAAATACGTCAAACAAATTTTATAATTTCTGGTCCTCTATCGCAATGGTTCCCAACCTTTTTGTTATGGTGACTCACACATTAACTCTATTTTGACTATGCGACCCTTCATTAAAAAAAAAGTAATAAAATCAAGTATGCCAAAATGGCTTAATACATAATAAGTAATTATAAAAGTCGCTACATTATGAATGTCATTTAATTCAGTAGACATTTTTTTGACTCGAGTGCCTCTCTGTGAGGCATAAAATACATCCATTTAGCATCTGGAGCTACTTCTTTAATACGTTATACCACGCCAATATGTTTACTCGTCATAGATGCTGCGTCAAGTAGTTACACTTACACAGTGTATCTGTTGAATATTGTTTTCAAAAAAAAATATATTCTGATGAATTATAAATATTTGCATCAATTATTGTTGTGTTTAAACTATTACAGTATAAAAAATCTTCGTAAATACTTACGTCAAATTAATATCTTATAACTACTGACAATTTAACTTTATTTTGAACGTCTGCACTTTCGTATAGTTGAATAAAAAAAAAATAATGATGGGTTTCGAGTTTAATCTGTTTAATAATTGTTTTATGTTTTCGTTAATCTTGACAACGGACAAAAGCGTCCCTGAACATTATTATTTGAAGCTGTTTTATTTTTAGTTTATTTGCAGCTTCTTTTCTTAATATTTCTGTACACAATGTTCTATTTTATTATATTAAAATCAATTTTTTTTTTCTTTCATCGCGACCCATACTTTGATAAACACTGCTCTATCGGGTAGGCAATGATCCTAGTGGCAATCTAAACTGCAGTAATGTTTTCAATCAATTTATCTTAGGCGACGGGTGAAAGTGATTACACCTTATTAATCCACTTGGTATAAACTTTTAATTTCGTTTGTCTATCTCTACCACATATATATTCTTGTATAATAATATTCTATTTATTATATATATTTGTGACCTCTACTCTCCAAAGCGTATAAGCGTTTGTGAGCGCTGATAAATGACGCAGCGCCGCGAATTAAGATATATTAAGATATATATTCAGATTCCGTAACGTCATGGTTGTAGTCTGAACGCTCCCGAACGTTATCAAACGCCAAGCTGAACGGAACACGAATCATGAATACACTCCATAGATATAACATATTAGGTATTTAGTATTTTATATCTGTGATGCAGGGGCGTATACAAGGGGGAGGCGATAGAGCGATTTCCCCCTGGGCATTGTTTAATTTGTATCATGTATAGGTACTTATTTATTTTATTATTATTAATCAAAAATTTAAAAAAATATTAATTTTTTTTATGCAGAAATGGTTTTCAAAAACTTGTAAAGAGATTGATAAGAGATCAGATATTGTAACTATCATTAACATATATACCTACTTAACTGTTGGTTATAATGATTATATTGTGTTTGTCTATACGATTATTGTCTGTACTCTGTAACCATGGTTCGTGTTGTTAACTTATTCTGTGTTCAGGGAATGATACCATAGAGCCGTGATAACCATATCATAAAAAAATTGATAAGCTCTAATGAAAGATGGCCTTGGTAGTACGAGTATGGCACTGCAGGTCTGTAGTAGCTTTCGTCGCTTGTGCTAGCAGTTTTCATTAATACTCAATACTGAAATTCATAACACATATAATACACGAAATTATGGCTAATAATTGTATTATGAAAAAAAAGCTCCGACAAAACAAAAAATGTTTATTTAATATTTACCTATTATAAAAATTACAATCAGATATTCTTACAATAATTAATATGAATAAATTGACTACAAATAATACACTAAAATTATTATTTAAAAAAGCTGAATCTGAATAGATAATATAACATATATTTAGTACAGATACCTACAATAGATTATTTTTTTGCTATCCGTTATAAACAATAAATTAGAAAAATAAGATAGATATATATAAATAAATAGATTTTCAATAAAAGTAAGCAATAAGTAATAATATACGTAAAACATGGTTTTGAATAATTACCTAAGAAGTTTTACAATTTTTTATTTTTTTTAAATGTATTACATTAGTTTACAATGCAGCTTTTTTTCAGGCTTTCTTTTCAATACTTATAAAAACATTTTCTGAATATGGTAATAACTGTATTTTTTTAGGGCTTTGTTTTCCTTGTGCGGTTTTTGGTCAACGGCTTTTTTTCCCGGGGCTTTATTATCCTCAATTTCTAATAATAGTTATCTAAGTGGGAAGAAATCTTTTATTCAAGTTTTAAGCAAGTGAAACGAAAATGTTGAATTGCCGACTGTAGCGTACGCAGAATTTCAGTTTGTCTAGGGTTTTCACTATAGATTTATCATAGACCCGCGTGAACTTCATCCCCCGCACCCTAACTTTATAGCTAAACTAGTAAATAATATCAACATTAAGCCCAAATAATTTTTCCAAATTCCCATATTTGTATTTGTCTTAACACTTAAGATAAAGATCTTAAGATCTTTAACTTAATTAGATAATTATAAAATAATTTTAGTAATAAAATAAAATGTTTGAAAATAAAATATGTAACATTAACTGAAATAATAAAATACCTAAACAATATGTATAATTTTAAAAGTTAAACAAAAACAATTGTATATTTATTTATATTTATACGATAAACATACCCTCAACCGCGTCGCGTATTGCTGCAATACATGATTAGGTACGTATCAACACGGAATATAATAGAGTATACTTAAAAATAATACTCATATTCCATAGAAGCATAGACCATAGATATATTTTACAAATATAGCTTTCTATATTTGAGAGGTAAAAGAAATTTCAGGGGAGGGAGGGATTAAAACCCTAGAACCCTACCTCTGCGTATGCTATTGACTGCCAATCTATTTATAATTTGTAACACTGTCATTTATAGACATATACTTTTATAACTAAAAATTTATTAGCATGATTAAAGTTCGAATTTCGTCCCCTCCCCTAGGAGATGAGCTGAATACGCCTCTGTTGTGATGCACCCTAAATAACTTAATAACATTATAAGTATGTTGTCATCTTATTCTGCGCACATCATTATATATCTATGGCGCATATCGCTTACATCACGCGGCTCTCTCCTAATAATTCCGCAAATTTTTAAATATGTGATAATAATATTATGACTAAATCTAAAATTATTAAATTAACAAATTTATTTATCTGTATGCATTATATTATTTAAATTTTCACTTAATTTTACTTACTTGTAGTTTTAATTATTATTTTAATAAAATTACATTTATTTTAAATTATTATTATTATGCCAAATAGTCATTGCTAGGTACCTTGTATTTATAACGACCCTTAAAAGATAGATCTTATCGATTTAGGTTAGGTAACTATATAACGAAAAGTCGAAAACTATTATTATCACGATTTTAGATTATTGGTCCTATCATAGCATAAATAGGCATATAACAGGAACTTTTTTCCATTCTTCGTATTTTTTCTTTTTGCACATTTTATTAGGATAATGCAATTTTTCTAAGTAACAAAAATTAATTTCAATGGCAATTGGTAATTGATGATTTATTAACATTATTATGTTCATTTTTCAGCTCATAACTCTGTCAACACAGATTTTATTCTTATTAACTATAGAATCTTATTTGTTAATAATTTCATTCTGATAATTTGTTCTCGTTTCACTTTTTATTCAAAAATAATTTAAACCGTATAATAAAATACACGTAAGGTAAGGTGGGGTATGTGTAAGGCCATATGTTCTGTTTTGAACAAGACAATCCCATTTTTTGTAGCTCTGTCCTGTTGTTCCCTGGGGTATTCGGGACGAAAATATGTCTCGTTTTTAGAAGGTAAACAAATAAATAACAAGAATCAATTGTGTGTACACGGCGGAAGGTCGAGTTTGTAGTTGGAATTTCTTGAACGTCGTTGCCGGTTATTGGACTTATTGAAGAAAATATGTTCCAACGAAAAATATAAGTACCAGTAAATAATTTTCTCTATAATTATTAAATAAACAGACAATTTCTATTATAAAATGAATTACTTATTAATAAATAATAAATTTAATTTTTGTTCTGTAAAAATATAATAATCAGTGTATAACTTTGTTTATGGTAAAAATTATGATACATTTTTTTGTCCCGTTTTCACCAAAAAAATACACCATAGGTATGTGTGATCACTTTTTTTTTAGTACCATTGCCATTAAATGGACTATGTATTATTTATCAGATATTATGTGAAAACTTCCTAAGGGCACAAATTTACACTTAAAAGGGTTAAATAAATTACAATTTAACTGATTAGCATCAATGAAAAAAAAAATATCTCAGAGGTCACACTTTCCCCATTATTTAGGCCAACTGTGAATCGTCATATGTAAGTATGTTATTGAATATATTGAAGCGTTTTGCCGCAAGTGAGGTAATCTACGCATTTTAAGAATTTATTTGATAGGAAAATGAAAAAAAAAATCCAATCACTAGTTAAAGAGTTATAAGCTTATTGAAAAATATTTATTTTAGTTTTTCAGATTTCATGTATAAAGCCCTATATGATTCCCAGTTCACACTTACCCTAATACACTTATTAATGAAAGGGCAAGAGTGAAATCGCAATTAAACAATAAATAATATAAAATTATGTTCATAATATTAAAATATAGAAATGGAATATATATTTAATGAAATTAAATTTATTTGTCGAAGTACCAAATTTTTATATGCGATATACATACAAATTTTAACAGCTCCAAGAGGACAATATGACGTGTCACATATAATTATGAATTTTATCATGTCTAAATAATACAATAGCAGTCACACTTACACCACCTCACCTTAATAATTAAGTTACAAAGTTATTCACTTAAAATTGAGAACTACAATTTTATTTTTCTTGAAATTAAATTCTATGGTAATAGGAAAACGTATATTATAAACGCCTGCGAAAAAAACAATTATTTACTGTTTACTATAATATAATATCAGTAATATTTTAAAAGAAAGCAGTGGTGGATACAGGGGGAGAGCACAGAGATACGTGCCCCACACTGTCAATGGACTACAGTTTTTATTTATGTATTTTATACTAATTTAATGTATAATTTATAGATACAGAAAATATGTAAGAATGTATACAAGTAAATTGATTTAAATATTAAATACCCAATCTCCGACTCTCTGAGATGTTTATATTAGTAACCTATATAAGGATGCTTGATGTTCTATTCTACAGAGCTTAATATGATTAATGGAAATTTATGTGTAATGAAAATTACATACAAATTAAACTCTTTAGTTTGACTTGGAGTTTACTAAAATTTAAACAGATTACTGCTACAAACGGCAAGGGAAATCATGCATTATATTTTCATTAACTTTGAACATTGAATGAGGAATGAATAAGAGTATAATTTTATTTAAAAATAAATAGTGCAAAATTACTATATAATAATAAAGATTACATAGATGCATATTATTGTATTTTAGCATTAATAATAAATAAGCTACAATAAATGTCGATTATTAAACTAATGGTATTTATCTATTTTGTAAAAAGTGAGATAAATAATTTTTTTAATTGTTCCCACCGATAATTCATTTAATACAATATTATCTATACTAATATATAAATGTGAAATGTAAAAGTGAAATGGTATTATTTGTTACGGCTAATCTCTTAAACTAGGAAGTTAATCATACAACTGTTATGTGATCATTAAATAGTAAAGTATATATCGCAGAGAAGGTTATAAGTAATTGAAATTCTATTGAAGTCTAAACAGTAGAAGTAGTAGTCCTAATTCTTCAGTTTTTTCAGTTTGATAAAAAATATTAACTTGTATTAACTTTTGTAAGTTATAAACAATCGAGTAATTAATTTATATAGATAAATAGCAAATACGCTGAAATGAATTATCTAAAATTATAACAAAACAAAATAGGCACCTGCTAAACACCAAACGGAAATATAGGTGTTGAACGACCTATCTATGCGTCAACAGGTGGTACAGAAAAAGTTATTAGAAAACTTTGGTTCATCAGCTAGTATTAGAATACGAATATTTTCTTTTGTTTAAATACGGAAAATCAGCGCTATCTTCTTATCCAAATTTAAAAGTGAAGTATCTTGTCAATGATTTAAAGGAAATTTAAAATGCTAACAGCAAAATGTATTTAAACTAAAATATATATTTATAGAATATTTAATATAGGTTATTTGAAAATTAATATTGGGTAATGGATTCATTTCCAAAAATAACAGTGATTTAGAGCTGTTTATTTCTTAAATTGTAAAAACATAAAGTTAATATTTTCAGAGGTAATGAGTGTCTTATTGAGGATTGATCACTATGTATTAAACGAATTATTCATTATATACAAATAATTTAAAAAGTAATGTTCTATTATTAACTTAGGTAATATAATTTAAGTACAAATGTGATACTATATTTTTTAAATTATTAATTATTTACTAGCTCGGAATTATATGCTTTGTGATATAAATAGATTTCATAAAAACGCAATTTTTTTTTTAAGTATTCAAATATTAATTTTAAAAAAAAGTTTAATTTAATGTTTAACAGTAGTATAATTGTTAATACAACATTTAAAATATAAATAAAATATATAAATATATATATTTTATTTTCAAGCATCAATAAAACAAAACAATTATTTGTTTATTATTGCATATTTTTTTTTTATGGTGTATAATAGTATTTTGTGTTACATTTATATTTTTCAATCAGCATACAAGAGCAAAGAAAAAAATATCCAAATACATATAAATCCGAAAACTAGACTTATTTTTTAGGCATATTATTTTAATAAGTTATTTCCTGGGAATAAAACTATTTTACTACTAGCCATGGAATAACCCTATTTAAATAATTATAGCTAACTAACTACTTTGCAATGTAAATATTAGTTGTATTGCACATATTAATAAATAATAAAATAAAAATTGGACCGTTCCGTGTTTGTCTTTTAGGAGATGAATACTTGTTTGCCGAAGCAGTATAAGTATATGTGGTAGATTAGCGAGTAGATAATTTTTATTTTAATTCTACTTCTGTTGACCATCTGTTCCAGATTTCTGTAAAAATAAACACAATTTTTTTTTGAACATTGATATGTCTTTTTATCCTACAGTTACATAAAGTTAATAAAACTATATCTATTTAAATAGATATGCATAACTTAGGCTGAAATAAACTCGCAAAAAAAAATAAAAAAATAATAAAAATAATGTAACACACACATACATAAATATATAAAATATTTACTATTGTACTTATATAATTTATAATAAGGCAGAAGAAGATATTTAAAAACAATTTTTCCCAGAAAGAGTTTGTTAAGTGCAGGATAATGTGCTAATTATTTAATAAAATATATTTAAAAATAAATGTTGTTTTAAATCATACTAATATGTATAAAACTTAGTTTTAAAAAGTTTATAATACATTATTAGTATGAGTAGTAAGGGTAAAATAATAAAACTAATAAATAAACTTTAATAATTCAATACTACAATGGTTATTATAATTTAATATTAAATTTTTACTTAAAAATGAAAATGATTTGTATTTTTTGATTGATCACCAACATTAATTTAACAGATGATAACTATTAAAATTTTACAATAAAAATTAAAAATTGTATTATCAAATCAACACAAATTACAAAAAAAAAATAATAATAATAATAATAAAAAATAATAATAATAATAAATAATAATAATAATAATATATTTGATGTTAAAAATTATAAATAAATAAAATAAAAAATAATGAACAAAAATAATAATATAATTTTTTTAGTGTAAAAATTTCCCACAGCCACAGCCTCGATAATTTCTCTCCAGATACATTAAATCAGGCAGAAGAGGAATTGTTCAGCCCTAGAGCACTGAATAGTTTTGTTTTCAGGCCGCCTTGTTTGCTCAACTCAGCCCCGCTCTGTCATAACAAATATAACCGACATTCTTAAAACTTTTTTCTCTTCTCACTCAGTAACTAGTCTCTAAAACCCTAAAGACTTACAGGGTAGGTTTTTTTTTTTTTTTTTTATAGAGTTGTGTAAATACTATTATAAAGCATTAAAATATAATTGTGAAATGTGTTAGTAAAATAATATGCAATCTATAATAATGTAATGTAATCAAAATGTAAATATTTAAAAATAAAAAAAAGAACAATAACTAAATCAAAGTAGAGATTTGACATGCATTAACCACGGTTCTCAAAACTAGGAGTGAATTGAAATACCAAACATTAAAAATAAAAATAACTTTTACAAACCTCATCTAATTTTGTTCCAGTAGAAATTGTATCGTATTCCAAAGATTCTCTAGAACCAATTAAACGACTTGATCGATTCCGCCTGTCATTACTATTTACACTACTAGTTGATCCACTAAGAATTTGTGCAACTTTGGCCTGTTTTACAATATCAAATGCCTACAAATACATAACATAATAATAATAATAAAAAAAATATATATATGAATATTATTTATAATTATCAAGAGATATTACGAATTCCTGAATTAAATAAAATATGATTTGATTTTTATTCTTTATAGTTTATACATACCTCTTTTCTAGAACGTAAAGCACAATCTTCAAGAGTTTCTGCAGCTTCATATTTCCCTTGTCTTCTGTAGAGTGCTCCTAGATTTTTAAGTGTAGTAGTAACTGTTGGTGAGTCTACTTTGGCAGCCTTATGCCAACCACCATATTCTGTATATGGTGCAGTGCCTGGAATTTTGTTTTTATTTTCTTCTCTTTCTTCAGCCACCTGCCATATAGGTTTATTATCCCCTGTAACATAAAAATCCTTTTCCATTAAAAAAAAAAAATAAATAAATTTAGTGACATTTGCAGAATTGTTTATTGAATTAAGTTAAAATACATTAATAGGAGAGGATAAAAAAAATACAGTAAAACCTCTAAATAACTGACACTTTTGGTCAATTTTTATTGACATTCCAAAGGAGTATTTTTTGATTAAAAAATATTGTTCATTTTTCTGAGATCTGCCTTTACTATATAAGTTATTAATTAATTGTGATAAACTACAAATATATTTCAAATAAAAGATAAATGCCTATTATTATGGATAAAAAAATTATTTTTTCTGCAGATACCACTGTTATCTCAAATTGAATTAGAATTATTTAATTAGTCTCACTAGAAATTTAAAAAATAACCACAAGTTAAATAATAATATAAAGAAAAACTAATGAAAATCTATTATAATGTACATTTATGGAAAAATGTATGATTTACAAATATTTGAGAAATCAAAAATGTAACTCTGTACATATCTTGTAATACGATTAATAATGAACTATTATTGTTGTACATTTATTCTTAATTTTTTTAAGGATCACATATTATATATTTATACAATCACTTATCTAATAAGTTTTAAAAAAGCACATAAAATATATATGTATAAAAAAAAAAAAAACAAATAATTATAAATTGTTTATTATAACCCAAGTTTATAACTATATAAATATGAAATACATAATAAATTGAATATAAAAGCTGAATGCCAAATAATAAACAAAAAAAAAAAAAACCAAAGGAACATGCAAAATTAAAAATAGTTCAAATAAACAAATAATTTTCAAAAATAATTAATCTTAGGCAAACTTAACAAAGTACAATAAAAATGAATACATTTTAAAATCCTCAAGATATTTAATAATAATAGTAATAATAAAATAATAATAATAAAATGATAATAAAAATAATAACAACTATATTTTCGGTATAAATATGCAAAAAACTAAACATCATTTTAGAATTTATATAGTTTGATATAAATCAATAGTATTTTATTTCCATATTATTTATTTCATATTTTTAAATTAGTGAAAATAAGTTATTTCTTTAGTGTAAATAACATATTATTTAAAAATACATAAAACAAACACAAATGAAAAAATGATTAGACACAATTGGCGATTTTAGAAAAACTTGAAGTCAGAGGAATGGTGGCTCGCATGTCTTATAAGTTGTGAGGCAAATATTATGAAAAACTATAATATATACTATCGGAAATAAAAAACAAGGTGTTTTTAATATTAATTATTGTTTGCTGACTTAAGGCTTCAGGTATTATAGATGTTTTTATTTTTGATTTTAATTATTATGTAAAATTAATTGTTGTTTCACCACCTAAGGTTAGGTTAGGTCCACTCCTCAAAATCACTATCATGTTCTTTAAATACAAAATTTCCAAATATTTTTATAAATATATATTTTATTTTGCTTCTTTCTTTTTCGATGTAATTCCAATTACTTTTAATGAAAATCTAGTAATACTCAATATAATAATCATTAAGAGATTCATGCATTAAATTGTTTATATATGTATTATCTAAACAATTTGATAAAATTAAAAAACTATAAAACAGATTGTCTTAACTCCAGATATTTTTATTTAACATTAAAATTAAGATAAATTTCATATTTAATTAACTAATTGGAATTTGTAACATTTAGTAGTTTATCAAATTAAATAACTTTTCCCAATTATAAATTTTGGATTTTAGAATTTATTGAAAAGGATTGTAATTTATTGGTTTATATATTTTCTAAACAAATAATAATTATGCAAAAATAAACTACTATTGATTATACTTTAATTAAATATAATAGAAAATTAATATATTTTTTTTTATAAAGAAATACTTATACCTTAATAAATTGAATATCTTTGGTTACTGGTAAAGAGATTCAATGCCATAACACAGTATGAAAATTTATTATCATAAAATAATTAATAAAATATATTATAAAATACTAAAATATACTTTAACATTTCAAAATATAACTTAAGCACCATGCACTGCAAACTAAAATTTGAATGTTTAATATATTATATTCTAATGCCAAACACAAATACAAAAAATAATAATATATATTTACTAATAGCTATTATATTTAGTATGAAAATTCTCTGTACTTAATACAATCTTATAATTATTATACATGCATAAATAATATAAGTATATTAATATGTATATATTTCAGATCTTATAATCATATGTGATTATAGGAATGTACATAATCTACCCTGTAACCATTCTTATAACTTAACAGTTTATAGTATATTTTTATGCTTTGGAATTATTATTATTAGCCATTGATGCCCATTCCTTTTCGTCACCTAATAAAAAAAAATGTAAACAATATGTTTACCCTCTTGTTTACAATTTTCAAGACTTTAAAGGGTTGATAATTTACATGCAAGTTAAAATTTGTAATCAATTGTTTTTTTTTACTTTAGAAACAAGTTAAGAAATTTGTTCATAGTATAGTGAATAATGTAATAATTGTTTAATTTTATAGAAACCTCAACATATATATATAAAAAAATAACTTACCATCAATTGTACCAAACTCTCTTTCATGAGCTCTGGTTAACACTTGTTTGTATAATATTTCTGCCTCCTTATATTTGCCTTGTTTCAAATAACATGAAGCTAAATTATTTTTGGTTTTAGCTACATTTGGATCATCAGGTCCTAGTTTCTTTTCATATATCTCTAATGCTCGCTGATAATATCGTTCTACTTCTTCATACTTGCCCTTTAAAATATAATAAACGTGATCCGTCATAACTTTTAAAACAATAAATTTATTAATATTTATTTGTACCAAATCAGTAAAATTTAAGCTATGAAACAAATAGAGATGATTGATATTTAAAATACATCTATATTTTTAATATAAATATTAAACTAGATAATGAATTTGGTATTTTCATTAATAATAATAATAAATAAAATTCATTATTAAAACTAATAAGTAATTTATAGATTAATTAATTTAATACAATAAAAACTAATTTAAAATTACAATAAATTATAAATTATTTGATTGATATTTTAGCTAAATAAAAAACACAAATCTAATCGTAGTTTATTAAAGTATAAGACTATAAACAATTACTTGATTTTGGCAAAGTAGAGCTAAGTTGTTCAATTGTTTAGCTACATCTGGATGTCCTTTACCTAATACCGCTTCTCTGATTTCCAAGGCTCGTTTACACAATGGTTCAGCATCTTTGTATTTACCTCGTTTTCCATAAAGAACAGCTAAGTTATTTAATGTTGCTGCGACCTAAGAAATTATAGATTGTTAGAAAATAATGCGCCTTTAAACAAAATTATAATATTACAGCAGGATGATTTTCTCCTAATGTTTTTTCACGTATTGCCAATGCATCATTTAACAAATTAGCAGCATCTTTATATTTGTTTTGATCTCTATAAATAAATATAAATAAAATAAATTGTTTGATACATTTATATGTAAAAGTTACCTATATACAAGTGCTAAAATATTCAACATAGTTGCTACATCAGGATGATCATGGCCAGATGTTTTTTCTAAATCTTCCAAAGCTTGTTTACATAATGGGACAGCTACTTCATATCTTCCCTGAGATGCATACTGAATTACCAAATTATGCAATGTTCGTAAACGTGCTGGAATTTCATAACCAGCTCCAGCATTTACTTGTTGAGCAAATTGGGATGGTGGTGTAGGTGATAATGCTATTAATATTAAAATAGGATTATAGTTGACATTAGTTAAATTTATAGTTATAAATCAAATCAAATTTACTAATAATAAATAATAATCACATTTGTAATAATAAAAAAAATAAAGAAAAAATGCAATTATTGACCAATTTCTGGTATTTATAAATATATATTCAGATTTTTTTTTTATTATTCATTATAAATACATCCATTTTAGTTTATGTAAATTTATGAAGTTTGACATTTTTAGAAATGAAATCAAGTTTTTTGTATATTGTGGGTTTGGTTCAGAATATTTTTTTTTTTATATAATAAAAGAATAAAATAAAAGAATGTTTTTGCATATGATAAACATAATATGTAGAGATTTTAATTTTTGAATGTAAGGTGACAGATGAGAGAGTAACAACCACCTTAAATCAGGTTATTAAATTTAAATTTCTATAAAGGTGTTCACTTTGGATTAAAGAATTTGAATATGAAATTGTTTTTTTTAAACCGACTATTGATATTTCTTAATTGTCCAGATAAGAAAAGATTGTATTAAATTATTAAATTTGGTACATAACTTACTATTTCTTTCCTCATTTTCATCATCTGGAAATAAATCAACAACTGGATCGTCACTTTTAGATTTTTCTTGTTTATTTTCAGTTTGATCTTCAGTCTTAGTAAATTTTTCATACACATTTTTTTTTTTTTTAAATAACACACCATAATTAAAATAATTTAAGTATAAGAGTATACTTATATAGTAAAAATATAATTAATACCTTATCAGCGTCAAATTTACTGATAGATGCCATAAATTCTAAATGTTTATTTTGTTCATCCAATAATGCAACAGCCTGCTCAGATGCTTGTAATTTTTGCTGTGTGTTTGCTAGTTCATCCCTCAGCCACGCATTTTCTTGACATAGTCTACGGACCTGAGTTCGAAGTTTTTGTTTTTCTGCTTCAACATTTTGAAGATGAGAAGCCAATGCTAACATCACCTAAGTTGATTATTTAAAAAATGTATTTTATTAAAAAAAAAAATTGCCGACAATATTTTTATTTGAACAGATAATAAAAATAATTACTATTGTTAAATGGTTTTTTTTTTAGGTTTTTCAACATACCTATAAATCTATAATATTAAATACCAGTAAGCTAGCATGTAAGTTTTTCTGTACTTGGGCTTTGTCCCGTTTTGCAAAATATTTTTAAAACAAATAGGAATAAATAAGAAACGACAAGTCATTCCATAGGTTAAAATAATTTTGCTTAGACACTAATGAACTAATAACAACTCATGAAGGATAACAATTCATGTAAATTGGTAAAATGCTTGATTCACATGGAAATAAATCAAGATATAAAAACATGGAATTACTTGAAGGACTTGTCAGTCATGCATTTTCTTGACAGTATACAGATAAAAAAATTAAGTAACAGGAATTTTACATAGTTTTTCTCAATACGAGCCAGTATTAATTTATTTGCATTACATTTCTATTCTTAATTTTAAATCAATAAAAATTAATGAATATAGAATCTTGATGATGACAATTTTTTTTTTTTTTATATATAAGTTCTGTACATTGGTATCAATGACAGTCATGTTGGTGTATATTTTTTTCACAATGCTTTTTCCTACCTGAGCTTCTCCAAGACCTAATTCGGTCATATCCAAAGTTTTTTGAAGCATTGATTGTTTCTCTTCCGGTTGCATTGTACTTTGCCCTGGATTATTAGATGCTATTAACTCATTTTTCAAGGCTTCTAGACCTTGGGCTACAGTTTTAATACCGACCATCATTTCTTCTTGAGACATTACAGTCATGGTAACTGAAAATAAAATTAAGCTATAATTTGTATTTTTTAGACTACACTATATAGTAAATAATGAAGTCTTATTAATATATAAATGTATTAAATATTTGATATTCATTATATTAAAATAAACAACAATTGACAATGATAAATAGCAAATTGGAGGTATTTAATACAACAATTTTCACACCAAATATTTAATTCATAAAATTAATATAATGACCTTTAAGGTCTTTTAGCAAATTATTTATTTAAGTTCTTAATTTAAACCAATGAAATTATGATGAGGATAATCGCTTAAGAGTTAATAAATTAATATACCATGGATGCTGCTTAATTCGGGCACGTTGGGACCAGCTCTGTTTGCTCACATTAAGCGGCTGCCCATAAAAACCGAAATTTATTCAAAAACACAAACATTTTTATTTTGCACACATGAACCATACAATTGGAAAAAAATGTTAAATTACTGCATAAATAAAACTAAATATAACATACTAAATAAAATTACTATTTGAATATGGAAGGTGTACAAAACGTAATTGCTTTTTTTTAAAAGCTGTTTAGTATGGATCTGGTCAACATAAAATGGGTACATGCCTAAAGTTTATCAGACTACTTTCATTATCCTCTTGCATGAACTCACATGCAACTCTATATATTTAATCAACAAAATCCCTTGAAGGTTTAAATGTTAATGCTTTTTATTAAAATAATTTTTGATAACCGCAATCTCATAAATACAACGGAACCCAATTATATCAGTCGTTTTTAAATACATATGTATACATTCCAGCGCTATGATAAAAAAAAATTGCCCACATAAATCGAATCAGGTACCCTTATTATGCAATTATTTTAACCTTGTTAATATACATTTGTATTGAGACCAGATCATTTTGCCCATTTACTTGGTGCCCATATTAAGCGGAATCCACTGTACATATAATTATAATTTAGAAAGAATTTTAATTATAATATTATAATATATACTGCTTGAACTTTAAACAAATATTTATTGATATAGCAAGATAGTACAACATAAATTTACCTTATTTTGATATACTAGGTTTATCTGTTAATAATAAACTTCGTCAACTATATTCTGTATAAATTGATCACATATTATTACGCATTTCTGTGTCGATATTCATTCTAAATAAATCATAAAATAAATGTGTAAATTAAGAAATAATTCTTGTACTCTTGTGATATTTTTGATACCTACTTAACTATAGAATATCTGAGTATTCAATATAATATTATTCCTAAATGTTTTTGGTATATTTTAAATACATAAAAGTATAACAATATAACATATTATAAATTTAAATTAACACTATTTATACTGGTTTTACTAAGATATAATATCTATATATATATATATGTGTGTGTAACAAAAAATTGTTATCTTGTTTTTATAAGAAATCATACAAATATTTAATTTATTTAATAGTTAATATAGTTAAAAAAAAATAACGCTAGAAAATTATGATTTATTTATTAATATCTCTATAAACAGTTCTTACAAATAGAGTAGTGAATTTAAGTTGATAAAATATTTACCGTATGGTTAAACAATTATGTACTAATACTGCAATAGAAATACTTTCAAAATTATTATATGAATACAACTTCTAGTTAATAACTAATTAGAGGCAAATAAAAATGTATCAAATAGCAAATATCTAATCAATAGAGACAAAAAAGAACATTGAGTAGGGTAGATTTTTAAGCCAATGTTATGATATAGGTAATAAACTTACTTATGTATTTCACAATGACGTTATGTTGGCCAATTTAAATTTACACAAAACTAAGTGTTTTATTAAACGTAATATATCAAGAAATTACGATAATTAAAATGAAAAATTGAAAACTAACAAGTTTTACAGTAAAAAACACCTTTCACATTTAGATTTAATGGCTTAATACAGTAGTTACATACATAAAAAAAATTGGTAGAATTGGTTGGTGGTTAGGTTATACACTCATAGTGGTAAATGTGGTATACTACAATTTATAATGTTGGTATAGTTATGATATATAATAGTATATCATAATATGCAGATAGATAACAGTTTTTGAAATCGAATATCGATTATTATTAATAAATATTTATACTATGTAAAGAATACAATGCATTTGTTCATTAATCGTAATATAAATTATAATTGTTGTGATTGATTATTCGATATTTTTATTTTTGAAATGTTTATTAATTAGTAAAGTTAAAAATTAGAAATATCGATTATCGAAACTATCGATATTTTTTTTCAACCACATGATACCACAAATTACAAGTGACAAAACTTGCGAGTTGTGGTCGCCGCTTTGTCGATACCTCTGTGGGAAACAATTTTGTTTTATTTTTTAGGTGCTGTGTTTTGTGGTGTATTTTGTGTATTAAGTACAATATATACCCTATAATGAATACGATATTATATTTATAAAACCAATCATTAATAACCATACAAATATGCCCTATTAGTTTAATATTATTGTATGTTGTTAAATTCTTAATATTTTATCGGTATTATTAAATTTACTTTGCGATTATCGAGTTAACGTTTTTTGTCTTAACTGTACAATTATAGTACCTTCATATTATTTTTATTTTTATATTGCATATGGTACACGCAGAGGTAAGATATTAATTTTGTTAATTATTATAAATATAAATAATCATAACATGACTTCAAATAGTTATACAAATTTAAAACAAACAAGATATTTACATTGATGAATACTACTACTACAATATCAGAGGCTTTTATGTTAATATCTATTTTAATAGAAGGTAAAGGGTATTTTGAAGGAAAATATTGAGATTTCTCATGCATTATAGTTTGTCACATGTTGTTGTTATTGTATGATGGTTCTTAATTGATATTCCGCCATCATAATACATTTTCTTACTAAATGTGATTTGGCTAACAAATGACATTAAAAAAATTAACTCGAGATTACACTTGAGCTGCTAAAAGAACCAAGTAAAGGTTATGGCATACCGGGTGTATTATAATCGAGCAAAATTTATTGTAGGACTGTAAACTATTTTCATTTGATTTCCCTATAAACTACCCAATATTCTTTTTCATAATTGTGTATTGTTATAGATTTGTGTAGCAATGACACCTAGATACTAAAATAGTTAATGACAGGGTAATAATATTTGCAAATAAAGTATCATAATATATTAAGTGTCTGTTGTTGATGGATATTACATTATTAGTAGGTATTGTAACAGTTATAAAAAAAACTAAGAAATATATCCAATAATGGTGTTTTTCAATAGTTACAAATAAAAGTAATCTACCAATAGTGTTACAGATCTAATTCTTATATTTCATTGTTTTATAAATTTTCATTCAAAATACCTAATACCAACAAAATATAAACTATAGAATATTTTAAAAATTATTATTATTGTGATTATTTTAATGATGCTTTTAGTAAAAATTTATAAAAATTAATTTGCTCGACATTACCTACTATAATTTTATTAGGTACATAATTTTTAATATATTGTGTATTATTTTAAGGTCATAAAAATAATTTAAGAACATGGATAGAGGTGGAAGAAGTATGAGAAGACCTAGGGGAGGTCGGCCATTCATTAGAGGTTTTTATCGAGGTAGAAAAGGAATAAGACGTCCAATGGGAAACAGATCCAGAACATCTAGTTCTAGAGATAAGTATGAATATAATGACAATGATCGAAGCGATTCACATGAAAGATCATGGGATTCTCCTTCAGGTACTGATCGAGATGGCTCCAAAGATAAACATGATGATAATTCACCAATTAGAAGTAAATGGGATAAAGATGACGACATTAGTAAAAAAAATGAAGAGCGATATTCAGGTAAAAAAGAATATAGCAATTCAAAGTATTATAGACGTCCAACTGGTTATTATTATAGAGGTCAAAGACGGCCTTATCAAAACAATTATTGGGATAGAAGTGATCGTGGAAGACACTATTCACCACAAAGTCAATACCGTGTAAGACCCTATCATTCTCCTAGATCTAGGCGATATTCACGTTCTCCTGATAGACGTCGATCACCTAGTAGATATCGTTCACGTTCTCGTTCACGTACACCAAGTAGATCTAGACGATATTCTCCAAAGTATAGATCACCTAAAAGAAGATCACATTCACGACGACGGTCTAGATCACCTAGTCAGTCAGTTGAAAAAAATCAAGCTGTTAAAATTAATTCTGATGACGAAAACCATTCTGATGATTTTGTTGAGAAATTAAAAGCTTCCAAAGCTTCTAAAACACCTAGTAGAGCTATAATTAGTGATGATAATTATAGCATTGAGAGTGATAAAAATGAAATGAAAGATATAAAACAGTCTAATCGATCTGAGTATTCTTCTAAAGGTTCAAAAACTCCTGGGCGACCAGAACTTTCTGGTAATGATAAAGATGACTACTGGGTTAAGTCTCAAAATTCTAAGCCTTCAACTAAAAATCTTTATTCTAGTAGTTGGGATGATTCTCCTGTTAGAGAAAAATCTGTTCCTAAAGTAACAAAAACACCAGGTAGGAAAGATTATTCAGCTAAAGATAATGACGATTATTGGATAAATTCATCACCTACAGAATCTAAAAAAGATCGTTCATCTAAAGACTTATACTCAAAAAAGACAACAAATAAAGGTTCCACAACAATGTATGTACACGAATTGAGTACATCAGACTCTGAACCAGAAAAAGTAATCAAAAGAACAAGATCTATATCATTAACAAATTCTGACAAAAGTGATACTCCACCATTAAATACAGAACAGTCGAATAAATCAGGAAATCGTTATTCTCAAGCTTCTAGGGGGTCAAATTCTATATTAAAAGAACCTCCACCTTCTTCCAGGAGGTCAACAAATATTTTAAAGGAACCTCCGCCTCCTTCAATACCTACTATACCCAATAATTTACCTGTATATAATACACAATGGGCAGAAATACAGAATACAACCACAACATATCCTCCAACAACAAATTATATTCAACAAGCTTCACAATTTGCAGTTTATCAACAAAGTTCAGTATGTAACATTTTTATCAACAATAAAATGAAAGTATCATATTGTGTCTAAAATGTCAAATATCAAAGTTTAATTTTATATTTTTTCTTAAAAAGTTTAATTCAATTACAATTATCAAGAAATTATTTGATAATTAAAATGAGACAAAAATTATTGATCCATAATCAAACATTACAATTATATTTGTTGAAATGTTTTTTTCTAATGCAATGTTAGGTATATAAAATAATTTATATTTTATAACAGAATTAGCCCAAAATCAGAACAAGTTGTATAATACTCAAGGTTATCCAAAATAGAGTTTTTTCCAAGTTAGGTAATATCTCTCATTTTAAATACTTTAGGTGAGAAATACATTGGTTTTTCTATGAAATAGGCTTTTTATTTTTTCTATATATCAGAAATCATACTTTGATTTTTAAGTGTAGCATCTTCACTGAAATTAAATTATACCTAGTTAATACATTGGAGAGATAATTTATTAAATTTGTTTAATAATTGGGAAAAAACAGAAATATTTATGGCAATAACAACTTATTGTAATTCAGCCAAAAATATTAATAGAAACCTGAAATTTTTACAGAATAATTATAATTTAATTTTCTATTATAAAACGTACAATTTTTAAATTTCTATATGATTTTATGTCCAGGACCATGGAGAGAATGTTCAGGTCGGTAGGTAATGACATGCAGACCCCCTATCTTTTTGTCCCTTATTTTACATACATGTTTGATATTTCCAATTAAAAATTAAAACATAACATTATTTAAAATCATTTTTATTTGTGTATGAGTCTAGACAAAATATAAAATATATCAAATGTACAGCACCGTCCTCTGACGTTTGTTATCTTATCTGTTCAATAAAGATAATTCTTTAAATTATTTTAAACTGATTACGTGCTACAGGCACTGTTATACATATTATAAATAGACCCTATAGGTACTTACTTTACATTATTTTTTATTCGAAATTTCCTACACCACGTACGTGGTGTAAGTTAACTAGCTGCAACCTTTTTTTTTGTTCAAAAATCCAAATAATATAATTATTTAGCACTAGGGTTATATGGGATATTCATGGAGCTCAAGTTTTTCAACATTCCATACATTTTTTTTCCTTTTCCATTCACATACTGGGCCCCCATAAAAATTCTGGGCCCGAGGTGATTCACCTCCCTCCTCATCTTGTTGGACCTGTTTATAACCAAACAATTGTTTTACTTAAGAAGAAATGCTTGAAAATTTATTACAAGTTCTATATTTTGAACTTGGTGAAGGAAAAAAATAACTTGACTAATGTAGTACTTTTTGTTAGCAATAAAAGTAATTTAAATAAGTGTAGGGTATTCTATAGAGATTTGACAATATTAATAGTCTAGATCAGTCATTCTCAGCCTTTTTTTCATTTGAGCCACATAAATTATTTTAAAATATTATGCGGGTCGCAAGTTGAAATGAACGGAAAGGGGATTAAAAAAAAAAAATAAAATTACATTTATGTATTGTGTATAACATTTGAAAATTTATTAAAAAAAAAATAAAATAAATTCTGGTTTTAAATTAGTGTGAATTTTGATATTGAGATAGTTTTTTTACTATTTTGAATATTTCTGGTTTGTTGTTGCTGCATACTCTTCTTAACAAGTCGTCAAGATGTAAATCAGTAAGCCGAATTCTGTACACATTCTTTGTATATTTTATTTTTGAATATGAAGTTTCACATAGATATGTTGATGTGAACATTGTTAGCAAAAAGTGGGCTCATTTTTGTTTGGTTTTGTATTTTCCTGACACTAAATAACAAATTTATATTATTTTATCAATTCAATGAGTTCTGTTTGGGCTATATAAAAACCATTGGCAGGTTGAGTATCGCTGGTCTAGATTATTGAAACCCTCTATTTATTATTGTTTATTTCTTTATAAATTTACATAGACTTTATAAATAAGTTTATACATCTCCTTTAAGTGACAACTTGTGTTCGAGGTATTGAGTGATAATGACAATGAATAGAACATAAATTAAATACTAATCTAAAATAGTCCAAACAGAGGTATTAATATTATTATTAGACAACGAATTTTACTATTTAGACTTTCTATAGAAAAACTAAATATTTGCAAATTGTTTTTATAAATTTGTTTAATATAATTATTATTTTAAATAAAGGTTCCTAATTCACAATGGTATCAACCTCCTGGATACCAGCAATATGGAGCGACATTCCAACAATTTCAACAATATGACCAAAAACCTGTTGCTTTTAATCCAGCACGTTCTAATCTTGAACCAGTTGAGGTAATTATTACTTTTTATAATTGTTTAACTTAAATTATATGTCTATGTCTAATTTAATTAAATTAATAACAGGGTTATCAATCTACAAATCGAGGGTTGTACAACATCGATTTAAAACAAATTATAGATATAACAAAACCTCCTCCAAATATTACACCAATTATTCCAGGTATATTAATATTTTTAAAATAAACATTAATTTTCAGTATTTATTTATAATATAAAATATGTTTTTCTTTCTTTTTTTTTTGTCATATTATTTACAAGTGTTTTTTTATATTTCTTTTATTTCTACAACTGAATTACAAATTTAAGTACTAAATAGTAGTATAAATTATTATTATTGTTATTTTTTTCACATTAAAATAATATGCATTCTTATATAATAGGTAATTTATATTTGTGGTTTTGATTTTAGTATCAGATACACAACCCAAAAGTTCTCAGGATAGTGTTTTTGAAATGCAGCGTGAAACATATACTACTAAACTTTTTAGTTTAAAAAAAGAACTTGACACTTTGCAAATACAATATGATAAATTTAAGTTAGATAATGCTGATGGTCGTCATAATAATGATTTGAAAATGAATAGAAAATTGCAGGTATTATTTGTTATTTATTTGTCATTCTTGAAGTATGAAATGTATTTATATTGAATAAATTTATAAATACATGATACATTCTACCTAATTTATTTATTGAAGGATGATGTAAATGGGAAAATCAAAGGCGTAACTAATATTCTTGAAGTATTGAACACAATGATTCCTAAAGACTCTTTAAAAGAAGTTAAAAAAATTGAACCTAAAAAAATAGTAATTTTGAAAAATATATTATATTTGATTTAATTTATATATAATTATTATAAATAATTTTAGACAGCGGAACCTGAATATCTAAAAACTCCAACTGAAACATTACAACAAAAAGAAATTCTACCCATACATAAACATCGCCGCCATAGTACATCTTCTTCGTCTTCAAGAGAATTTAAAAAAAAACGTAAATCTATCAAATCAAAAAAAATATTAAGAGTACAATCTTCTTCAGAAGAAGAAACTGATTCTAAAAAATTATATAAATCTAAGGAATTGATTGACACCAATAAAAACAAATTTCGTAATGAAAAACTTCCTCAATTTAAGTATATTTATTGTGATTCGTGTATTCATTGGTGTCAGCCTTGTAATATCTTTCCAAAAACTGCAAAAGACTATTTAACACATTTACATAGTAAATCTCATAAAACAACTATTGAGGTTAGTAACTTTTGTCTATTGAACTCATAAAAAAAATGATATTTTTTTTTATAAATTAATTTAAAACTTTATGTTGCTATATATAGGAGTTAAATGTTGTTGAATTACCCTGGCATGATTCTCAAACAAATATTGAACAGCCTCAAACAAATTCTGATTTAGAAATTAAACGAGTACCTATAAAAGGTAATTTTAAATTTTATTATTGATTAATTTTAGTGAATTATAGATTTTGATATATAATAATTATAAAATACATGTTATTACTAATACAAAATTATCACATAGGGCTAATTAATTTAAATCTTAAGAAAAATTTTAATGGACAAGTGATAGATGTAACTCTAATATACATTTAAGGTTTGGAGCGTATACTGTATTGGTTAACTATGATACAAACTTTTCTACCAGAAATCTTTTCAGAAAGACAATTTTATCTATTAGTTACTTTAGGGAGGTTATTTTTCGATTTTCCAAGCAGTTTTCAAAATAATTTAGCAAAACCAAAAAATACATAGAAAGAACAAAAAAAATACTTTTATAATTTTCAATTTTGTTTTTTGTATTATATTTCAGTTATTTGCAGACTCGTGTAAAACCAAACTTCGTTCTGAATTTCTTTTTTTTTTTTTTTTCTCGTGTGCAGATGTAAATTAAATTCCCCTCAAAAATGTCTCACTTATAATAGTGGCTCACCCATCGTACTAAATATGTCAGTCTTTTTCTTTTATTGCCTTGTATTAATAAAAAATAATAATAATAATATTGTTTCTTTGTATAATACTTGGTAAATTTTTAGAAATGTAGTTGAATCTTAGTTTTAGATAAATTTTCTTACGCAGTTATGCACCGTTTGAATTAAGTTGTTTTCCATTAGAGATCGTTTATATTTTTAGGATAAAAGGAAAAATAGACAATTTTATTTCACACGGTTTGATTGCAGAACAAGTGAGCCATATGTGAATTAGTAACAATATTATATTATTGAAGTATATTCTTATAACTATACGATTTTCATGGCAGAGAACCATCCATATACAAAAAAAGACAAGTTTACTAAATTTTGCTCTGAAAAATGAAGAAAACGAAATATTATATTTCAGGGGCTTAGCACTATACAAATATCCAATATTTATATTTTATAGTATTATAATAAATCATAATTTTTCAAACTTTATAATGTATGTATCATTATATGTTAAAATAATTAATTTAAAACAATAATTTGTAGGTTTGCAGTTTTTTATTGGAACTACTGCTTGGTATTGCAAGCTTTGTGACACATGGATTGGCGATCTTCATTGTGCTTCAGCACATTTTAAATCTAAACGTCATAATGACTTGTATGAGGTAATTAAAAATTATTTTATTTTTATTTGCATGAATGAATTCTTAAATTATCAATGAAAGTAATTGATTTAGTTGAAATAATATTTTTTAATGAGCGAGTTTAAATTATATTTAATATCTAGACGAACAGTTATTTGGTATTTAGTGTCAATTTTTAACCTTCTACTATACAGATGGGGTAATTTATTACAATTGTTATTATGTTATTATTAATTTTATTAACTGAATGCCATAATTTTATCTAGCTTTCTTAATATAGTTTCAAAACATTTTCTGTGCATTCCCAGGAATTTATAATTTAATTAACAATTATAAAGAAGACTATATTATATACTATTATACTATGCTTGTTATTTTAAAATGTATTATATAAAATCCATTTGTCAAAATCTACTCATATGTATTAATATTATTTTCATATAATAACATGTAAAACATTCTATAATGTATTTTCACCAATCTTTGTCATTTTACAATATACCAGTTAAACAATTTGAATATAGCAAATTCTTACACTTTAAGCAATTTATTTCTGAAACCGCGCACGTGGTAGAAGGTTAAGAGATGTACAACATGAGCCACGCAATGAGTTCACCAAATATTGAGAGAAAATCAATTCTGGTTAATGTCAGGTAAATCGAAAATGGAACCAATAATTTTGTGTGAGTTCAATTAATTAAGTAAGTTCGAGGGATTTGAAGAAAAGGTTGTAATGGATTATGTAAAAACGATGGAAAAAAGTATATGAAGAACAGAAGAATTTACATGATTATTAATTTTTAGATTATTTTATTAATTTTATTAATATTTTATAAATTATAGTGTTATACAAATATTCGTAGATAAATTAATAACAATCTAAGTTGGTGTTATTAAGTTTTTTTTTTAATTTTAGGAACTTATTGCAAAAAAACCAAATTGGGAAATTGAGTGGCTTACTAAAAGGACACTTGCATTTGAAAAAACCTTGCTAGAAACAAGTATAAATATGACAAAAATTGATACAATAAAAGAAGATAAATCTAAAGAAAATCTGTCTGAACCTAAATTTGAAAAGTCTTTTTTTGAAAAGGAGCCTAAGAAAGATAGAGAAAGAGAGAAATTGCGTGATCGCGAAAGAGATAAAGAAAAAGACAGAGATAGGTATAAAAAAGAATTAAATCGAAAAACTACAGATTTAAGAAGGCATTTAAGCCCTGATAAAGAAAGTAATGATTCAAATAATGTATCTATATCAGATTGGATGAAACCAGTTGATTTACCTGTAGATAAAAGTATGATTACTTTAAAAGAAACTGTTCAAAAATCTAAGGTTAGATTGCATAATAAAAATAAAAGTGATGAAATTGATGAATATAAACCTAATGCATCTGATGTACGTGTAATTAAAAAACAAAGGCTTGAAGAACCAAAACCACCAATTCTAAATGAAAGGAAAGATGAAAGTTTGCATTTATCTAATCGTAATAAGATCAAGTTACCATTTATTGGGAAAATGCCATTTGCAAAACCTATCACTAAAAAACCTAATGCATCTACTAAAGATATACCTAATTTTACAGTAGAAAGTGCAACAGAAGATGAATCCAAAGGTAACTTGATGGACTCTGTAGCAATTCAAAAAATGTTAATAGGACAAATGATTTCCGCTGCAAATGAAAAAAAGGTTAAGTAATGAAATTATTTGATTTTAAGGTAAATATAAATAATAGCTGTCAAACTAAAAATTAATTTAAAACAAACATTGTATTAATTACTATTTTATGAGCCTACACTTTTTTAAAAATGCCTTATCAATCTGTTAAATAATAAGAAAATAAACATTCCTTTCATTTCGTCAAATTTTAATTTGGGTTTGTAATATATTATTACACTTACAGTGGAGTCTCAATAATTCAAATTTTTTTTTCAAATGCAAGTTAACTTAATATATTTTATAATTTTTTACACCAATTATTATTTCGATCAAAATGTATATTTATTTTTTAAGTTCGTTATTTAGTTGATCTGTTACTATTTCTGACTGTTGGAAGTATATTCAATGAATATACTTGAATATTATTTACATTTGATCTAAATCAACAACATATTACTCACTCTAATGAAGACATTATGAAATTGTACACGGATGAAGTCTAGAGTAACTGCTAGTACCAGTGGTGGTCAAATATTTTTTTCATAAGAAGATAAGGATAATTTTTTTTTATTAATATTTACATATATTATTTTAAATATTTAAGGCAAATGAAGTCATGGAGGGATGTCTTCTGTTTTACCGTCCTTACTATTGATTAAATCAATGGTACTACATAATATTCTAATTATTACCCTATTTTTCAGTTACAAATATTCCAAATTATTTGCATCATATCCAAAAATACTCAGTTTTTTGGTCAATATTACTTTATTTGAAATAATGTCTACATTTTCAATAGTTATTCTATAATGTACCGGATTATATTATTATTATTTTTTAAACAATATTTCCTATATAAGAATTGTCAATGTATTAAAATTATAATTTTAAAAACATATATCTGTTTGACAGCATTATTATTTAAAAATTAATTTACTATTACTATTTGAAATAATTTATTATTTCTGAATTAAATAAGTATAATATTTAACTCTTTTTAACATTAATATATAAAATAAATATTATTTCAGGTAGAAAAACAAATATTACCTATTGATATGGATATCGATGATGATAATGAAAATGATACTATGTTTAGTGCAGAAACAGATTCAGTTAAAACTCAATTGAATTCTGTACAACCAGGAAATCAAATACATCAAGTATATAATCAACCACATACTACTAATACATTACCTCAAGATTTAAGTACTGCACTGAATATGATATTTCCTTGCAATGAACCTTCTTCTGTAGTACCTTCTTTAAACACATCAATTAATCCTCAAATTCACAATCCATTAATGCATCAACATCATTTCAAAATGTCGTATGACATAACAAATAATTCCAACATTTCACCTGAAAGGAAGAAAAAGAAAAATGCTCCATCACAGCGTAAACGAAGACATATGAAAAAAAATATGGGTAAAGACGAAGAATGTACTAAAGATGATTATGAGGATGATGATGATAAATCAGATGGTCCAATTCAAGGTCCTAAAGAAGAAGATAAAGTCAGAAAATCTAATGGCAATGAATCTGAAGGAGATGAACTTGCTATGCTTGGTATTGATGTTGAAGACATGGCTGCCCAATATTATTAAGATAATATATTAGCTTGTAATTTAATTTTATGAAAGAATATGGCTTTTGTTTTGTCATAATTAAATATTCTCTTTTCCCTATATTCATAAATAGTTTTAAAACTACGTTTTTAAATAATTAAAGCAATTTGTGCTGCATATTAAATATTTGGTTGAACAAATTTAAAAATTGATTTAATACAATTATTTTACTATTGATTTATTAATATGTCATTAACAGGTATTTAATGAATAACTGAAATGAATTCAAATTAAATACTATTATTTGAATGTAGTTATATGATTTAAATTTTGTCTTATATGATTGTAACAAATAAATATAATATAAATTCCTATTTAGATTCCGAGTTGGAATTGTGAAACTATTAATGTGTTAAATTTTTTTCATAAAATATTTTTAAAGTTGTAATATCAGTTATGTTTAACTATTTCACTAACCAAAAGTAATTTGTCCAAAAGTAAAATTTATCTTTATCTATTCCTCATATCTACCCTAATAAACTTCAGTCGTTTTTGTTTTTGACCCATCTTCTCTGATTTCCATTTATACTTAACTCACTTATCTTCTTAACCATATTAGCTTTTCTCTCAACATACCTATGTCCAAACCAATCTAATTTTGTCTGCTATACCTGCTACTACATCTTATATTGTATTAGTATCCTGTTGTAAGTATTCATAACTTCATGTTACTTATTATTGCTATGTTAATAACGCCCTGCACTACGCATAAAACCATATAACAACAAATTGCTTCATATATTTGTAACAAACAGCATGTCTACTTATTTTATAATTTTAATAAATTGATAGTTAATTTTGTACATATATATTATATTATTAATTAGTTAAATAAACTAAAACTGAGATCACATTCCTAATCCTATTTAGTCGCACAACACATCTAACTTGACATTTTCATGTCTTTTATACTTCATTGCTGATCTCACCAAATGTAGTTCATAACAATTTTAATGGCAAAAAGCATTATTTTAAAAGTTCTGAAAAGTGAGGATACTATTTAATAATTTGCAAATTTATTAATGTATGTTTAATATAGAACACAATTTGTATTTAATGGAATTTTTTTTTCAAATAGTCTAACAACTTGAAGAATGCATTTTAAAATTATAATGAAACAGATATTTTATTGCATTTCTGGAATTTTCTCAAAAATGAGAATTTTGGTATAATTTATTTTATATTATTAAATAAGCAAAACACATCATATACTTCACCTTTATTAAATTTAAAACATAAAGTCTCTGTTTCTGATATTTTTTTTATCCTCCTATTCAATTCAAATTATTATTACTTTTTTTTAAATGAATGGTAAATAAATTTTCTTATTTAACTACCACCAATATATTTTATTTGAATACAACAACAAATTATACATAAAATAATAACCATTTACTTATATAATTATATTTTTCTTAATTATAAATATACGAATATAATTATTACTAATTAGGTACAGCATTTAATAGTAAAATAAATATACATCATAATAAATAATTCAACCTGATGTTACAGAACGTACAAATTCTTCATAGTTGATGTTACCTAAAGAATCTTCTTGTCCGGCTAATAATTGTTCAACTTCTTCATCAGTAAGTTTTTCTCCTATAATAATTAAAATATTATTTGTTAAGAAGTTTAATTTTAATAATAAAATGTATAAAAATTACCAAGTGTAGTAAGTAAATGGCGTAATTCTGCAGATGATATAAATCCATTCCCTTCTTTATCAAAATGTCGTAATCCTTCATTAAAATCATCAGCAGTGTTTGATGAACGGTTTTTAGATATAGCTTGATAGATAGGTAAAAATACCTCAAATGGAATACGTTCATCTATAATTACAAAAAGTGTACTTAAAAATGTTGATTTTAATAAATATGCCCACAAGCACATTGATTAATCTGTATTAATCTGTTATATATGAGGTGTAATCAAAAATTACGATTTCTATTTTCTCATCTGTTTTTGTAAATTCTCTAAAATTTCTTAGTTTTGATGTAACAGATGTTTTTGTAAAATATGTTTTTTGTGCATTATCAATTTTACAATAAACCCAAAAGAAGAGTATTCTAGTTGAGTTGAAGAGGATATTTTCTTTTTTTGCTATAACAAAATCTTGGTTGATAGAGAAATGCATTATTTCAACATGACTCGCGCCAAAAAATTGTAACTGAAATTCTGCAGAAACATCAAGTGGCAGCAAAGTTTGTCCCAAGAAAGTTGAAGAAGTGTTAAGGTTCAAAATCACATCCAAGATTAGGTTTGCCAAGACAATTTTGATGTGGTAAATTTTCATAAAAACTTTATGAAATGTTATAATAAACAATACGCAATCAAAATGGAAGAATAATATTTCCCGAAAAATGTATAAAGGTACTTTTCTTTTGGATTCATTACAAAAATGCCAAAATATGGATAACATGTTTTATAAAAACATTGGTTACATCGTAAGGTTATAGAGAATCTACAAAAACAGAAGTCACAGAAACCAATAACAATCCTACTGCTCTTCAACAATCTGTTGATGCGTTGAAGAATTGACTATAGGTGAATTCTGTTTGAATGTGATTTTGTACTTTTTGACCACACTTCATTAAAAAAATAAATAGTTTATAAAAACAAAAATACCGGCTTTATGTTGTTGGGCAAATTTTTTTACATCAGATTCAGTTGGATTTTGACCTAATGCACGAAGAGCATTGCCAATATGTGATATATGTATTCTATTGTCACCTCGGTTATCGAACAATTGAAATGCCTCTTCCATTTCTAAAACAAGTAATATATAAGTGAATGTATTTATTGTTTATATTTTTGTTTTAGTTGAAATATGTTTTCAGATTTTTCATCAATGTATTTATCTTTAAGGAGATAAAAAAGGAGAAAATATCAATTTCTATAATCTAGGTACGTAGTAAATTTGAATATATTAATTTGTAGTACTATTATAAATATATTTTTCTTTTATTATTTTATTATATACTATTAGTATTACTTATATAATTTATAATATTGTATAACACAAACAAATATTCATTCAGTGTTATGTACTCACTTCTTATTTATTTTAGATTTTCCAAATTAATAATAAATTTGTAGTAAAGTAACAAATATACAAATATAATATAAAAATTATTCCACCCAACCAGTATATATAAAAAAAAAATGGGAAGTTGAGAACATAGGAAATATAAAGTTTAATTTATATATGTAAGCAAAAATAAATCATTCTGAGCAAAGTTTAGGTAAATACATTTACCTTTAAACACATATAAAAAGACTGACATTCTTTACACAATGGGTGAGCTACTGTTGTAGTTGAGAAGTTGGGAAGGTAGGATATAGAGGGAAATTTAATATATTAATAATATTTAATGATATTAAACAATGATAAAGAAAAACGATTTTGAGCAGAGTTCTTTTTGTTTTAAACAACTGTAATATTTATAATTTGTGTTAAAATTCTTATAAAAAAAAATTCTGCATTATACCCAATTTTTGTTTTATTGCAATGTAAGACTTATAATGAACCTCCTGTTATATTATCAAGCATTTCTGTTCGGTTTTACAATAACCTACCGAATAAAATTACGTGAAAAACTTACAAAATTAAAATATTTATAAATAGCTCAAAAATAGCTAAAATGTTTTTAAAATTTTACCAAATCTAGAAAAATCAAATATAATTTTTTATCTAAATTTCAAGTTTCTAAGAATATTTTTAACTGAAATATACCAAAAACACAAATTTGAAAATAATAAATTCCATACATTTTTCATTTTTCCTACTTTTTTTCCAAATTATTCTGAAAACCGCTAAGTAAATAACCTCCCTAAAGTATTAAGTAGATAAAATTACTTTTCAGAAAAGATGCTACACATGCAAATCAGGGCTAGACTACTGGTACTGGTAGTAAAGTTCACAGAAAATTATCTTTTTTTAAAAAAATAAACAATTGTTAAACCAACTCCTCATATCACTCATAATCTAAATCTAACACATTTTTTTTTGACTTATAAGTGCAATTTATTATAAACCTCATGTGAAATATTCCATCATCTATATTTGGCTAAACAATTTATTCAAATTGAACAAAATAATAACTGAAAAAATGATGTAAACTTTCCTATTTTTCCCAATTATTATGAAAACTACATTGAAAATCAAAAAATGACCACACTAATACGCTAACTGGATCCGAAATTTAACAAAAAAGATCCCTTTTTCAATTGGATCAAGATCTTTAGTAAAAAAGTTGTTTGTGGACAGAAAAATATTAGTCATAGTAAAACAAAATTCTACAGTCTCACTTAGCTCAGAATAAAAAATTATTATTTTGCATGACCATTTAGAATTATATAACTGGTTAAGTAAACATTAAAAAATGATATAATATAAACCTTCGAAAATTTAAAGCCATGTTGACATTTATTTTATAGCTACATAGAAAAGAATAAAATATTTTGCTTACAATTAAATATTTGGTCAACAGTATTACTGATAAAAAAAAAAAAAAAAAACAATATGCAAAACAATAAATAAATATCATTGAGTGTAAACACCATATTAAAGTTAACTAGATAAAATGTTTTGAGAGTACAGTCATCAGAAATTATTTGGTATGTAATTTTATTATACCATTTAAAATTACAAAAGATATGACGGCATTGTAGAAAATGTAGATTATCTCAAGTAAAAACAATTTACAACAAACATTATATTTAGGTAAATGGTGTTTTTAAAATTGTTAATTATATTTTTAGATGATCTATTTGACAAGTACAAATTAAGAATGAAATGTATTTGATTTTCAAATGATACCTATTACTCTCCCCCTACCCAAAATTAAAAGTTGACAGAAATGTATTTATTTATTTAAAGCTTAAACACCCCAAAGGGATAAAGAGTACAGTTACAATTGCACAAAAGATTATACAAAAAAGAAAAAATAGAAACAAATATATAATATACAATGAATTCAAGTAGGTTTAACTAGTATTGAATATTATATGCTTTAATTTAAGTTGTAGATTAAAAGAAAAATCAAAGTTAGGTACATTGTTACATGCATTTAAAATGCGATACTCCGAACTATGTTTAATTATATTTAAGCATTGTGGTACAAAAAAAGGTGATTATTTTCTTGAGTTAAGTGTTAGAATTTTAAAATGTATCTTCGATAGGAATTCTGGGCAGGATAGTTAACAATTTATTAATTTATGGACAACAGTTATATCACTATACAATCATCTAGAGGAAAATGATTCTAAACCAAATTCTACAGCCAAGCTATCTAGGGGGACATCAACTTGACCTAATTTGTATGCCATCATTCTTAAAAAGCATCGTTGGATTTTTTTCAAGTTTGTCAATTAGATAATTTTGTTTAGGATTCCAAATTACTGATGAAAATTATAATATTGACCTGACAAGAGAGCAATATAACACTTTAAGACAATTAATGTTTTTAAATTCGGAACAGTTTCGGTTTATGAAGCCAATTGACCATAAGGCTTTGCTATAGATAGCATTGATATGAGCATGTGAGATCAGAAGACAATAAAACAAATAAAACATGCAAAGTAGAAGAGACTTGTAATTCAGAATTGTTAATACTTATATGTGGCTGTAGTTTTATAGTTGTAGCAATTGTATTATTTGACAGATGACTGTTTACTTTGACACAGAATAACCTATTATATAAGATGAGAACCATAGTAATAGTGGATATCTTATACAGAGTTTTGAAAGCAAGATGACATGGTTAACTAAATCAAGCCTTTTTGAGATCAAAGTAAATTACATCTACACAACCATTTAATTATACGGTATAAACTAAATAAGAATAGTAAACAAAAAGGTGATTTCTGTTGATTGATTTAAATTTTTAAAAGCCATGTTGTTCTACCAGAGTGTGCTTAAATGATTTTGTATAACTTTGGCTCCATAAGTTTTTCTAGAAGATTTGGTAACGTGCTTAACTTAGATATAGGATGATAGTTGTCAACTTCCGATTTAATACCGGCCTTCCATAAAAAAATTATGTAATGTAACTTGACTTCCATTTACTAGGAAAAACACCAGAGTTTAGAGATAGAGAGAATAAATAATGAATTGGGGTAGTTAATGAAAATCCACTCATGTGTAATAAAAATATTAACTCAAAAATATATTTAAATTAATACTAAATCTATTTGTAGATTTTTAATATAGATTAACATTTGTAAATAAAAAGTAGACAGTTGTTTCAACCCCAAAAATAAAAGTTGAAAAAAACCAATGTTCAACATTTTAAAGCGGCTTATTATATTTCATCAACTGTCAAAAAAAAAAAAAAAAAAATGTTCAATAATAAACATATACAATAAGGGAAAAGAAACATAATGTAAATGATTGTCTCAAAAAGCTTACACTTGGAGGAGAAAACAATTTTTATCTAGCAAACAATGTTATGTTTTAAGCTATACAGTAACAACCTTAATTTTAATCTAAAAAAATGATGTAGGATAATAGAGACGGATGCAGCCACTACTATAGATAATTTAATGTATACCTGTGAGCAACAATAAACCATTGCTCACGAAAAACCATTCTAAGCAGAGTTCAGTTAATAATAATGCTTTGTCAACAATATATATGTCATTTTATATTAAAATAATTAAATAGGCTTTATATATTTTCTTTAATATTTGTTTAATTTTGTACTGTTTTTCACATTTGCTGGAAAAACTCTTTGGAAAATCGAAAAATAACATTTTAAAGTACCTCGTTAGTTGCTAGTAGAAAAGTTGTTAACAGATAAAAAAATAATAAAAACTTTGTAAAATTATATGCTTCTTTTCGCCACTCAGAATTTAAAATATATATATAAATAACATAACATTAAACAATAAAAAAACTAATAAAAAATTAGATTAAAGCACAACACAAGTTACATAACAAATTGTATTACATAGACATTGTTATATTTTACTTAAAATACTTTTGTAGAGATCATAAACTTTAAAAGATGTATACCTTAATTTAAAAATTATTATATTTTTCTAGATATTGTATTAGGTATATCTTCGTGAAACATTTGTATAATAATTTTAAAATCTAATTAGATATCACTTATTTGGTTATGTTTGTAATGGAATTTCCATTATAATTTTAAACAACATAAAAATGAGTAAATCTATACAAGTATTGTACCATACAAATTTAAACTAAATTATAGAAAAGAAATTTAATAAGTACTTGTGTTCATTTTTGAAAAAAAAAAACTGCTGATACTGCTAACAAGTGTGTTACTGTTGTAAGGGTAAGTTGGAAAGAAAAAATATATAGAGTAATTTTATAAATATCTGCACACAAAGATAAATTGTTGCTAACGAAAAAACATTTTGTATAAAGCTGAGTTAAAACATGTTTTGAAATTAATATTAAATTATTTAAGATTTTCATAGGGATTCAAACTTTAAAAGTTTTTTTAAAAAAAATATTATACATTATTACAAGTTGTTTAGACGAAATTTTGATTCTGGTGACCAAGCTCAACAAAAAAATTCGCACAATTTTTTTTTAAATTGAACTACATCTAGAAAGTGCTATTTAAGTATTGGCTAAAATTTTCAGGTTTAACCAAATTGCAAAAAAAAAAATCAAATTAAAAATAACACAATCTGTTAGTGCGTGCATTTTGATTCCAGATTGTTAAGACTGTCAACTACTAGGAAAAAAAAAAAATAACTGCCCCGACCCAACCACAAAACAAAATTTACTATCAGCAGCCATCCCTACAGTTCATGATCAGAGTGAGATAACTGGTAGAAAAGATATTTACAGATAAGAAACAAAAAAAACACATAGTAAAACCAATAAGTACATTTCTGTATACACATTAAAACACAAAAAAATATTCAAAGTAATTTATTTAAGTTCTTCTAATTAGCATAACACAATTGTGAAACTATAATAACTATTCAGAAACATCAATTTGACTAGAAGAGAGTGTAGGGATATTTAGTGCTCTAAGTATGGTATTGAGAAGTCATATTGGGAAATGATCAATTTTGATTAAAAACACAATATGTGAAAGAAACCTATTCTGGACCCATTTTAGCCTAACTAGTCTTTAGCTAAGTAGGGGTACCAAATTATCACACCAAATTCTAAAATTGAGCGCACAAGAGAAGTAAAATATGTGGAGCTAAACATTTTGTATTACGCTTTATGAAACCCAGGCCTTTCAGGGGTTTTCAAACGATAATGTTAATATAGTGATTGAAATTTAATGAAAAATTGAAATGTATACCAAGAGCTTTAATAATAAAAACACGTTCCAAGGAGGAGCCATTAACATAATAAGAGTAGAATGTTGGATTGCGGAGCCTAAAATAGGTCATGGCACATGATTAGGTTCAAATGCCGACGAAGATGCTAGACCCAATGTGCAAATATGTTTAATTGGTTTTGTAGAGTCTGGCAACAGGAAATATCTGATATTATATATATAAATATTATAAATATGATAGGTTTCAAGTTAATTTCAATATTGTTCACAAAGAGGAGGATATCAATTATCTTAATGTTTAACTTGTTAATTGAATTAACGAACAAGATATTAAGTAGAGAACTAAGATGACCTCCTTGGAGGGCAACCAGAGACATAGGCCCAAATAAGGGGTCTAAATTTCCACCCCTCAAAACCATCCAAAGTCTTTATCTACTAGTTGAACTTTTTAATAGCTTATGATATATGGTAAAACATTAGTCTGTAAAAAATAAATTATAATCAATACATTTACCACTAGTCTTTTGAATGATGAAAATTAAAAAAAAATAGTCATAGTTTTAAGGAAATTATTCAATATGGAAATATAATATCTTATTGTGCATTCATTTTTGCATTTTTAAGATGTGTAATTCATGATTGAACAAATTTTATTTATAAATTATAAAATTATTGTAATATTGCACGCTAGCTTATTTGTCTCAATACAAATACCCTATTTAAATCATTATATATTTAATATATATTATAAGCATAAATAACCCATTTTTTGGAGGAACAACAATGACTAAATAATAAGTATATAAATAGAGGGATACCTAAATACTTTATCTATTAGCTACTATATAAAGACTTAGTTTGAGGGGAATTTTACCCCAATTTATGTCTTATTTTCAGCAATATAGTATGGAGTATAAATACATCATAAAAAAATAATGACATGAATCATGTTTACTGACTTGCAGCCCAAAATTAGCCAATACCCAACCTACTGATGATAAGAGGAGTGCAAAAGCCTTCTCTGCACCCCAATCTTTTTTACTTATTTTATTTTATTTACAGTAAAGGCTAAAGCCCAAACCAAAGAAGGGTAAAAATTGATAATACATAGCACAATACTTAGCAAAATAAAAGAAGTAATTAATGTTAGTGAAGACTCGGTTGAAAATAATTTAAGCGTGGTTAAAGGTGGGGTCAGCATTTGCAATACGCATAGGGCGAAAGAAAGAGGAATTAAGTTCATAATTTGTAGAGGAAAATGAAGTAAAGAAAGAAGAAGTGTTTCTAGTAAGACAAAGTTGAACTTTAAAATTGATTTGTTGTAATAGGACAGTCTATGTACAAGTCAGTGTTGTTAGCGTTACTTTTAAAAAGGAATTCATTCCCATTCCTCATTCCTTATTAACTTGTTACTTAAAAAAGAACTCGTTCCTTACTAAAGCGTTCCCTTATGAATATCATGAATACCTTATGCAGTCCAAAATACTTTTTTTTTTTTTATTCTTAATTTGAAAATATCACTATTTAATTTGCTTTGGAACACCAAGTCATATTTCAGCAAAAACTTGTTTGAAAGTGTCTCATTTATTAGATTCAAAATAAATGCGAAATTTTTTTCCATAAATATGTTCTAAAACATATTTCAGAGAAGAACCAAAAAATTAAAATATTTACATTACTGTTTCAAAAATAAGAAATTAAAAAGTAATCAATTCCAGGAATCACTCTTTTAAGAACGTATTTCTTAACACTAGTACAAGTTTAGATAAAAATAAACAAAAGGTCACAACATATCTTAACATGGATATCTTAAATATTTTATGCATATGTTCATAATCATGTGGAGGACAAGGCATTTGACTTTTACAAATTACCTATCAGGGGTTAGATTAGGTTAGGTATTACCTATCAGAAAAGTATAAGTGCAGTCATAAAATAATGGGGTCACTAATACCAAGCAGATAAAGCTCAATGAGGAGGAGTCTATGGTCAAAAATGTCGAAGGATATTTTAAAGTATCAACCTGACCACCCTTTTCAATATGATCAAACAAATGCATGGTAAAAGCAACTGCTAGTGATTGTAGACTTTTAAGGTCTGCAACCATCCTGCTCATCCATAATATATTTTAAACTTCTACTAATATTAGAGTAGACTAGAGACTCAAAAAGTTTAGCTTAATGCAGAATTATAAAGATCAGAAGGGTCACCTGGTTTGACAGCTAACGTCAACCAAATAAATTTTCCAGACAGAAGGGAAAGTGCCTTCAAATAGAGAGCATAACAATGCTACAATAACTATATAAAAATAATATTCGGTTAGAACAGTGTTTCCCAAAGTGGGAAATATCACCTCCTTGGGAGCTCTAGAGCTATCTAGGGGTGCAATGAAAGTTAAAAGCTTAATTGGGGGTATTGGATTGCAAAATAGGGCGGTGACTGTTTCAATTTTTTCAACATTATTGTACATGTGTATTTTTTATATTTTTGGAATAATTGTTTGTCGTCTGTTGAATCCAGTCATTATTGCGATAACATGTATTATATTTTGGAGCAACCTATATTATCTGAATTCTATTTGTATTAAGAACACTCGGGGATGCCAACAGTGTTTATTTTTTATCAGTTTTATAATAATTGTCATATTTAATTGTACACATCATAGCTAAAACGAAGAAAAAATGTAGTATAATTGAATATTTGAAGCACGGTTTCACTCAATACCAATCGCCTATAAATATTACATTAGTGATGTGCCTCATTTGTCAAAAAGTTTTTACAAATGCAGCTATGAAACCATTAAGACTGCAAACTTCATGCTAATAAAAAAAAACATAGATATTTTGTTTTTTCCTAGCAAAACACCAGATACATCCATCTCATTAGAATACCTTTTTTTTTTTATACTTATACAATATACATTATATAGTATTATAATAAAACAGCATAATTCTAGTTTAGCAACTTATCAAATTTTTAGATTTTTGTTTATTTTGTGTGTACATTAAGCATGTAAAAAAGTTGTACGAACTTCATTTGGAAGTTACAGTAGAAACTTCATGAAGTTTGGGTTTTCTGATTCACATATTTCTTGGTTAGAATTTAAGATTTTCAATTTTTTGTTTTTCCAAAATGTGCTTTTAATACTTAATTCATTGGTATAATTAAAACTTACCTATTATAAACTTTAAAAGTTTGAGAACCACTGGGTTAAAACCACTGAATGATAAAAATTATATAATCAGCAAGCCAAATTACTGTTAGGTCCATTAGAGAAAGATTTACTATATATTTTGAATGACAAGTTAAAACAACATAACAGATTGTATATAATAAAATTCAGCGTGAAATAAATAAAAATAAGTGAATCACAAAACTAATATAAATAAACATTAAAAAAATTAAATACACACTGAGGATAATATTAAAAGACTAACATGATCAATAGATTCATATGTATTAGGAGGTTGATATTATTAGCTTGGTACATTCTTGGATAAGAGTTCGTTTTCTTTTGATGTTTGGAAGAGCAATATTGCTTAGTACTTTTAATGTTCCCCTATAATCCTCATAACTGAGTTGAGCTGGGTGTCCACTTTTTTAGGATGTGCAACGATTATTCAGACAAATGCATAATATTCTGCTGCTGAATATACTAATGATAGTGAACTAATGTATTTGCATCTGCTCCCTAAGACGTATCACTCAATCTGGCAATTATACTATGGCGAGTTTTTATTTTCACTGATAACTCAACTAAGGAGATACTTAGCAAGCCAAGAAAAAGGAGTACATCATTAGAAGAAAAAGCTATGTTAGATGAATGATCAAAAAGCAATTTTCCGTAGGAAGAAGATTGAGATGGTAATGGAGATGGAGAATAAATATAGGTGAAGAAAAATAAGAAGCAAAAAGATTAACACTCAATGTGTGAATTAGAAGAGATATAATTAAAATGAACAGTTAAAGATATTTGGGGGGTTTGTTTAAGATTCTTAATGTAACTTCAGAAGGAAAAGAGGACGGCACTTCTTCTGTTCGCTTGATGAAGGTACAATAGTCAAACTTAAGAGCGTTGTTTGCATTTGGCTCGTAACTCAAAAATGATTGCTTGATCAAAGGGAGACTTAGTACTCTTACATATTTTATGTGCCTGTTTCTTTTCAAATATTAACTTTTTAAGGAATTGAGAAACCCAGTGTGGAAATTTAGGAAGAGAAAATTCTTTTAGAGGAACATATTTGCGAATGGCAAACAGAGCATCACTAAACAACAATGCTACTTCAACTTGGCTTTTGTATATAAATATGAAATGGGTTTTTATGACCAATATAATCTGGAAACAACTACTACAATAAAATGAAATAAATAGAAGATTTACAAATATTTAACTTATATTATAACTTCTCTGGATTTAAAAATAATTACCATTATTTTAGTAAAAACTACAGTTATTAATTAAGTGTAATAAATAACAAAATTAAAATAATTTACCTGCTAGTTGATCTTCTGAATAAGTTATCTGAAATAAAAATAAATAATAGTAAAAATTAAGTTTATTTAGAATAGCAGTACAAAATACAATTTCGATCAAATTGTAAATTAATTAAAAGACAATACCTATAAATTTTAATTGACGTTTAATATATAAGTATAACACAATTAAACAAAATACATACCGCTTTATTCATAGTGAATATGAAGAAGTTTTCGTTTCAAGTGTATAATAATCAAAAGACTTTACAGAAGAAAAGCGATTGATAAAAATGTTTCAAAGAAAATTAAAATTCGAAACACTTACACTTAACAATACAGGTAAATTAAAAACAGCATATAACCAAAAATTAATAGTTGAGGCGCTTATCAAATTAAATCAAAATCAAAATTAATAATACTAATTAATAGTACTAATAGTTAATGATAAAAATAAAAAAAATAGTATTTCTCGTATTTACTATTTAGTAACATAAGACCAGTATGACTGTTGCCTACAATTTACGGTACAACTATACACATGAATACTCATACTTTTAAGTGTTAATGACACGATTAAAGATACAGGCTATGAATTTGTGACCAGTGACTACAAGATTCTATTCTGTGATATTACTCGAAAGATAAAACAGTTCTGTTGCGCTCGTAGACCGCAGTGGAATATTTATGTACTATATTATCACACCGAAAACACTTATTATAAAAAAGCTAAGTTAAAAAAATTATATTTGTTAATGATTAACTCTTTAAAATACGTGATATAATATAGAAACCAAGTAAAATGCCATTTTATATTACAAATATCTATCTTATAAATGAGATCAATTATAAAGTTAAATACTAAGTCAACATATTGTTTAATTACTTGGCAGAACGTGGTAGGGTATACTTAAATAAATACGACTAAGTAACCCTTATAGTATATTTCGTAAATAAATTAATAATTTATAAACAATATGTTGACTAACTATTTAACTATACTATTGTTCTTATATATCGTCATAGGTATTTGTAATATTATAAAATTACATTTTACTTAGTTTCCATATTATACCTTACACGTCTTACGTCTTTTAGATTAAGATTTAATTACTGAATTTAATTTTTTTTTTTTTATTTAGCTTTTTTATTACACGGAGTTATAACTAGGGATTTTTGGTGTGATATCAGTTATATTTTATAAAAAAAAGTCGCGATGTTATTTGATTTTGTTAAACTTGAAAATGAATTTTGAATTCAAAACTGGTCGTTAAACTTAAACCTAATAACATATACCGACAACCTTAACACATCAACTAATAGAAATATCAACTTATCATCAGTTATCATGTTTTTCTTTTAAATGTTTAAATAGAGATTTTATTAAACTTTTTAAAATATACCAAGGCCAGAATAAAACATTTCTTAAATAAAAAATCTTTCTTTACTAATAAATAATTTGGTTTCAGAACCCGATTATCAATTAATGATGCACTTTTTAATGTTGATAATTTTATTTGAAAACAAATTGATAAAAATTATGAATTATTGGGAATATTATAATATATTTTTGTGAGCATGTAATGTAATATATATTTATTTTGTTAAACTAATATAAATATTCAAAGGGAATTGAAATTAAATATTATAAAAATATCAGTATTGAAATAAATGAAACGTATGATATATTATAATTTTGTTTTATTTATTCTAGGAACAATATTATTAAATAATAATAATTAGTATGCCATAGTTATAAATAGATTATTTTTAAATACTTATACACTCTTTAAAATAATGCAAGGGAAGTAATGTGTTTTAAATAATCACTGAATTTCAACCAAATTATTATATTTAGTATAATATTTTGTTAACACAATAAAGACTGTGTATGTATTCACAATATAAAAACGACAATAAAAAAACCACACAATGTTTTAATTTATTTATTTTGTAAATATACACTGTCTGAAAATAGACTTCACGAATTACCTTTTGTTAAAATAAAATTGTTTAAATCCATAAGCGTCTATTCATAATGTAGGTCCAAAAAAGACTGTTTCTGCTGGTTACTGTGACGTTATGTTACTACTTAAAATTTTTTTTTATGCCTTACATCGTTCATTATTGTATATTTATTGCCTATCTACCGCCTTTAGTTCAATTTTCACGCACTTTGAGAACCACTGGGCTCTCTTATCAAATATTGCTAGCGGAACATCCGTTATTTAGCAGTTACATATACAATTTTTAACGTATTTATTTACATTCATATTACAATGTTTAATATTATAATATATTTTAGTGTTTTATATTATCTACTATTATATATTGATTTATAATTTTTCAAGTACCTATGTTAATATTTTAAAATGGCAAGTAGAAGTGAAGACAATATATTTCCGTATGAAAAAACGTTATTGAATACCATTGTAAAAAATACGAAAGAAACTAAGGTAATAAATTATTGTATTTATTGTTATGCTTTAATGTTTCACAACTACATTAAATATTAAATATGTAGGAACCAAATTATTGTAAGGTAAGAATTTTATACAATACTGGGTAAACAACATTGCATGGTTGGTAATGTACGTATCTAAAACATTTTATATATTACACTTATAAAACTATAATACATACAACATATAATTACTATGAAATTTATTATTAATTAATATTCATCAACTAAGTTTAAAACTTATTTTAGTAAAATGTACCTTATATTATATTGGTATTTTCAATTTTGAATTAATTTTAAAGTATTGTTGACATATATTTAAGTTGAACCAGAAAGTACCTAAATTAATAAACCTCTTCATTGTAAAAAGAATATCATATCCATATCAATACTAAAACGTAAATAAATCAATACAAATAATTTTAGTGAATTTGTTTAAAATAAAAATATGTTTTGTTTTTTTTTTAAAAATTGTTATATAATAAGCTTATTAATAATTGATATTACAAATTATACTCAATAGCTACTGTGCAGCTAGTATAAAACACATATAAAAACTTTTATGCAATTTAAAATGTCTAATCTTATTAGTTTTATACACTTTATATGTATGTATAAAATGTGTTTTATATGTTCCAACCGTGCAACTTTGTGTGATGACTGATTTAGTATACATTGTATACTCTTATCTAAACTTCATAGTAGAATATAAATTATAACTAATATAAATAACATTATTATACTTCTTTAAAATTTCAGCACCCAGAAATAAGTGATTTCAATGTTATTAAACCAATCAGTAGAGGAGCGTATGGGTATGTTTATTTTTGTTTAAGGTTTATAGCAACTCATTAATTTTCTGTTGTAAAATAGTAGGAATTCTCTCTTAGTACGTTTGTTTTTTTTTATTATTACAAAAGGCATATATTTTAAATAGAATTTCCTCTTATATATTTTATTTTAATATTTGTTTTTACATAATGCACATAATTAATATTTACTATACATTGGAGAATAAAAAAGATGTAATATGTATTACATATGAAGTAATTATGGCATAACTGATTATGTTATCAGGATACTATACCTTATTTATATTGTAGACATTGATCTTTAAATATTTTCTGCCCTAAGCAAATATTTCATGACACTATCTCCAAACACTGGCTGAAGTATCCACACAAACAATTATTTTTTTAATTTAGCCATTTCAATTTCCTTCAATAGTTTTGCTACACTAAAGCATCATATGATCTATTTGTACTTTTGTAATAAGCCTGACATGGTACAACTAATAAATTGGTAATAATAATTAATATGTATAATAAGTCTTGGGAAAGGTAATTAGAAAAATGAAACTTGAATCTCAAGAGGGTATTAAATTGCAAAATACAACAATAAGTCTACTAGCCTATGCATATGACATAGTGCTGATGGAGGTACCGCCAGATTGACTGATGAAATTATTCTATTATTATAGACTTCATAAAATGGCAACAAAAGTTGGGTTATATGAAATAAAGAAAAAACAGAGCATATGGTGTTGAGCTAATATAATACTCCACTTTGTCAATGCTTAAAAATTGATAAGTTTAAACTTAAAAGGGTAGAACAATTTAAATATCTTGGTATCTTTATTAAATGAAAACAAATGAAATGACAAAAATACTTTGTATCATGGTTAGGCCATTTTGTAGGTGAAAATTTGGGAAGGTAGGATGTATGGAGAAATTCAATTTATTTATGTACGTTAATACATTATGTACTAATAAAAAAACATTGAATTTTTGCAACTATCTCAATTGCTACCTAATTTCAGATTCTGAGTGAAGCAGCAAGGGATCTATTGATTTTATTGTGCATTTTTTTTTCTGTCTTCAAATTTTCTCCTATTCGCTCCAATTGTAACATGATAATATCCTATTTTTTTGCATTTTAGTATTAGTTGGTACTACATTCAAGATAATGAGGAAAACCTGGTTCTATAAGATGAAAAAGATTAAAAGATGAAATAAATATTCTTGAGCATTGTCACAAAGTTTAAAAAAAACCGTTATATAGGTCACTAATATGACCATAAGACGAAAATAAGTTCATTATTTTTGAAAGAAAAGTTTTGTAGAGAATTTATGGCCCAGTCAAGGATATTACTCTCTTTATTTTCTGGAGTGGAGACCAAAAAAGAATGTAGCACTGGAAGCTTTATATAGTGATGCAAACATATTAAAAGTTATCAGAAGAAGAAGACTGGGCTGGACATATTTGAAAGACCTAAAAAACTATGCTACGTGCAGTAATAGAATATAGTTCCATAGGAAAAAGACCTTTGGGGAGATCAAGGATAAGTTATGAAGATGTAATACAAAAAAAATGTAGAAAATCTGGTAGGTGGTCTTAATTGGAGGATTTGGCCTTGGGCAGAGAATGATGGAGGCTTGGTTGTGAAACGGGTTGGTTTTAAGGGCCCAATAAACCTAAGATGAAGAAGAAGTATAAACAAGTTAAATGTTTCACTTTGTTTTTGAACAAAAACTGCTCCACCTGTAGGTGGATATTATTATAATATTATCACCAAAATAAAGGGAACTATAAACATAATATATTAATTATACTTATTAATTTAATGTTTTTGGAAAATAAGTAAAATAATTTTAAAATGGAAAAATGTCAAGCACAATTTATATTTATTTAGTGTTTTTTTTAAAAAATTGTAATATAAGGTTTATATACTATGATAAATATATATATATTATATTAAAATTACATTAATTTAACTATGTACATTAGGGTAACCTAATTTTTAAAAATTGTTTTTATTTTTAAGTTTTACCCTTTAATTCAGTTTCAATGTGTATACAAATGAAGTGTACAAAGTTTTATACCAATTGGTTAAGTTTAACTCTTGTCTCGTTACCCTTAAATTTCTAGAACAAATTTGTTTTGTTCAAATAGTGATGTTTTTTCTTAACTTTGAATTAAAATCTCATACATAAATATGCTTGAAACATTATTTATCTAAAATGTAAAATACTATAACTCTCTTTCTCTCTCTCTATATATATATATATATATAAAAATTTAGTATTAAAGTAAGATTATTTTCTATAATAAATAAAGGAAGGAGGTTAATTTCCAAAACTACTTTATAAATACATGATTTATATTATGTCAGTTTATTTGAAATAAATATTGTTTTAATGATAGGAATTATGAACTTGTATGCTTCATAATCAAATATTATACTAATCAAAATATGTAAAGAATAATAGTTTTAATAAATTTAATGGTCTTTAAATAATGTTAAATATATATATTTGTATAATTATTGATTGTAACAAGATATAATTCAAAAACAAAAAACACAGTTTTTGATTAAAAATGCATTTGAGAACTTTAAGGGCTTGTAGGAACAGATTAAACTTAACCAATTACCGTACAATTTTGTACAGTTTGTTTGCATACATATTGATACCACAAATCATCTTTATGTATTAGGGCCAATTACTTATTAAATATCTTAAAGTCAGTATATGTATATGGTAATTAATATTACATATGCATTCAATTTTATATGTAGAAAAGTTTATTTGGGTCACAAAAAAAAGAACTTGGAACAAATGTATGCTATCAAAGTTATGAAAAAAACTGACATGATCAATAAAAATATGATAACACAAGGTAATTTTTTCATATTTATTGTTTGTTGAAAATAATTAATTATTATTATTTATTATAGTTGTTAATGAAAGAAATGCATTGGCATTAGCTAACAGTCCATTTTGTGTTAAATTGTTCTATTCATTGCAGACATCAAGTTGTATTTATTTGGTATTATTATTAAAAAATACATACATATTTGTATTTAATTTATAACATTTTTTTTAATCATTTCAGGTAATGGAATATATGGTTGGTGGAGATGTTAAATCATTGCTTAGTGTAATGGGTTATTTTACAGAAGATGTAGCAACATTTTATGTTGCTGAAGTTGCATTAGCTTTGCAATACCTCCACAGGTAGATAATGTACTATTTACTGATAATAATCATATATATAAATCAGCTCATTTATTCAAATAATAACCAGGTTCATAAAATCAAACTATTTAATTTATTTTTATTAAAACACCATTTTAAGTAATGTTTAAATATAAATGTATGTATTTATTAAATTAGTATTAATTTTAAATTCTTAATTAATTGGGAAGGAACAAGTGCAGTTTATTATGTCACTCATAATTTTAAATACTTTTCTTTTTATGCCTCCATGTTTTTTTATGTTGATTTTGAAAACATCTAAATTTTTATTGTAAAAATTATTATTAAAGAACTTATGGAAAAAATAAGAAAATTGCGGCAGCAACATAAGGTTGCTGGTTAAGGTCTAGCTTAACTGCATAAACATTTTCAACCTAATACTGCTCTAAAGAGAATAGTGTCATAAATGTAAACCTAAATCTTATTATATTAAACCTAACCATTAACAAATTTCATGAGCTCGCTTTACGATCTCATGTTAGACTTGTAGAATCATAAAAATAAAAAAAAATTAAATTGTTTTTTTTTAAATAATAGTTTTTGAAAAAAAATTTAAATATTTTAAAAATCAGCACTAAAAAAAAAATGTATTAATAAAAATAAATCGTTTGTTTTTTAAATTTTGAGACTTGTGGTAAAGAGCACTTTAGCATCAGGAAAAAAAAATAATGTAAAATAAAATAAAGGTTAATTATGTTTTTATAATCATTCAAAATTACATTTTCACTACTATGATTCTTTTATATTTTTTAAATATAGCATAATTCATTCTAATAAATTTGTATGACTTTATAATATACTATTAATATGTATTATTTTTTCAGTCATGGAATTGTTCATAGAGACTTAAAACCTGACAATATGTTAATATCTGGCCAGGGACATATAAAATTAACAGATTTTGGTCTTAGTCGAATTACAATTCATCGAGGTAAAATTGAGTTTAATTATTTCTAAACAAACAGCATACTTAATATTTTATTATGTTGTTACAGATTTAGAAATAACAGATTTAATAAATAGCTCTCCAAATGTTCCTACTAGAACCCCTGGTCAACTACTATCTTTAACATCACATTTTTCATTTGTAAGTAATAAATAGGACTGATGACTTCTTTAGGATACTCATATATTGTTATTGAACTGTATAAATGTGCTTCAGGATAAAGTAATATTTAAAAGTTTGCTTCATATGTTGACTATAATTAATGAGAAATTGGTTTTTATTATTTATAATCCAATAACAGAACTTGAAATACACAAATACATATTAAAAATAAAACACTCAAAATTATATATTAAAAAAATTATCTAATGCATTAATAAAATATACCTTTTCAAATATCTCTTATCCTCTATTGATAATATTTGACAATTCAATCTCCTCAGAAAAATATTCAAGTTCTTTTAAAAATTGTGTAATATCACCTATTTACAATACAGATGATAAGAGTTGTTCTAATTATAGGCTGATTGCAATCTTATAACAATTTCCAAAATATTTGAAAAATGTATTAAGGTTGTGTTAAGGAATTTTTAACAATAAACTATATTTATTTTTTTCAAATAATGTGGGTTTATCAATAAAAAATCAACCAAAGATGCTCATTTATGGCAATTAATTATATTAGAGATTTCTTAAATCAAAATAATAAAGTTTTTGGAATTTGTCTAGATATCCAAAAAGCTTTTGATACTGTACACTATTTATTATTATTAAAAAACCTTGAGAATGCTGGAATACTACGAGGGTTAGCAAAAACTTCTTGAACCATATCTAAATAACATATCTAACATCTAACACCATTAAATACTATTATTAACTCTTTAATAAAATTTATCCTAAAAAAGCCATTTATAGCTCCAACTTGTATAATATATAAACTGTTTAAAGTTAATTATAGAAATCATTTATTTGTATTATTATATAAATATAAATATTATAACAACTTAATTTAAAGCGAACTGCCCTTCAATCAGGTTGCCTAGATGGTACATAAAGTTATAATTATAAATGCACCATTTTTAATTTTAATCAATATTTTAGCCACATGGTTAAAGATTAACATATTACAAATTTTACCATCTTGTTTTAATTATTTTTTTTTAGTGTTATAACATCCGTGATTATTAAGATAATTATAGATCATGAGGTATTTGTTTATACTTAGGAAATTTAATCTGTTTTTTGTTTTTTTATTAAATATATTTACTGATTTCAAAAGTATAAGTATACATATTTTATAATTTTTACAAGCTTAAGCCTACAAGCTAAAGTCTTTAGCCCTAGTAATAACAATAAGCTTTTAGACATATTTTTTATTTAATTTTAAAATTCATGTTGATTTTTTTATGTAGGGATCAAACGAAAAGGCTCAGACCAGTGGTTTTAGTATGAAACTAAATATGGATCTAGAAGATGATTATAATAGTAGCCACGTGTCTGGAATTGTACCATTTCAATCAGCTAATAATACATTAGAAGGAACTACATTTTATACTTGTCAAAATTGTAGTTCTACAGATTGTGAATGCAGTAATATAAATGACAGGGATAAACTTCATGATACACCATGTTCTACTAAAAACATAAGGTATAGTTAAATTTGAAATAATTTTAATAGATTGAATTTAGCTTGAACCATTGTTACAGAATTCTATTAAGTTTAATTTTTATTTAGTGGTTAAGTAATTAAATAATATGTATGTATTAATTTGATTAATGTAAGTATATAAATGTAAAAGCTAAACTTTGAATTATTCTGAGTGAAACGAGGAATGTATTGATTTTACTATATGAGTCTTTTTATGTATGTAAACAACTTTTGACCAGAAATCTTGTTCTAATTAAACATATAAAAATATTTTTGTAGCAGTTTTGATCTAGTTGGTGGATTGAGGAGTTTAATTTATTATTTTCCTTGTGGTTTTCTTAATAAATGGAAAAATTTGACATTTGTTTAAATAATTTTTGTTGATTTCTGGGTTACCTTGATAACAACAGGAAAAATATTACTTATAACACTACTCAATATTGTTTATTTTTGGGTATTGATACAAATAAACTTACTACCCATTTAACTTCTCTCTTAAACAGTGATATGTCCCACAACTGTTATCAGTCTTTTTGAATTTGGTATTCATTGTACGACTGACTAATTACTTTGTAAAAAAATTCTAACACAATGTTTATTTTAATTTGAATAATTATTGCCTATTATGTACTAGTACATAAATTATTTAAAAATATCTTATAAATTTTAAAATTGTTTATAAATGTTTATACTTAGTTGGCTATTAAATAGAGAATTTAAATATTGACCTTCTAGGTTCATAAGCATATTATTTGTAAATATTTAATTTTCTATTCATAATTAATATCAACTTTTATCATTTTATTATAAAATTAATGATTATAGTTTGGTAAATTTTGATTAATTTGTTTCTAAGTATAACATTTCCATAGTTAGCTTGCTACCCAAATAATTGTTAAATTTAACTATTTTATTGAAATATGTAAAATGTATTAATATTTAAATAAAATTATGGTGCTATTTATTAATTTTTATTTTTAGCTATTATTAATCATTATATTAATTTAATTTATAATGTATATTGTTTTAGTGTATTTTGTATAAAATATCAGTTTTTAAATTTTTAGCAAACGCTTCAAATCAACAGATTCCGATTCCCTAAGACGATATAGACGAAGAATATTACCACTTCGGGATTTAGAAAGTAACACATTGAATAGTTGTGGTCTTACACAACAAATTAAGAATGTAGACTTATCAAACATAGGATCAAATACACCTCCCTCAGGTGTGAAAAGTGTCTTGAAACTAAAGTGAGATTCAATTTAATATATTAATATTAAATAAAAATATTAATAATGTTTTCTACAATTATATTTAGAGCTGAAGAACGATTAAGTAGTGGCCGTGTTGCTGTATCAACTCCAGTGCAATATTCTCGTAAACGGTCACATGGTGATACTCCAAAAATCTTAAAATCTACTAGATTTTGTTTGCCCACACCTACACAATCTCCATCTTTTTTAAAAGGCTCTAATATGGTAAATGATAATAAACAAATGAAACAATTTTACAATTTACTTATAATGTTCATGAGTTATAGGATGAATTAATTATGAGTCCAATTGCCACTCCATATTTACCAAAACTAACTCCATATCGAACCCCTAAATCTTTAAGGAAAGGAAAAAGAGCCAGTGATGGTAGAATATTAGGTACACCTTATTATTTAGCACCCGAATTAATTCAAGGGATAGAACATGGTAATTATTATTGAATTATAGTACTTGGTAATTGTTACTAATACAAATGTGTAATCTAGGATCTGGTGTTGATTGGTGGGCATTGGGTGTTTGTCTTTATGAATTTATGACTGGAGTTGTACCATTTGAAGGTGATACTGTACAAGAAATATTCGAAGATATACTCCAACGTGGTAAATTTATATTATAATTTATAATGATAATTTTTTATTTTATCCACAATTTTTTAATTTTGTAGAATTAGAGTGGCCATCTGGTGATCAAACATTATCTAGAGAAGCGATGGAAGCAATTGATGGTTTAATGGCAATAGATCAAAACGAAAGACTTTCGGGTTCAGATTTAAGATCTTCTACTGAATTATTTTCAAATATTGACTGGAATAATCTTTTGAAAGAAGTACCTCCATTTGTTCCTACTCCTGTAAGCATTGATGATACATCATATTTTATGGCTCGAAATGAACAACAAAATATACAATTATCAAATATAGATCTAGGATAGGATAGTTGTCTTTTTTTTTATGAACATCAACTTATTATTGGTATTATTAGTTTGTATTAATTTTTTTTAAGTACACCCCAGTTTAAGTGTAACTATAAGGTGTAAAATAGGTTATATTTTGTTTAACCATAATTTTCATTTTATTATAATATAATCAAATAAATAATGATTTTAAAGTATAGTTAAATTTGTACTACTTTGTAACAAAGAAGTGAAGTATTATTATTTATTTTAATTTTTAAGCTATCTGCATTATTTCAATGTATTGCTCTTAATTTTACCATTCACCTTCTATCACATATATGGTTTCTGAACGACTAATCACCATGCTCATGAGGTAAAAATTCAATGCATTAAGATTTGTACACATAAAATGCTGTTATGTATATATATATTTATCAAATATTTCTATACTATTATCATTATCAGAGAATGACAAAGTAATAGTGTATTTCCTTTTGAATAAAATAACCCAACTAAAATTTTATATTTTATGCATGAAGACAATGCAATAATTATTTTTACCATGTGTATGTCTAAATATATTATGATTTATACAATTTAAATAAAATGTAGTTCAAAAGCATTTTAAATTGAAGAGATTAACTACTGAGGTTATTATAAAAAAATTCAATATAAACTTTTTTCAAATTCTAAAAACAATGATTAAACCTAGGCACATTTTTTGTAATTTATATGATAAGTATAGATTAATAAAATTAATATTGTGCCAGGTTACAAAATGATTACTTTTGACATTAAAAATTTATATAAATCTATTACCAAACAGGAAACAGTAAATTTTTTTTAAGTATAAACTTGTACACTGTAATAAATTTTATACAAAATACAAGAAATTATTTAATCAATAAATGTAATTATTAATTAAAGCTTTCCAATATAATAATAAATTATATTCACAAAGATGGATTAGTTATGAGTAGTCCTTTAAGTGCTCTTTAACCTGAAATTTACATGTAAAATGATGAAACCAATAATATTATTAACAACAAAATATACAGTCCATATATAAAAGCATATTATAGATATGTTGATGACACAATCATTTTATTAAGAGGTTCAAATAGACAAACAGAAAATGTAGTTAAATACTTAAACAAAATAAATAAAACATTCAATTTACACTTGAAATACAAATAAAAAAGTAAATTAAATTTTTTAAATTTTACAGTTTCTATAATAAACAATAAATTTGATTTTAGTATTTACAGGAAACTTACAAAACTGATGCTATAATGCCACATGATTCTAATCACCCTTATTTTCAAAAAATATAATTTTTTAATTCAATATTCTATTAGTTTGAATGTATTACATTAAATAAACATAATTATCAACACAAGCTCAATAAAATCTAGAATATAACCCATAGAAGTAATTTAAATTTAAATAATATTGTTGACTATTGTAGTATGACATCAAAATAAAATGTCTAAGGAATTTGCTAAAATTCTGAACAATAATATAAATAAAGTAAAAACTTAAAAATAATAATGTGAATGTTTTATTGTTTTTTTTAGAAATATGTTAGCCATTTATTTTGAAAAATAATTTGAATTTCTACTAAAAATACAAGATTACAATGTAATATTAATTAGAGCAAAATTTGTTTATGGTTAAGAAAATGGCTTAACACATTTCAATGTTTTAAATACTTATATTTCTACTAATCATTAATTATAATTCACTTGTAATAACTTGTTTAAAAATCAAGGTTCACTCTTTTATTGAAAATTCTATGGCTTTATTAAGTTATCTAGGTAGAAAAACATATTTTGAAATCAAATTTTGAGCTCTTGAAACTTAGCTAATACTCAACCCTCAATATTAATTTCCAATATTTTTTCCATACTTATGTAATATAAACCAAAACAAATAATAATGGTTTTTTTTTTTGCCAATCAATTGACCAGCGATCAAGTCACCAAATATTTTGGTAATCTTATAAGGTATACAATAATTAAATACATTTTGATATATCAATATAATAATTTTATAATTACTATTTATTTATTTTACATATCATAATTGAATATTAATTGTATGTTAATAAGTCTTGTATTATTTATAAAAAGTAAAGTTTATATAACCAGACAAAGAACATTGTGTCATATAGTCGTCTCATTATGTCACTAACATATGTGAACACCATATTTTATTTATCCCTTAGATCATATCATTGATTTTATTATGTACAATTTTATTATATATTTTATAATATAAAATCAAGGAATATATTAATAAAATATAATAGAAATATTAAATAATTTAATTAGCTAAATAAATTTAATATTAATCTTCAATTACTAATATACCTATGAATAACTTATTTTGTTGATTTATGTAATTAGAAATTAATTTCCAACCAGTCATAAGTTATGTTATCAATTGTAATTCGTTATCAAGCAACTTATCAAAAATTTCATCGGATGTTAGGGTTTTAGATGTAGCAAATTTCTCTCCAAGTAATTTCATTATTTCACCATGTTTTGATAAGGGATTTTCTCGTTTTACTCTACTGTAGTTTTCTTTCACAAATAATGCAAATTTTGATGGTTTTCTAGAGGGATTCGATTTTTGTGGTACATCATTTAAATTATATAATTCATTTACTGGATCTGTATAAACTACTGGCAAATTATTATTAGAAACTGAATTATAATTAATTTTGTTTACAATAAGTTCAAATTCTCCATAGCAATGTCCACACCTTTTCTTCTCTAAATTTAATGATTTTGAATGACGTCCGAAACTGAAATAAATAAATAAATAAATATCTAAAATTTTATGAACTGAAAATTTAAAATTAAATAATTAATGAGAGAATAAGAATTCTGAAATATATTAGGTTATTGCACTAGTACCCCCATTCTAGCATTTTATCACGCACACAAATTAAAAATGGCAGTGTAAGGGCCTTTATTCATAGAAATACGAATAAATATAATAATTAACGATAACTATATAACACATTTATAATCACTACCATTTTGTTTTCCATTTAATTTGATAATGCTAGGGCTTATTGCATGCAATAATCTAATATATTTCAATCATGTATTATACAGTTTTATATTTTTTTCTTCAATTTTATTTTTAAATGCAGAGAAATAGAAGAAATAATATGATTTACCTATAGCCACATTTTTTACATTTATATGTAAATTTAGTTTGTACTTCATAACTATGACACCTTTTTATGATTGGAAGTTCAGGAAATATTTCCATAGCTTTGTTTGCCCAGCTTTTCCATGATGGACCATGACCTTCAGCAATACCATTAAATATCCAGCAAGCAGCATGGCAAAGTTCATGAATTAATGTGTCTCTTAATCTTTCTGCAGTATCAATAATCTGTAAAACAAAACTATTATTAATATTCAAACCAGATCTATTTTGCAGGTATTATAGTTTTTTTTGTAAATTTTTCTGCAAAAAGTTCAAATTTAACAGATATATAGTTTATACCAGTGTTTCTTAGCTTTTGTATTATAGTAACACACTTAAAAATTTCATACTTTGCGACACAATTTAAAAATAAAAATAATTCAGTAATATTTAATTTTAATTGGTGGTGTAAACTTAAAGATAACAAAAACAAAATGTAACATAAAATAGCATTTAATATTTTAACAAGAAATTTGACTGATATTTCTTATACATATAACATAATCATACATAGTGAAATTTTAAACTCTTAACTCCTCTTTGACAATTAATTTTACCCTTTTTTATTCACTGTGAAAAGAGCTACCTCACACGGTAAAAGCTAATTTTTATAAACTTAAATAATTTTCTTTTTTTATATTGATCCAAAATTATCTAGCTCAAGCTCATTAAACTATTTGAACAGTGCTATCGTTTTTTAATTCTAAAAGCTCTTTTTTCTCTATTAATAAAATATGCGTTGTTTCCAGATCAGAATTAAATGGATTCAACACTCAATTAAACAATATTAAATCCATAGAACAATAAAAATAATTAGAAATATCGATAAATTAAGGGTGGGCAATGAGCAGGTATTGAACAATGGCTATCATTTGGGTTACAATCAGATTAATGATAATGATAAATGCCGATAACAGATGAATTATTTTTAATCATCAAAAAAAATTATATTGAATATCTATTAATGTTAATAAATTGTCTTATATGTGTTGACATTTTTTGTCATTAAATAATATAATTTGCAATACATTTGGACTTATCCTCAAAACACTGGTTTATACCATACATTATTTTTGAGTGCCAGCAATTAGTATTATTATAGAGTGATTTTATACCTTGAACCAGCAATTTTTTCATAAGATTTTAATCGTTTAAGCTTTATTTTGAAATCAATTTTAATTTTTTGCCCCTACTTCATGTACATTAAAAAGTGTATTTATTTTTTTTTTTCAAATATTTTGATAAGCATAACTAATTTTTAATTTACCTAAAGTTTAGATCGGAGGAGTAGGGAAGATTTATCAATTTATTAACCTTCCCAACTAAATCAGTCTAAACTTTAAACAGTACATTTACTGGGGGGTTTTATTTGAAAATAAAATTACATACTTGTATAAGATACATAAGTTGGAATAAAAATTAAAAATGGTTTTAATATAAAGCTTAAACAATTCTATAATGATTCGTTCTAAAAATAGCTGATTCATGATAAATAAATCAACATAGATACTCAATTTTATTTTAATACATAAATGTTACCGGAAATGTTGATATCTAGGAAATCAAAACAAATTGCTAGAAATTAATGCCTTATAAAAAAAAGGGAACCATATGCCAATGTTACACAGTACCCAGAAAAACTACATATTTAAAAAAAACAGATCAATTTCAGGCCATTTAATATCAACTAAATCTATTTGTGAATATATGTTGTATGCTGAATACAAAATTGGTTTAGAAACAAAACCTCTTATCAGTTTTTATATTTATGATGACACAAATTCTCAAAAACTCAGTTTTCCTTTTTTTTTAATATTTTTATTAGAATACTTTAATTTGATTTCAACCATCACATAATGATGGTGGTCTCTATGTGTGTAAAGTAAAAGATGTTAAATAATTCTTTGTTTTTAATGCAATAATGTATATCGACATTATAGGGTTATGGCTTGAAATAAGCACTTTTCATCGTAGATTAAAATAATGTATACTTATGAATATTTCTAAATTCTCTCTTACATTTTGTTTGTATTAAGGAAGATCGATTCAGTGTCATCATGTTTATCAATAAAAATAATTTATGAAATTGCTTCATTAAACATTTTAGATTCTGAGCAGATAGAGGAATGTATTGATTTTATGTTTTTTTTTTTTTTTTAAGGACAACTTTCCTACCAGAAATGTTACTGGTAAATATATAGTCAAATATTGAACTTTTTCTGAAAGAATATTTGATTGGGGTGGTACTTTAGAGAAATAATTTTATAATTTTTCTCAATAAATGAGAAAAAAGGGAAAATTCATGAAATGTAGTGTTTATAATTTTTTGTTTTGATTCAATTAATAATATTTGTAGAGATTTGAAAGTTTGGGTAGAAAATGTATATTTACTTTTTCTAGATGTGGCATGGTAAAATGTTTAACATTGTAGCCATTTTTAAGCTATTTACATACATTATAATTTTACAGGATTTTTTTGCATAATTTTTATATGGTAAGTATTTTATTCTGTGGATAAAGTTGTTAGACAAAACAGAAATGCTAGAAAATTTAACAGGAAGTTCATTATAAGTCATACTTTGAGGTTATAAAAAAAAAATATTGTTAACAAAGCAACACTATTAACCGAACTCTCTCAGAATGATTTTTTGTAAGCAATGATTATCTTATCATTGGGTACAGGTATACATTAAATTTCCCCTATATATCTACCCAAATTTTCACCTACAACAATGGCCCACTCTTCGTGCAAACTATGCTCATCTTTCTTTGCATTACAATTAAATTTATTTTTCCCAACCACACTGAACATATAAATACCAAATGTACAGTACTAAGAAGTGAATACTATTAAATAAATTGTGTTTTTAACAGTAACACTTTTAATTTCATGTAATAAATATACCATGCAATAGTTATTAGAATCCTGCATAATCCATCAAAAGTGAATCTGATCCAACCCAATGGAAGTTCAAAGTTAATCTGACTCAATCCAATCAAACACGAAAATCTGGCCCGACCCAACCACAATTTATAATTAAGTACAATTTTCCAAACAAGAATAGTTGTTAACCTAGGATTATGCTAAAATTCGAGTTTGGACGGCCCGGTCCATGTAGGACTTTAATTGCTGTATGGAAATTCCATACCTTAATATACATAATTGTTACACGAAAATTGATGGGTACACAATGCTCAATAACATTATTTAACAAACTCCAAAAAAATTGTTAAAAGTCAATTATTTCCACTATTTTTACCATTATTTCCAAAGATTTTTAGGCATTGCCATTGTTTCCTGGGAATATCAACATTTCTGGTTACATACATATGCAAGGTTTATCAAATTTCATGTTGAAGGATAATTTTTAAATTATAGAAATGCATATTAAAAATTCTATAAAAAGACAGAAAGTTTGTTTAGTTTTTTTTAATTTCCACGAACTCGTTAATGAGATATTTCACTTTTAAATTTAGGTAGGGGGAGAGTAGTGATGATATACAAATTCAAGTCCATTAATCTTCCTTAACTAAAATTAAAACTAGAATAATTCATCAACGAGTTGATAAAGATCAATAATCAAAAATGAGTATAGAGAAATAATATATATATAAGATTAAGTAAATTCAAAATTTCAAAGTAGGTAGCTGTTTCACCTCCAAAAATAAGGGCACTTTAACATTTTAAAATGATTTCAATTTTTTTAAAAAATGAATATATTACGAAAATTTAACTGTAACTTGAAATTTGAAAAACCTGAACTTATATAAAAACAAAATATTTTTTTTTTTATAAAATTACTTTAGAAGAAAGTTCAATGCGAGATACTCGTTCACATTCTAATTTTTCATTTATCTTAACTGAACGTCTATTGAAGCATGCACCAGCAGTTGTTCTTAATCTTGCATTCCATTTGAAATTCATATCAGCTGGGAGCTATTAAATAGAATGTTATGTACATTTTAATATAAAACAATTATTTGTTAGGAAATTGCATTTTATACAGATCTCTGTATGTATTTATAAATTCAATGTCAGTTTCTGTTTCACATATTTGGATTAAGATATGTCAATGGACTAGACTGGACTGAATTTTTCAGAATGATAAATCAAACCGAATAAAGACCACACCGTGGTCTAGTTCAGACTGACATAGCACTAGTTAAAACAAATACAATTATAGATTAAAAATGTAACCATAATTTAATGAAGGATAACTTAAAATATTTTTAAAGAAATTTAAATATTAATTATAGGTAAATAGTGGGTAAAACACATAGATTTATAATATCTAATGTATTATATATCTATGGTACAACTAATAAAACTTAGCCTCAGTTATACCTCTAAACTATCTCTAATATTGTCAAAATTGACTGTTGAAATTTGTTAAGAGAAATATGTAAAATAACCAAAAATAAAATAGCTAACTCCTATTATAACAAAAATATATATTAGCTAAAATGTTTTATTATATTTTAGCCGAAAACAACTATATGTACCATACAGATATACTCTATATGGACGACATGTGACGTTTTAGTATACAAGAATTATAGGAATCTCAGGAAACCCAACGCCAAAATGTTGAATAAATTTTGTGTAGGTTTTATTTAAATTTTATTTAATCAGCACAGCTTTTGCTTATATACAGTTCATCGGTTTTACTTTTGACCCACCCTCTTAGAAATTTACCCTCAAAATCTATTAAAATTAGATTTCTAGTAATTTTTTAACAACAAAGTTTTATTATACAAATTATATGTTTCAATAACAAAAACTGTTATCCATCCTAATGCTATAAATTGCTATGAGTAAGTTTAAATAGAACAAAAAATGTAATTTACCTTATTGTTAAATACCTCTTCATTAAATAATTTAAATAACACAGACACTAAATCATCTTTATTTTTTTTGAATTTAAATTTATATTTTTCAGCTTCAGGATTACAGTTCATGGATCCAGTAAAAGCTGAAATATTTTATTAAGATATTAATATAGTATGTTTTTATACATAAGTATTGAATATAAACAAACAATGAATTTATTTACAATTGTGCATTGATGCATTTTGTTGTACAATATATTTGTATAACAAATTATAATTATTATTATATTTAAAGGTCAAATATTTTCCTGGACGTTTAATAAGTATAATTTAATCAATAGGTTTATTATTTGAAAACATGTAAAGCATTGTGGAGTAGTGTAATATTAGTCAAATGTTGACATTTAAAATTATAATAATGTTTTCTACTTTTTTTCTTTTCTCTATCATTCTTATATTTCCTTCTATCTTAGTAACTGATGATTTCATTTTTGCATTGTCTATATTTATGTTGAGGTTGGAGGGGATTAGTTTTACTGCATTTCATAAATTTTGTTTTCTTTTGTTCAATTGCATTTCATAGTTATTTTAGATTCTGAGTGGCACGAGAAATGTATTGTTTTCACTGTAATATTTATTTTTTAATTTTTATTTTCCACAATATACATGCGGTGCCATTTCTAAAAGGAAATATTATCTAGATGGTACTTTTGAGAAGTCATTTTTATTTTTCTAAGCTGTTTTCATAATATCTGATAAAAACAAAGATAAAAAGTAAGAAAAACAGAAAATTAACATAAATAATTCTTTTATTATTTTTAATTTGGTTATTTCTTATATTCAGTTAAAAATATTCATAGACTTGAAATTTGGCCGAAAAACTTATATTTGCCTTTTCTGGACATGGTTTAAATTTTCAAAACATTTGAGCCATTTTAGCAAACTATTTTAGCTATTTATAGACATTTTAATTTTGCGAGTTGTGTATATAATTTTTATTTGGTAGATACTTTATAGTAAAATTGTTAGACATAACAGAAATGCTTGACAATTTGTGCCGAAATAAGGTTTAATTATGGCACAAGGGTTTGTTTTTTTTTTTTAATTCAATTATTTGGAAAACTAAAACATTTAGCGACTAAAATTAAAATTTTAAATTATAGAAAATAATTCTATCAAAAAAAAATTTCCTAATACAAATTCCATCTAACTCATTATTATTTCATATAAAAAAGTAAAATGAAAACAAATTTTATTTTTTAAGATTAAATACTGTAATTAAATAGGACCTATTTCATTGTATCATATTTAGAAATAAATAAATAAATAAAATATAAAAATATCAAAAATAATTTGTAATAATTGATAAAAAAAAAAACTAAAACACAACACCATTGTGTCAGAATTCAACCCTATTTTATCACGGGAAGGGGATGATTTATTGACTTATTTTTACAAAATTATTTTTTCATACAAATTTAAAAAATGGAGGGGGGTTACTCATATTTCGTAAGTAAGTTTTTTTGGACCACATTGATGGATATAAAGTCTCCAAATTTGTGTTTAAAAATTTTAAAAAAGTAAATTATAAAAATTACTAAAAATATATTTTATTAAGCATAAGTTAAGCATTTTTCAATAGGAATAATTTAGAATTACTATAATTGTGTAAGAAACTTATTGTAATTTCATTATATTTTGTATAGCAATGCCCTCATCCAAAAATTCTATAATAAATTAAAAATGTTAATAAACATTGTTTTTGATTATCTTACATATTGAACATACTAAACAGATTGTAACAGGATTTAACAAATGTAACTTTTTCTACTAAATATTTTAATTTTTCTTTTTTTATAATTATTTCTAGAGTTCTGTTATAATTTTTTTTATTATTTAATCAAAAATAAAAAAAAATAGACTTTACTTAACAATTATTAAGTTATGACATTTATTTTTAAAGTTTGTTAAATTCTGAATTTAATATTCTAATTTGAGTAACATTTATCATGAATTTATCAGTTTATCAGAATCATAGTTTTAAATTATTATGATAAGAATATTATAAAATTGCACAATATTTTAAAGAAAAATAAAAATCATTTGGACATTTAAACATGCAAAATTCATATTTTACAAAACTTTAAAAAAAAATAATTGATTTAACCTCAGTAAAAAATTTTCTGAAAATCAAATTTGTAAAATTATTCTTTTTTTTTTAAAAAATTTTAAATACAATTTTACTTTTTTTTATTCTGAATTTTTATATATTAAAATTCAATTGAAAAATATATATATTTTTTTTTAAATATTCAATGAAAAAAGTTAAATTATTTAAATAGTCCTGTTACATCCTGTATAACATATTTAAATGTAACAATTTAGTTTAGATTAACAAGGTGTTCAAATAAAGAGTAAATACTTACTAGATAGAGAACTCAAAAATGATAGCTTTGCCTCTAAATTAGACTTAATTGGCATATTTGATTGATGATTTAAGCAAATATCAGTTTTTATATTGCCATATTTTCTGGATGTTTTTCTAGATGATTTACTAATATTTTTTATATTATTATGTGGATTTGTATTATGTAATGAAGTTCTGTATAAATAAAAATAGATATTGTAATATAACTATTAAACATGTACTCATTTAAGATAATATAATCAACTGTTTATATTTAACTATGTTAACTAACAATTTTTTATAATTATCATAAATGTATACATTATGTATTTACAAGGCACAACAAATATGTATTTACTATAAAATTGTACATTCTATTGTATAGGATCTTTCAAATTATGTTACAGTCATAATTTTATGAAAGTAGGATCAGATTTAACCCAAACTCCTACTCTCGAAACCGTAATATAAAATTTGGATAACCATGCATAATATTTTACTTACTTCAAGTTTATTTGATGATCTAATACTGCAATAGAATTTAACTGATTATCATTATTTTCAGACAAACTGAAATTCCTGTAATAATAAAATACTAATGAACATTTAATATATATATATATATATATATTTGTTAAATTTAAAATATACATAAACAAACGAAAATAGTTTTGATAAGTTTTGTGTAACTATTATTTAAAAAATTGTTGAAACTAAATAACAAATAATAATTTATTATATTATTTAGTATTCTCAACTGCCAAACTGACACTAGCTAAATAAAACTACTAGTTCCAATAACTCAAAATAGGAGAACAAGATTGTTAGTAATTACCATATAGAAACTGTAATATTTTTAAACCTTCAAGTTTTCAGGACTAAAATTAATTGCTTTCATTTTCATTCTAACATATATAGAAGAATCAACTTTTATATAATATCCTATAATTTCATTTTGTTGATAGTTTAGCATACTATGCCTTATTTGTTACCATAAAAATTACTATAATAACTACAACTTTCAAGTTATAAAAGTTAAATTTAAAAAAAAGCTTAGGTTTACAGGCTGATTACTTGCTAGTGATAAATTAAAACTATTTTCGTCTTTATGTATATAATTAAAACTAATTTTAATTAAATTTAAAGTATAAGTAAGGATTGTAACTTACTCTAAAATTTTTGAAGTATCATTGACTTCATTTTGAATGTCTCCCTTTTTTTTTATATAATTTCTTGTTTTTGTGAAAATACCACAAGAAAAAGCTAAAAAATAAATTTTTTTTTATAAATCATGCTGTTATGAAATAATAAATAATACACACATATATATATACTTACAATTTTCAATTTCACTATTATTAGTGTTATTCAAAATATGTTCATTACCATATCTATAATAATAATTAACTTTGATTATTAATCATTTTATAAATAACTTACAATAGTAGGTATTAATTGTAACATAAAATTGGTTTTAAAATCAATTTACATGCTTTTACTAATTCAATAAACTGATATCAAACTCAAATACTGTATTTGAAAACACAATTATTCAAAAGCAAATTCTATTTTAAAAACCAAAGAACTTAATTGTTTTAGTTATGATAATATACAGACAATTTTATTTTATGTAAAAAAATAAATAAAAAGAAGTTCTAGGGTAATGGTGACGAGGGAAGCTATTGTTATATGTATATAATTTAATGTAGGCCTGTAAGCAACAATAAACCATTGCTTCCCCCCCCCCCCAAAAAAAAAACAATTCTGAGTGGAGTTCGGTTGATAGTGATGCTTTATCACCAATATATATATATATATATATCATTTTATACTAAAATAATTAAATAGGCATTACATATTTTCTTTGATAATATTTGTTTAATGTTGTATCTATTTTCCTAATTTGCCATTGTTTTATTCGAGTTTTTCAAATTTGATGAGAAATCTCCTGAGAAAATCAAAAAATGACCTCCTTTAAGTACCCCATACCCAACCGATTTCCTTTCAGAAAAAGTGCTACACGTAGAAACCCAAACAAGTCAGTCTTCTGGTAGAAAAGTTGTTAACAGGAAAAGAAATTAAAATAAACATATGTGTAAAACCATAAGCTTTAATCAAAATTTAAAATACTGATTTATGTCTTATGTACATAATAACTTAATAAAACATTAATTTAATAGTGCTATACTTACATATCAACATTGTCAATAGGTTGATGGTGTTTTGTTGTTTTTTTTGTACTTATAACTCCATCAATATCCCGCCATTCATTACCATAGAAACGATCTAATAGTTTAGCAGATTCTACCAGATCATTGGTTTGGATATCATTTTTTTTTGGCGTAATAAAGCTATTTTGAAAAAATGATTTGTCTTTTAAATTTTCTGGATTTAAATCGTTGTACTCCAGATTAGAAAAACCTTTGTTAGTATTATGCAAATAATCTTCTGAATTTAGATTTTTAACAATTTTAAACTTTGTATTATCATTTTGGTCTTTACTTTTATAACTAATATTAGGAAGTAAATGTGTAGTTGATTTTACACTTTCATTAAAATAAGACTTGACGTTACAATCTGTTAAACCATCTTTGTTAGTTTTTTTATTTTTCAATTTTAAGCCATTTAGTTCATTGTTAGACTCTTTTGTTAAATCAATTTCATCTAATATCATATTATTGTTATAAGTTTTTTTCCTTTTCGATTTTCGTTTACGAACATTCATAAATTTTAAACTAGAATCAGACAAATTATCATTTTCTTGATCTGAGTTTTTAACATGATTAAATTTATATTTTATTGTTTCATTCATTTTTGTATTAATGTATGGTTCATTTGTCAAATCAATTTCATCTAATATCAAATCATTAAAGTTAAAAGTTTTTTTAGGATCTTTTTTTTTTTTTGATTTTTGCTTATATGAATTCATTAATTTAAAACTATAATCATTAAAATTATCATTTTCTTTATCCGACATATTGGTTACCGAGTCCTTATAAGATTTGAATATGGTTAAATTTATATTCTATTGTTACGTTTTTTTTTTTTATTTTGATGCAAGATTGTTGAGCTGAAAAAAAAATAAAATAAAATAAATGTAATAAAGGATTATACCTAAATGAAAGTATAATGCATAAATTGTGTAAATATTTAATTTATAATTTAAATACTAATAGTAAAATATTTAAGTATTTTTAAATTGTCAAAAATATCAATATTTAACACGCTGATGAGTATGAATAATCTAGGAAAATAATTTTGAATTTTAATGGCAGGGTGAAAACCGACAGGGGTAAAACACAAAAAGGTAAAAAATGTCAAATGCATTTAACTTAAAAATTACAAACATTAGTTTTAAATTAATTATAATAAATCATAATTACTGTATACTATATTACAGCTAACAAAGAAATTTGGTATCTCTTTACCAACTTAAATATTCTTGGCATGTTTGAGTTTATTCTGTAATTCTGCATAGATTTTTTTTAAAGATCGTTCACAAGTGTACTTCCATATTTCTGTACATAATTAAAAATAAAAAACCAGTGTGCGTCTTTGGAATACATAGCCATACAACCAATGTTATTTAATCGGGGGTTAGCTGCCTGCAATTAGCCATCAATATTTGTAATTTTTAAGTAAAATTCACTTGTTTTTTACCTTGTCATTTTGCAAATCTATTTTTTTTATATTGAATAGTATATGTACTGGATTCTTATGAAAAATTACCTACATAGTTAACATATTTAATTAAAAGAAAATTTGACTGCTTTCAATGAATAGATTTAGTTTTATAATATAGGTACAAAATTAATAAGTACTACTACCATAGCATTCAACAATTCATGGCAACATAATAAGACAATAACACTGTAATATTACATTTTTATAATAGTTACCTATTTTTTGATCTACTACTGATTGTAATCTACCAGTCATTACAGAATGCCTTTTGTAAGTATACAATATGTATTGTCTTAATATTTCTATAAAGTGTAATGGTAGTTAAATATTAATTTGACAATAAAACCCTATCCTTGCTATCATTTTCATTCGTAAAATAGAACTTTATCTTCTTTCTAAATGGGAATTTAGCACTATAAATGTGAAGAAGACTTAGTTTTAAAGTTTTCAAATAGTAAAAGTAATTTTCAAATTTCACTAAGTTAGAGAAAATTTGAAAAATCGACATAAGGTCTCTTAAATAATAATAATAAATTAATGAAATACGTATAACTTGAAGGAATAAAGAAAAAAATATCTAATTTTAATAATACAGGTATAAACTTACTTTAGTACAGTTAAAAATCAGAACATGAAATTATTATTCCAACACCTAAGTAATTGAGGCAGTTTAATCTTCATTGATGTTTTAATGTTGTCATCAAGTTTATATTCGTTTTTTTGAACTAAGTAAAACAAAAATTAAATTAAAATACAGTTAAATTTCTACATAAATATTCACATACTTTATTACAGAAGATAAATTTTTTAGAAGTAACTACTAAAGTACTAATTACTTGTATACCTGGTACTCAAGGCTCTAGTACTAGTAGTCAAGTAAGTTGAAGATATTACAAGTTTAATTGGTAATAATCCAAAAACCGTTAAAATAAATGTTTAAATTAAAATTGGCTACACTGTGAATACAAATTACATAAAATACTTATATAAGACCTTGATTACACATATCAGTAGTTCCTATTTTTTGTAAATATATTAGGATAGGTCTTGTTGTTCAGTAATGATAAATATTAACAGATCGAAAGCATAATTTCTATACTTTTATCTCAGATTAATGAGAATTCTTATTACTGTATATATATATAATTATATTTATAGACCTATATTAAAGTGCTTGATATGGGGCACGATTAAAGATATACTGGTTAAATAACGAGTTATGATAAGACCATACAATTTAGTTCTTGAGGTGTCTTCAATAATCCGTTGATAAGAAAAGACAACTAGCGCTCATAACGGATTAAGATACCTTAGGGTTCATTTTTATCATTATTTATTTTAAGTTACCACAACTATACAGAATAACCGAACGAACGTGTGATAAGTGAACCCCGAACATTCTCAATCTAAGACCGTGTTCTCTCCATATCTTAAATTGTGACTGACGCAGTGTCAGTTAATTTTACAATTAAAATAGAGCGCGCCATAAGATATTTCTTATCGGTTAAAAGCATGTTTAAAGATATTCTGATTGCCCAACAGGTTATGTCATGAACATATTATACACGGGCTGTGTTATAAGTATAGCTCGGAAGCTATAGTTGCTAAAAAAGGCAAAATAGGTATGCAAATATGCACGAACAAATTCCTGGATTCAACACGGAGGGCGGACGACACCGCTTCTCCAACATGTTGGTTTGAACTATGCACAATGTAGAGTAGGTATCTTCTCTAGTCTCTACATCGTAGGGCTATGGTATTTTATCAATTGTTATTCTTGTGATAATACACCGATATAAATTGATTTATTATAGCTTTGTTCGTTTTAACAAAAAGTTTTTTTACATAGAATTTATTCTATAGTGTATATTCTACAACTACATATTAATTTATGGTGTGACTGGTATGAGTAATATAGTAAAAAGTGTAAACTCTATCTAAAAAAGGTGTACACTATTTGTTAAAACGAACAAAGCTTCATGAATTTATTAACTCAGAAATATTTAAAATTATACACTTTATATAATAACAACATTATAGTTCTACGAACAAAAGTTTATAACCAATAAGTATTTATTTTTATTTTTTGCGTCAGCTATTATCACTAATTAACATTCTAGTTTATCATATATGTCTGTGTAGCAAGGCCTAAACTACTGTGTCCCCTGAATTACAAATGAGTGTCCGAAATTTTAAAACGTGTTTTTAATTTTAATTGTAGAAATAAAAAACATATTGGAATTCGAACACAAATGTATTATAATTTTTTATTTAAATATAAATTGATAACAATTTTCTCGTTATTTATTTTGTAAAAATATCATAAACTTTAACCACAGTCATGCTTATAGATATTATATATCCATGAACTTTTAGTCATATTTATTTTGTGTGACATAAAGTCAGTTTAGCTACCAAGCGATTTTTTGGAAATTTTTTCCCAAGTGTGTGTTTTTGCATGCTTAATTTGATGTTACTTTAAAAAAAGTCTATCAAACTTCATTTGGAAATTATGGTCAAAAAACCTCAAAATACTCGAGTTTCTAAAATATCGGAATTTTTTTTTTTTGAAACGGTAGTAATTATATGCTTAACATTTTGGTGTAATATCGTATATTTTCTGTTTTTTATCAAACCTAGTTATTATGCAAAACTGTATAGATTGTAAATTTCTTTAAAATAATTTTAAAAAAAAAGCTGATACTGGGGATGGGAGGAACCACTGTTGTAGGTGAGAAGTTGGGAAGGTAGTCTACATAAGGTTATTTCATTTATATCTATAACAACGATAAACCATTGCTTGACGAAAGATGATTTCGAGCGCAGTTCGGTAATACATAATTTAAAGTGCCGTAATTTGTTATGCGATTTTCGTTTAAATTCCATTTCAAAACATTTATTAAAATAAAAAAAGTTGTCCAATGATTTTGAAAATTTTACTACGTCTGGGTAAGTGCAATATAACTATTATTATCAAGTCTCTATAACCGAATAACAGCAAAAACTCCCAAAAATTAAAATTCTTTAAAAGCTCAAAAGTGGATCAAAAGAAAAGATACCGTAAAAATTAAATCAAAAGGTATCTTGTAATTTTTCGATTAAATCATTTTTTCTGATAGAAAACGTCGTTAGTGTTTTTATAAAATAATGAAATCTTGAAATACGTTTTCCTATGTTTTTTTGACTTAACTGCTTTCATTTAAAAAATGGCGTCGAATATCGGAACAAGTTTATTAGGAAAAAACGTGTCCACAGTCTAGAAAAAAAATAAAAATAAATATCCTAGAAAAACCAATAGCTCCTTCGCTACGCTGAGTATCTAAAATATATATGAAAATGATTGTTGTAAGCTTCCTATGGCAATTTAATTTTTCTCATTCGTCACTAAACTGTCAATTTAGGTATGCCTGATTTTGTTCTCCTTGGTCCTCGGTTTATAATTTTTAATTTTGTTTGCTCATACTCCTAAAATATTTAAATACAATATATTTATAAATGAGAAAATGTTAAAACTACTATTGTAATGAAAGTCACAGCCTTGGCGATATTAATGTTCATGTATATTTATCTAAGAAACACAATAGATTTACCGCTAGAATGTACTAGGTAATAACAAATTGTCAGTCGTTTGACTTACTTTTGATACTTTTTGGTTTGGAAGAAATATTGAAAAAATGTATCTTTTCTTATGAATACACATTTTACCTTTGAAAAAATATAGTTTATTAAATACTATTTTATTTTGTTCTACTTACTGAGACCAAAAGAATAAAAATATACAACCCTTATGGGAGGGGGGAAGCTGAGGAGCATGGTGAAATTGATACGATTATAATGTTAAATTATTGTTATAAATATATAACGAAATATTTAATAACATTTTAAAATTATCTTTTTTTCTATGCAAATTCTTTGGAATAATCTCGACATCAACATGCATACCCGTCAATGCAATTAACTTTCAAACATAACTCGTGACTTTGAAAGGATGTCCATGAAAGTATTTTAATGTGTTATGTTTGACAATTAACGTCCAAGATTGCAATTTTTCAACTTACACTTACAACAATACTTCCAAAGAAATAGTCCCTTGGCATTTAGCTAAAATAGTTAATAAATATCGAAAAAATATTAGTTAATTCTGATTTCATCAAAAACTTTTTTATTTTATTACATACTAAATGAAAAAAAAAATCAATTTTTATTTATTTTAATATACAAATTATTGAAATAACTGTAGAATTAGGTTTTACGTGGTTTATTAATTATTAACAATAAGATTAAGCCAAAATAATATAATATATATATATATAATATATACAGATATTATAAATATATATAGATATAATATATACAGTGTGATCACGATTTAAGGTAAAATTAAATATCTCTGGTGGATGACCTTGTATATGCCTTGTAAATGAGGTGATAGGGACCTAAATACATATTTTCAGATAAATTTCAAATTTGTAACACTTTTGGTATGCGCATGCGCAATACAACTTACATTTTTTTTAATGGAAACACTATTTTTTTTCTACATATTCGGATAGATTATTTTTTTAAAAAAAATGTTTGTATTTAAAGTTTTTTTCTATTTATAAAACAGACCAAGGTAGAGTAATTCAAAATTTGAACTTCTGTATAATTCGTGTTTAATGAAATTTTCATTTATTTCATTAGGTCATTAGTTCATTTAGTTCATTGGTTAAGAAATTAAGATATCGTCTGCCATTAAGCGTACCATCGTAAAAGAACGGTCCTATTAGATTTCCACCAACTAACCCACACCATACATTAATTCCCCAAACCATTTGAAAATTAGTTTCACGTGACCAGTGTGGGGATGTGTCATCCTAGCATCGATGATTTTGTTTATTCATAATGCCATTGTTAGTGAATTTTGATTCATCACTCCAAAGAATATAATTGACAATTAAAGGGTTATTATACAATTTAATATTGAACCAAGCTATAAATTCCAACCTACGAATAGAATCTCCTGCACGCAAATGTTGGACAAAATCGATTTTATATGAGTGCATTTTGTGTTTTTTTAGAATTTTTTGAACATAACCATATGAAACTTCAATTTCGCGAGCAACATGCCTAATTGACGAACGTGGATTAGCTCTTATGTATGCTAGTACCTGTAATTCCGTATCGTCATCAAACATATTTGCTCTACGCCTTTGTTGAATTATTTGTCTGCCAGGAAATCTTCCTTCCTCTTTTAACCCTTGTAAAAGTCGTAAAACATAATTATAAGGTGGATGGTACCTTTCTGGGTATCGTTCGGCATACGTCATAGCAGCTAGGCGTACATTACGTTGACATTCGCCATAAATTAAAACCAATTCAACTTTTTCAGCGTTATTCATATTTAAAAAATTATAATTTATAGGAGCACTTAATAACCAGACATCCACGGATAACGCACACACTTTAGAACGGGTCTAGTTACAGAATAAAACTAAAATTATAATTTTNAAAATAGAATTCCAATTTAAAAATAGTTAAAATTGTAATCGTATTATTGGAATTTACTGAACAAAAATTATAACATATTCGAGATATTCATTCTAGTGACAAACAGTATTTTTAAATTATTATTTGTAAACAGATAAAGTAAATTGAACATTTATTTCACAATTATTTTAGTATTTCCAGTGGTTATAAATGAAAATTTCATTAAACACGAATTATACAGAAATCCAAATTTTGACTTAATCTAACTTGGTCAGTTTTATAAATAGAAAAAAACTTTAAATACAAAAAAATTTTTACAAAAATAATCTATCCGAATATGTAGAAAAAAAATAGTGTTTCCATTTAAAAAAATGTAAGTTGTATTGCGCATGCGCCTACCAAAAGTGTTACAAATATGAAATTTATCTGAAAATATGTATTTAGGTACTCCCTATCACCTCATTTACAAGGCATATACAAGGTCATCCACCAGAGATATTTAATGTTACCTTAAATCGTGATCACACTGTATATCTTAATTTACAGTGAATCTAAAGATTTGGGAGGTTACCCAGTGATAACACCCAGTTTTTTTCATACTAAAACTTTGAACTAACTTTGCTTCTTAAGTGCAATACAAAATTTTGGGAATGATTATGACATCATAAATGCATAATTTGATTTAATTCATTCAAAGTATTAAATTATTTCAGAATTTATATATAGCACAATTCATTTATTTTCATTTTTCAGTATTAGATGAAATATATGGTACTAAGTTCTAAAAAGTAACCCAGAATTGTGAAACATTGTAAATAATCGGATTGTAATCGGCCAGAAAAATAAATTTTCTGACCAGATATTCCGAACTGTAAAAATTCGGAAAGTATAAATACCTAAATCAGAAAGTCCCGGACCATAATAATCCGAAATACAAAAATACGCACATTGTAATATCCCGGACAAGAACTTTCCGGAATTTAACCAAAAAAACACTGATAGATGGAAATGTTTCACATACACAGTACAAACAGAATTAACGAATTAAGATTAATAGAAGGTTCATGATTTTATGGCCGTTTTCAGAGATGGATAGACATGTTCATACCCGGTGTCACGATTATCAGTTTTAATAGTTTTTTTTAAATTCCGGATTATTCTTGTGCGTGACATTTCGGAAATTTCTTGTCTGGGACATTACAGTGTACGTATTATTGTATTCCGGTTTAATATAGTTCGGAACTTTCTGGTTAAGGTATTTGTGTTTCCCGGATTTTTACAGTTCGGAATATTCTGGTCTGAACATTTATTTTCCGGTCGATTACAGTCCGGACATTTACAGTTTCATATTCCGGATTTATACAGTCCACCGTTTCCTTGTCCGCAAATTTACATTTCAAAATTTTACAGTCCGTACGATTATCTTCCGGATTTTCTAGCCGTCCAGTTCTAAAAACAGATACTTAAATTGTTGAATACTGAATGATATATTAGATATTTCAAAATGGTATTTGAGAAGTTTTAAAATTAATTTTGAGTGTTTATATTTCTTCTTCAAATTATTTAAAATGTATTTCAAATACTTTTTGAGTGGATATATTTGTATCTGGTATATTAATACAATTTGAAAAGTATTTTTCACAAGACTGAATAATAGTGTACTTTTTTCCAACAATTTGTTAGCTTATGCCGATTGCTTATGATAAGCTAAAGGTGATCGCTACTAATGCAGATTAAAATAGAATCCATATTATTTGTGTTGTGGTATAATATTGACAACTGATTGTAAGCAACAAGCCATTATATTTTATTTCCGTTTATTTTTAGAATTAGACAATGCTCATACTTCGTTAAGTTGATGAATATCCGATATCATTAAAATAAAATCCCATAAGATTACACATTATATCAATTACATTTTAAAATTGACAACTAAATTTTAAAACCAACAAAATCTTCATACCTAATTGGTGCTATAAACCCTTAATACAGAAGACGGGTCAACTGGATATTGCCGACTAACTACTCGGGCCAATCCGCCCCTAAATATCTTAAAGTTGCACTGTGAAGATTAGGTGATTGACATTTTATCAAAAAGTACCTGATATAGCAATCTATAATGGAATACAAATTCAAAATCTTAATTAAAATTAGAAAAGAAAGCAGACTTTCAATAAATATTTGTATGATTATTTTGTACAAACAATTTTGGGAAAATATAGAAATAAAGAAAAAGATTTTTTAAGTATAAAAGTTGAATTATTGTATCAAGTGGTTGATAGGTAGTTATTATTATATTATATTAACTATCTAATAATTTTATTAAATTAATAAATTAATAAAAATATGTGTTATTTTTTAGGATTATAGCGCAGTTAGACGAACATTGTTAACGTTATAACGACCTCTTAAGTCTGCCATTAGAATTTTATTCAAAAAAGCAACATTAGAACTAGAAAACATGTCCCAATTGAAATTTGAATTAATATTAAATATTATTTTAAATTTATGTTTTGCATTTCTTGAAACTATAAAAATATTGTCTATAATGTTAATATTACCACTGATAACTGCATGAACGCTTTTTTTCTTCACTAAAAAGTATAACAAATTTCTTAAGGACATCAGTTGGTAATTTAATGGTTCTTGGAGTTGAAACTGAAGAAGTAAAACAAATAAATTCAAATGATGCAATTGATGATTTTGCAAAAATGAAAGACTGGAGATACCTACTATACTTATAGTAAACATAAATTAATTATTATATTATTATTTTAATGAAACATATACATTTTTGGTTTATATTACATAATTTATGTGTGACTAAAGTTTTCAGGATTTAATTTATTATTAAAATAATTAAAGTACCTATTAACTTAGGATTATTAGGTACAGAATATTGGTATTATATTAGATCATTAGATGGAAAATATAATTTAATTTTCGAACACAGCGAAAACAATTTTTTTGTAATAACTATAGTACAATATGTATTGGCCTGCTAAAAATTGTTTTGGCCTGCCTAGTTGTTAACACACCTTTCAAAAAGTTGAAATGACGCCCCTGCAACACATGCGCGTTTATTTATGGCACATTTATTTAGGTACCTATGATATTCACAATAACTATATGTCTATATTTACTTAATTCATTAAATATACAATAACTATTTTAAGTATATGTTTCAAATAGACAACATCATAGCAGATAAAAATTTAATTTTGTTTTTGGGTTACTAACTTTTTATTAAAAATTTAAAAAAAATGAATAGAAAGATGTAGGTACATCTTTTAAATAGTAAACGTCCTTTCAAAGTTACGTTTAATTTGGTCTTTATATTGAAGATGTTCAAACCCTTGTTTTATCAAACCAAACACTTCCTTCAAAGCTTTTCGTCTTTTATTGCGATTTGAAAACTTATCTAACGTTTTGTCTCATAAAATAGGCATATTTTCAATAAGCGAAATTGAAAGCTCGGTCCAGTTCTGTGTCTAATTGACTATTTTGTTCAATTTCAGATGTCGAATTCTGACTCATCCACTGAACACATGTTGACTGTTGATACTTGATAATGACGAATGAATGAATATTGAAAATAAAATAACAATCAGTCACGCATTTTATTACTTTGTGTGTGTTCTTCACCTATCATTATAATGTATTTTGACCGGGATTTCTTATCGTGTGTTATTTTTAACATGCGGTAGTCATGATGCAGTCGACTGTTTTCGAAATATCGCGCGATATTTTTATGGCGTGACACTCATGTGTTTTTTTGCTCTATTAATTTTAATGTATTTTAACAAAACGCGCTGTAAAATTACGGCTCGATAAAATAACGCCCTTGTGTTTCTAAATAAAAATACGGGACGAACAATTAAAAACCGCGACACATATTTTGTCCTGCCGAAACATATAGGTTGTCTATTTAAATCATTTTACGGCGTTGAATCTAATAGTAATTTCTGATTCAAACATTTTTACGACAGATGGTGTGAAACTGTCACAATAATGTACAATCGATGGATTATGATATAATGATCTGGAATTAAATAAACCCGGGGAGGGATGGAGGGGATGTTCTTTTTCCTCACTATACCATAGGTACCTATCACGATTCAAGATATTATGCATCAGCATCATACACATAAATACTAAGTGAGTTGAACGCTATCTAGTAGTATAATTTAGATTTATTTTAATCCATCATTATGGACAATTATTTTGGTCTTGTTCAATGAGCAATATAGAGAGCGTTAAAAACAATCGATTTTTGTAACCCCCTGTACTCTCTGAAAGCGAAAGTTTCGGATATTTCGGTTTCGGATACAGAATACAGAATACAGCTAGCTGTTGCATCCATTTTTTCCGTGGTACAATTTAATATACCTCGTTCCTAGATAATACAAATTAGTCCATATATCATGATTAAATTACTAATGTATTATAATGCCTTAACTCTATGAACTATACTAATATACTTACTATAATGATTATATTATAATCACACTATTTGCTATATAAATAATTGTATTTATATTAGTTTGTGTATCTACCATTCTTAAATCATAGTAAATATTTCGCAGAGATCATATTCAATGATCTTAGGTAAGTATATTCCGTTATTTGCACAGATATATTATATATAGTTTTAAACATGATTATCTATGGTAATTCGTTTTCTAAGCGTATACATCTATTTATTGTGTAATATACCTGCACAAATACCTACACAATTATTAAGTAAGTAGGTTTTAGTGTATTTAAATGATATTATTAGACATTTTCGCAGAATATTACAGTTATAGACGAAGTTCATTTTCAGTGCAAGTACAAGAAAATATAAGATAATCAATGTACGATCGGTATACGATACAGAAAAAGTTCATGGTTGGTAAATTAAACTTTTCCGATGTCATATATAAATAATATAATACATTTTTATTTATATTTTCATATTTATTGTATATAATGATATTTTATTATAATTACCTAGCCATATTGTAATGATTAATAATTATTATATTTACCTAATTGTATTAATTTTATATAGCTTAATGAAATTGAATACATTTTTAGGCATTACACATGTCTTTAAAAAATAAGAAAGATAATATAATGTGGTTTAAAACGAGTTGTTAAAAAACTAGGAACTTGTTTAGGCTGAGCTGATATTTGTAGTAAGATTGTATACATGGCAATCGTTGTAATTTACGTAAAAGTTTATATTCAGTTTCTTGTAGATTTAAAAAATTACAAAAGCGCGGGATTTTGTGTAGTAAGCCCACCACACTTGGTGTCACTGGTTACGGTTCATACCGTACCATTGCTGTACGCTCGTATTCTCAGTTTTCAGTTGGTGATTGTCGCCGATCATGTATGGTAGTTTTGCGCGTTCGTGAAACATGTGCTATCCGCTTAGTGTTGGCCGTCTGTCGATGTTGTTATTACTGTGCATCCGTCTGTCTGATTATAATGTCAAATACATACACGGCTGAGAAAAAATCGGAAACCAAATCCAACCCTTCACATTTGCCCACCATCCGGATACAAGCTGAATTGTTCGAACCCACTGAAAATAGATATCCTGTATTCAACTATCAAAAATTATTGCTCATCGAAGAAGTAAGTTATAGAATTGAAAATTCATACATTATATATTATGTATACCTATGAGTGTGAGTGTGTGTGTGTGTGTGTGTGCGTGTGTGTACGTACGTACGTGTGTATGTGTGTGTATGTGTATGTGTGTGTGTTTGAGTATATTATATGTACATACGAATATGTAATACCTTAGTGCAAAATATTGTTATACTTATAACTTTTACATACGTATAATGCAATAACGACAAATTACGTGTATGTGTACACAAATTGCATTATCACTACGATTATAAACATTAAACACAACAACATGTACTGTGAAACATTCATTGATAAATCAGATTTTTAGAAGTTCCCAGGCTATTGTTATTAAATAATATTATTATTATCTAGTTAACTATTATTATTAAATTGTTTTATTGATTGTTTAATTAATATTATTACTATTATTATTTTCCATTTTTCAATGATAACAATTATAGCGTTGACCCGCCTTTCCTATTGATATTAACTGTATTCGCCAATTTACTCCTGGACAATTTTGTTATAAATATTGATTGATTCTTATTTATTATTGTGTGTAAGATAATATTCCCGTTCAAGATTTTTTGTTAGGCACCTACATAATGTCATTTTTGGGTTATACCTATTACGTTTTATGTAACTATTTGTACATTCTGTTTTCATTTGTTAGTAAAAATATATATTAATTTTATTTTGATTAAAATAATTTTATAATTTGGTCGAAAACTATTTTTTACAAGATTATAAAACACATATTTTTTATTTTATATCAAGTTGTATACAATTTTTGTTAGGTAATATTTTAGCTGCATTAGTAAGTAACTAATGTGTCCAAGGGTGGACCTAGGAATTAGATAAAAGGGGGTTAAACAAATAATTCACTATTATTCACTACAACCTATCGATTATAATAATGTAATTTTGAAGTTAATATAAAATTTAAACAATTTAGAATTTACATGCTAAAGGGAGGGGGCTTCAGCTTCCATAACTGAGGCCGCTTTATATCTGCCCCTGCATTAGTTCTAATTTGTGTGTAGTTTCAAGTAAACTTAAACATTCGACTTTTAAAAAATTAAATAAATTTTTACCCTTAAATCTTTTCATTACTTATTAATTAATTATCATTATTATTATGTACCTACTGAACATTTTTAGATTTGAAACGTAGTGAGGGATCTATTTTTGTTTTGAAGTGATTATGATAGAAGTGTATTGTGAATATTTAGATTCAAGGTGGCTATTATCAAATAGTTGATTAAATAAAGAGAGAAAAGAAAACTTTTGACATTTTATCAGATTGAAATTAATTAAAAAAAAAAAAAAAATTAAAGTTTTTAAAATGTTACTTTTATTTAATGTTTAACGCATCAGGTTCATATCTTATTATCATTTCCTAGATTATTTTTTCTTAACATTAAATTGTCATTTGACCAAACATTCTTATTTTTGTATCCAATTTGGTAAATATCTAGGTATATAAAAATTTGTTTTGTATAGTTAATTATATTTTGTATGAATAAACAATAAGGTAAACAATGGTTACTAAAATGGCTTGATAGCCATTTTCAAATTGTATCAATTCATAGCATGATTGGCCAATTATATATTGTACTAGACACTTAGTGATTATTAAAATTAATATTTGTATTTTTTTTGTTTATAGAAAAAACGTCGAAGAAGAGATCAACAATCTAATTATGTTGATGAACATGATGAATCGATAAAACAATTTGCAGATCATTATGAACAAAAATATGCAAGTTTACATAAAAACATTGTTTATTAATATAATAATATTATTAGATTTTGATTTTAGTATAACTGGTTCATATGATTTTTATAATATCACACATTAATTTTAAAATTTTGTGTATATATTAACTGAATCAAGGCTTGGTCTAGTATTCACTTTTAATAGTCTTCAAAATTCTAAATTTAGGGGTTGCAGAATAATAGTGGTATATTTCTAATTGCATTTAAAAATATATTGATTTATTTTTTAATAAAATATGTAACTAAGACTGTTTCATTGATATATTTACATTACTTTATAGGGGTCAAGTGGGGTTAAGAAGAAAAAAAAGAAAAAAACAGCATTTTACAATTATTCTGAACTTGCTGCTGGTTATGATGAAAATGATTCATTTATTGACAATACAGAAATTGTAAGTATATAAGATTATATGTAATAGGGCTACTGAATCTACTGAATGTTTGTACCTATGAATATTAAATAAATAACTACAAATAATACTTATATATATATATATATATATATATATATATATTTATTCCTCTATTAATAATTTGCATGCTTATTGAAAATTAATACTTGATTGTAAAATGTTTAATTTTAAACTCTGGGTGTAGGTATAAATGTAATGGGTCTACTATGATCATATTTGTGTTTTGATAATTATTTTTATCTACACATAGATTAGATGTATAAGCTCAATAAAATGATCTAGATATAGATAGATAATAAAATAATTAAATATATCCAGATAAAGATCAGATAAAATCAATTTTATCTAGATAGAAATAAGATGATTTTTACATCTTATTCTTAAAATATATTTTTGTTAAATATATTATTCTTGTTACATACTAAATATTAATACTAATATGAGTTTAGTTTTAATCACTAATAATTATTAACAAAATATGTTAAATGATTTAAATGATCAATGATCATGTAACAATGTCAATAGACAATTTTTAAGAGGAAAGACTAGTTGTAGATATGGAGACCAACTGATAATTTTTATAAAAGTACACCAATGAAATAGGACTATGAAAATGAAATGATAATTTATTACAATATATTATTAAATGATTATCTGTAAAAATAGACAATGTTCTTACATTTAAGTTTAATAATAGGCTAATATAATGTAATATAAAATTAATAGCACAAAATTGGTTTATGTATACAAACAAATATAAATGTAACAATATTGAGCTTAACTTATATTTGCAGACTGTAATACAAAAGATCTGATACCTGAAATAAAATTTGTTTTGTTCAATGTTTTTAAGTTTCTTTTCTTGCAATAATTACTAGTCTAGCTCGAAAATTTTTTTTTTTTTTAATATTTAAAAATAAAAATTTTTTTTAGATAGCTACTTTATAAATTTATTTTTAAATAAACTGATATTTTTAATTTTCTAAAATATTTTGAAGTTTATGATAATATAAATTATTTTCATTATTCTTATTACTAAATAAGGTTCACCTTAGCCTTTCCTTACTTCATTAATTATGTTCCCTTTCCAATTGCTGGAAACTATTCCCGATCTTGGTTTGTCTCACGAATAATCTATTTATTCTCTTTCTCATTGAGACTGCCTGTTGCACATCCCTTAAGATCCTTGTTTTGTTAGCCGTATTTCAAGGGATTTTCACTTTCTTTCCCCTCTACTTCCCCTCTATACTGTAAACTTATTCATCTCATCGTGGAGTACAGTTCTGTACTTTAGGACCCAAACTTCTCTATCATCAGATATGATCAAGCGTGTTCAGAGGAAGTTCTTCTGAATTTTTGCTTACAGACTTGAAATCCTTTGTCCCCCATGTGACTACTTACTTGTCTTGTTTATGCTGAGCCTCTTCTCATTTCGTTCGTTGGCGAATCTTCAATTCCTGTCAAAACTTTTATCCAACCAGATAGACTCCCATTCCTTACTTAACAAAATAAGCTTTTGTGTTTCTCCACGTAACATTTGTTCTTCTATTCTCTTTTCCATTCCTGTTTTACCTTCTAATTTCCTTCAAAATGCCCTTATGGTTTGTTTCCCCGTTCTGCTAACACCGACTGTAACTATCTAGTAATTTAATCTGTTCTTATATGTTAATTAGGATGTATTCTATTGTTCATTTATATGTTCTATTAATATATTTTATTACTTGGTAATTGGACTGATTCCATTTGAAAATAAAATATCAAACTATTACCTATTTTTACATGAAAAATCATTATGCGAATGTTTTTTGTAGAATTAAAAAATTGTAAAAACTTAATGGAGTTTGCCAAAATTTTTTTTAAAATATATTTATAAAATTGCTATTTTAGATATGTATGTTAAAAACATTTTTTCTAACATTAAAATTTTTTTTAAGTTTTCAAAAAAAGTATAAAATTAAGGATTTAGAAATTATTATAATATGTAAAAAAACAACACAAATTATTTCAGGTGTCAGATCTTCGTGTTATATTCCGTATACATATTTATTTATTATACATGTTATGTTGCAGTTTGATGAAGTCATGCCAGAAGAAGTTGAAACAAAACATGGTGGTTATTATGTAAATACTGGTTCTTTAGAATTCAAACAAGTTTATGTATCTGATGATTCAGAAGAAATAAAATCTAGTCAACCTCGTAAGGTAAATTGTTAATTTTATTGATTGATCAAAATTGAATATAAATATAATTTACCATAATGCAATTTTATTTTTTTAATATAAAGATTTTATTGTTTTTTTTTTTTTTTTTTTTTACAATTTTAGCAATTTATAAACTCTGTATTAGAAGATAGTGATGAAAAACTGCCATCATTTGCTATTTTAAATAATTCAGAGAAAAATTCATTTACAGAAACAAAGGTATTATAAGTATACATATTTTTATTATTTAAAGGTTAATCTTTCCTTTTAGACAATTTATTTTAAATATCAAAATATTTGGTAACAATATAAGTGTTGGTGGTTACTAACATTGCCATCTGTAAGGTTTGAATATATCTCTACCATTAAAATATGATTTTATTGTTGAGGCAAGTATAATTTGATTTTTCTAGAAAAGTCATAATATATCTATCCTGTTTAGTATTAGTCTGCATATTTTGTTTTAAATATTGTTTGTGTATAATTTTTTGATTTGTTCTTTAAAGTACAATGTATTTTATTGTTGAATAATGTATTGATGAAACAAGATTGCTTAAATAGCCAAAAAATAGTCTAATAAATTAATTATATTTAAATATTTGTATAGACTTCTGAAACCTCAAATGGAACATCTTCTTGTTCTGATGAAGAAAAAGGATCTAAACCTACTTGTCCATCAGTAGTTCAGATGAATGGAAAAATCAAAAGAAGGCACTCAATTGATTCTGACAGTGCCAGTTCCATTATCCCAACTAAGAAGAAGAAAAGTAGTACAGTTAAACTATTAATTCAAGAAAAAAGAGTGCAAATACCCGATTGCAAGCCAAGTATTTAAGTTTTTTAAATTTATAAATATTTTTAATTAGTATTTTCCTGTTATTGCAACTATCTAGATATTAGCTTACATCTACATTCATTTTGTTATTTTATTGATCTTGCAATGGTATATTTGGTCTAATTTTTGCCTAAATATTCATGAATAGTGTTGACTGATAAATTCCCATTTATTATCTATTTAGACAAATGATAATTTCTCTTTTGATTTAAAAAGTTGTTATTCAATAATATCTTGATTTAATTGGTTTTTAATTTAATTATTGGGTGGAAATGCATTTGAATACTATTTAATCAGCATATTAATTAAAATACAAATTATTTATTGGCATAAATAATAATCAATCCTGCTATAACAGTTTTATTAGACTGATGCATGAATATTGTAGGAGTTGGTAGTCGCAATAACTGGGTGATCCAGCATAGTTAATATTAGCTTTTATAACTTAAAATTAAATTGTAATGTCAATTATTCTTTAGGTTGTTCAAAAGATACTCAACCTATATCTTCTGAAGAATTACCCACAGCTGAAAATAATGTTAGTTCTGTTAGTGATACTATTGAATCTGTGATATATGCAGCTTGTTCAAAGCCTTCAAATGTATCATGTTAGTATAGATAGATAGTTGCATACTAGGATTAAATTAAAAGTTAAATAATTAAATTTTAATTATTTTAGCAAGTCCAGAAATTGAAATTGTCAAGAGTACTCAAAGCACATTAAATCCACCTAACAGTATTGATATACCAATATCCAATGGTGTTCAAAACAAAGTGGATGAACTACCTCAAATAATAGAGGAAATTATCGGATTAATTAAGACTGAAGCTGAAATAGCAATCCAAAATAATTTTAACATTTTTTCAGAAAAAATTAATTTATATCTATTAAGGTAAATATAAATACGTATATAGTGGGGCATACCTTTTGAATCATGTTGAATTTTTTTATGCAAATAATCTTTAAACAATTGGTATACATTTCACTTCATTTATTAAAAAAAAACATTTAATACACAAAACTATTATGGTATTAATCTATGATGTATATATTATATAATAAGTAGTATTACTTAGGTATCTAATTCTTTCTACTTGTTATTTATTATTATACTATGCATTTACTTTAATAAATTTTAAATTAATTATTGTATTTAAAATTGATAAAACAATTTCTGAAACCATATTCTTTTTAGCCATTATGACTTTTGTCTGTTTTAATAATATAATACTCTTTCACTTGTAAGAAACTAAATTCCACTTGTTTCATAAAAATATTAAATGTCTACACATTTACTTAATAAGGTTAAATTAAATGAAAATATTATATAAAAATCAATAAAATCAAAATATTGCATTATTTAATAATTTTACAGGGAATATTGATTTGGATTTTAGATTTTATGGGTGGTGAGGAATGTATTGTTTTTCATTAGCAATGGCTTATTTTTGTTACAGACATAAATTAAATAACTATGTATCTTACTTTACCAACTCAAGTACCCTAAAGTACCTTCTTATTCAGATTTCCTTTCAGAAAAAGTTCTATCATTGTAAACCAGAGCAAAATTGCTTTCAGAAAAATTGTTTACAGGAAAATAAAAAAAGGACATCATACTTTTTAACTAACACTTACATTTTATACATTTTTTGTTTTTCTCATGTAGATAAAATTTCATTTTAGAAAAGCTACCCTTAGTACATCAGAGCAAGATTCCTGAAACAAATTTCAATTGATTTCAAAAGTTTCAATTGCACAACAAATTAAGGGATATTTTAAAATAGTCCAAGCGAGCTTGGGACCCTGGTACACCCAAAATGTATTTGTGTTTTTCTTGTTTGAGTGAAAGGAAAAAAAAATGCAAAAAATTTGTTATAAAACTCTGGTTTGAACCCGTAACACACCTAGGATATCAATAGGAATGTATGGTAATACATTCCTATGACCATTAGACTACAACAAATATATTTAGTTTTGACAATATATAGTTAAATAACTATATCCACATATCAATACTTCAGAAAGGCGAATTTCGAAACTATATAAATCCACTCAATTCTTTACCATCGTTCTTAAATCGACAATATACATAATATGTTCAAAATAAAAAATTGAAAAATTAGATTTGTTCCAAATAATTTTTTACTCAAAAAATTTTTGTCAAAATTTGATATTAAAATTTAAAAAATAAAATACTACATTAAACTCAATTTTTTTTTTCTGTTTAGTCTAACAATTTTACCTACCGAGTACAAATTATGTTTAAAACGTGTAAATTTAAAATTTCTAAAAATAGCTTACATTTTTTGAAAATTTTACTACATATAGAAAAAGTCCATAAATCAATACAAATATTTTTAACTGAATTTCAACAAAAATATTAAAATTTTTATAAAATGTTTTGAAAAATTACCATTTCTAGGAAAGACAAATATAAGAATATTTCTGTCTAAATTTCAAGTCTTTACAAATAACAAAATTAAAAAAAATCATTATAAAAAATTATTATTTTGAAGAAATACAGAAACTAGAAATGGTGTATAAATTTTGGAGCAAGAATATTTGTACAAAGTAAAAAAAAACAATTATCTTTGTAAAACCAATACATTCTTCCTTACCCTCCAAATCTAAAATACTTTTAGAACCCTGGAGCTTTAATAACTGATTTGGGTTAGTCATAACGTTGTTAGTAGTAAAATTAAAAAAATTGAGTTTTTTTTTTTATAATATTTTATGTGTTAAAAGTTTAAATTTGATGAAAATGATAAAAATTCTATGATTTCAGATTTTTTTACTCAAATTTTTTTCTATTCCCTAATTTATTGCTACTTACAGGTATAAATTAAATTACTTATAGTTATTATCCTAGTATAATCTTATCTTCTGAACTTCCCACCTACAACAGTTGCACACCTATTAGTAGTGCCACATTTTGCAAATTATATTTATAATCTTTTTATAAGCGTCGTTTGAATTAAATTAATTTTCACAATTTTTTTTCGGACTTCTGTTTGTATGGTTTTGACTACTTAGTCAAAAATTAAAGTTAAATGTGCTCTTTAGAGAGTTTTGCTCTTTATGAATAATAAATTATTGAAATTGAGCATGAGAGTTTTTATTATAAAGAATATTTTGACCATTAATAACAGGTTGCATATGGGTCCTTAAGTTTATAAATTAATTAAATTATGCCTTTTTTGCCATGGTTTTTTGTTTTAGTCTTGAATATCAAAAAGAATTATTTGTATTTAATGCACAACCAATTTATTCAACATTATCTGAATGTATGCTGTGTGACAAAGAGAAGCTTATTAACAAAATAAACCAATTAGTTGATTCTGAGGAAGCAAAAATTACTGAACCATTGGAAAGGTAAGAAATTTTTAAAATTTAAAATTATTTAATTTATATTATTTACTACGTAATATTTATTTCTTAAATAAATCTATGTATTACATTAATTAGGTTAAGAAATGCTATTAAAAAAATTATACCATCAGTTATTCAACAATATGATTTGGAGTGTTCTAGAATCTTGGACCAAAGGTATGTGTTTTTTTTTTTTAATATACATTTTAGATTTTAGTGTAGCGAGAAATGTATTGGTTTTATTATAATGTGAGTTTTTCTTTTGTCAACAAACTTTTCTATCAGAAATTTTGATCCTATCATCAAGTTAAAATGTTACTGGTAGCAAATTTTGTCTAGTTGGTGCATTAGGAAGATCATTTTCTTTTCTCCTGATTTTTGTCTTAACTTTTCCAAATAATTAGGAACAATGCAATAACGGTTTCTGTTGTTTTTTTTTTTGTTGTAATTTGAATACAAATAATCTTGGAATTTTTATATTAGCATTTTCTAGATTTCGAAACATTCTGAAAATTTGTTTCCAAGCAGTTGCTTCTTAAACAAAAAAATATTAAAAACCGCTATTCTAAGTTCTAATGCATCATATACTTGTTCAAAATGTATAATTTTTTTTTATTTATGACTTCCTTTAAAATTTGTATTTATATTTGTACCTGAACACGTGAATTCTATGTTATAATAAAATATGTTTAACCTAGCACAGTATGAACTTGAATTTTAGTTGTTAGTAAATAATAAGGTAAGGTTAAGGTAGATGGGATGTTTTTCTTAGTCACTTAAAATAATTACATTTTAGCTATTGACATTAGACTTAACTATTGGTAAGAGTTAAAAATAAGTCATTGATAACCACAAGATAAAATAATACTAACAAATATTAGACTTGTCTTTAGTTTATGTATTTAGGGCAAACTAACATCAAACTTTTTTAATAATGTGACATCGTTTATAGTGTGTTCAAATTATTTTTTTCTGTTTTGGAATATAAAACGGGTTATTATTGTATAATATATAGGTTTTTAGTACTTAAATTATGGTTCAATTTTTGTTATGAATATATCAGGACGATGAATGGAATTTCAAATGATGGATCAAAATCAAAACCTGGACCAAAAAGACCACGTCGTAAATTTCCTTGGAATGAAGAATTTAGGTATATCATTAAGTTAATTTTTATTATTCTACTTAAAAATCATATAGTTCATAATGAATAGGCATATTTATTTATTTAACATTTTGTAGATTAGTTATCTTTATATTAATATTATTAAAATAATGAGAATAATTGATTAATTATAACATAACATCAATAGTAGTAGTTAATTTCCCTGCAACATACATACAATTAAGAGTAACCTACAAATAATACCATAAAAATACCTTTTGAGAGAAAAGTCTAATGTTTTGAATTTTTGAAATCTTATATTTTCTATTGATTAAAAGATAATTTATTTGTATATACTTCCTTTGTTTCTAAAACAAATTTCAATGAAAACAATCAAGACTCCCATTGTCACTGTTGAAAAAAAATTCAATGACGCCAATTGGTGTCATGAAAGTTCATAAGTTCAAACTTGGAAATAAATGTTTTTATATATTCAATATGTGTAAAAACTTAGTACCAAAGTTGAATTTGATAAAAAATAATTTCACATGTACCGGAATAAGAACTGCAAAAAAATATCACAGTCAAAGTGTAAAAAAAAAAATCATCATATAGTAGTTGTGTAGTTCAACGTGTTTAATTTCTTATATACCTTTTTTTAAATCCTCCACTCCGCAAACATTTTCTGTGTACATGTCCTCTTATCAGTTATTTCTTGTATTATATTAGTAATTATATGATATAGATTTTTTAACACTAATTGGATAATTATTAATAAACCCAGGTATTACTCCTCTAATAAATAGCTAAATGATGTAATGTATTCTTATTTAATAAGAATTAAAATTATAAAAGCACATTTTAAATATTTTTGTGTTAAATTCTATAATAATAAAAATACAATCTTATTTTAATATAAAATACTCAATACTCTGTTTATGAAATATGTACTTGTCACTTGTACTATATTATTTAAAAAGGTATAATTATTTACATAAGAATGAATAGAGTATGAATTATTGGTAATTGTAATATTATAAGATATATCAATAATATTTATTATTTGTTATAGAACATATTTACGAGAGATTATAAATATTCGAACAACTACCTATTCCAAAATTAAAAAATCACAACCTGTAGAAATTTTTATTTCTGAGTTTATAAATAGTCGGATCAAACCATTATGGCCAATGGGGTGGATGAAATCTGCTAATATTCTAAAAGAACTTAAAGCAAAAGAAAAAGATTCGCGGTTAGTTTTTTTAACATATTTTCGTAAAAATATAGAAATATATTTTAGATTTAAATGTTCATTGAGTAAATGTAAAATATAATTTAATTATAAAATAAATGCATGTTCTTTACAGACCTAAACTATCAAAAAAACAACCATTACATAATAGTCCAACTAAATTACTCAGTGCTATTAAATTAGCATCTGAACATAAAGTATCTAAATCTGCCATGAACAAATTGCATAAGTGGAATAAGCAGAAGACTTCAAAAACACCAGATTTAAGTTCCAGAACAACTAGTCACACTTCAACTACAACTCCATCTGCAAAATCTAATCTTAAGAAATTGTATGATTCAGTAGTCATCAGTACTATAAGTAATGACATATGTCCTTATCAAGCAACCATTACAACTACTGCAATTAATGGTTGTAAATCGAAAGAATCTGAAAAAAATAGTGTTATTGTAAAAACAGAAGCACTACCAGGAGATATATTAGATTTATCACCAAATAAATCCAGTCCAATATCATTTGCATTTAACAAATTAAAAGATGTTACTGTGATTTGCAATAATACTACACAAGACAATAACAGCTCTACTAAAACGGTAAGAATAAATCATGTTTGAATATGTATAGTTTTTTTTTTTTTTACATTAAACAAAATCTTCAATTAAAAGTTGGTATTAAATATTTATTTTATTTTAATTTATTTTATATACATATATATATTTTAAATTTCACATTGTTGCTTAATAAAACAAATATGTACAATATACAAGTCATTTTAAATTAATTAACAGTGTCAACTTTATTTTATGATTGCTTTTTATAATACAGAATAATTAATATATTAATGTATATGTTGGCTTTAGTTCTTTTTTTCTTATTTTACACTTATTTATTTTATTCAGTTTTATGCATGTAACAAATTATAACTTGTCACATAGTTAACATTCAATTTTGTTTGACTTTTGGTTTTGCACTTCAGGGTGTTTGTTTTGTTAATATCCTATACTATGTTTATACATAAATATATATATATATATATATATTTTTATAAATTTATTGCCACTAATATTTTTAATTTTGTATCGTTAATCAAAGTTAAACAAATATGAAAAATGTTTTTCTGATATAATCTATTGATATTAATGAAAATAGTAAGAATAAGGGTTTGAATTAAATAACACTTTTTATAGAAATAACAATAATTTATTTTCTCATATATATATATGTGTATTTTGACAACACTCTCTAATTAATGTCCAAGCCTAACTAGTTAATGTTAAAATACTTTTTAAAAGAAACAATTATTTGCTAATAAGTTATTTACAATTTTAATGAAAAATAGTAATTAAGTTTGATTAAAAGTTAATTAATGAAAATACAAACTAAATTAGAAAACAATTGCTGAGATAAAACAAATACCCAGATAATATATATATATATATATATATTTTGATATTCATCTAAATTTAAATTATTTCATTGTCATCATTTAATTGTAAAATACATCAATATCTGTTCAATTTTAATAACATTTTTATTTAAGGTTGTTGCTCTTTGTTGCTTAAATATTTATTCTCCAGAACTTAAAGTGTTTAACATGAACTCTGGATTATACAGTTAAATTTTATAAACATTTGTTTAAAATTAGCATATGATATTTTATTGACAAGAGAGAAATTAGTGCTTTAAAACCTTTTTTGATTTAAGTGTAGTTTGAACATTTAATTTTGGTTAAATTTGATCAACCTGATTGTATTTAAAACTGTGACATGGTGTACAAAATAATATAATACAATAATATGGGCACATTATGACTTTTTTAAAGTGAATTTTTTTTTAGTCTAATGTCATTAAATTATAGTTATTTTATAAAAATAATGAACTCGTTAAGTTTTACTAACTATAGTGTTATAATGTAACTAGTTAGTTTCACAAATATTACAATAACTAGTATTTAAATTAGGAAAGGATGTAGTAAATAAGGGGAGGGGGGGTGTTCTAGTACATTGAGAATGGTGAATTTGAATGAAATGAGATAAATAAACCTTTTTTTTAATGGTTTAGTAAGTAAAAAGTGATAAATTGTATGAATAATTTACGTGTTCTGAAAAAGTAAGACAAGAATTAAATGAAAGAGATCTAGTGAACTTAATGATTTATTTAATTATTAGATTTTACTAAAATTGTGTAAAAGTTTCTAAAAATCGTATATTTAATAATGGAGCCAAGATATAAAAATATGAATTGACATAGAGTAGGTATTATATGGTTTATCATAGAAAAATAAGAGTGTCTTGAGGATAAACCTGTGTGGCCAATCAGAAGTGTGTGAAGTGTGGTGAATGGCTCGCTATGCCTGTTGGTTTTACGTTTCAAATGAAGCGTCGTGTGCAACAAGAGGACCTCCATGCTCTTTGATAGGCTATCCCCCCTTACAAAGAGTTGTAGAGAAAGAAGAATAGCCTCATACCTAATAACTGAAACCTGATAATAATGCAAGGAGGATAGTATCCTAAATGTAAACCTAAACCTTGCTATAGTGAAAAAAATACTTTTAAAATACTGATACTGCTGATGAGTATACAATGGTATACATTGTTTTAGGTGGGAAAGTAGGATACATAAATTTATTTCATTTATATCTGTATACAAAATAAATATATATTAATGTTGACGAAAAGTATTCTAACCACTAAAGGGAACTTTTTATCAACCTGTCAAACTTTTCATGAACCCTCTTATTAAATTTTCAAGCATTTATATTCAGTCAAACCATTTTATTCGCGTAAAACCAAATTAAAATTTGAACACATCTATAAAGTATTCTGTGAAAATTTCAAGTGATTTATTATTATTTTTTAAACAAAATATTACAAAAAAAAAACAAGTCAAAGATGATGAAGATATCTTTACATTTTCAGTTTTTCTCAATTATTAAGAAAATTGAGGCAAAATAAAAAAAACCACTTTTTTATGCATCAACTGTCTAAATTTTCTTTTAGAAAAGATGCTACTTTTAAATACAAAGAAAGATTTATGGAAAAAAAAAATTAAATTAAAATTAATGAAACGCTTTTCATATAGGTTTTATTTCTTCCAATTTTCCTAGTTATTAATTATAAAATCTGATTGGAAAATCAAAAAATAATTTCTCCAGTACAATAGCTAAATTCAAAATGATACAAAACTTCTCTCTTGTTATTTTTTGATTGGAACAAAATTTATAGTAGAAAAGTTGTACACAGACAGAAAAAAAAGAATTATAATAAAACCCATATATTCCTCGGTATGCTCAGAATTTAAAATACCAATTTTCAAACACTTCTTATTGGGCACATAAGTTTACCCCAGTCAGAAAATAGAAATTTATAATCATCTTCAAACATTTATATTGAAATAGTCAATAATCAATAGATTAGATGAGAATGATATGAGATTTATGAATTCAATAATTTCTATCCTAATCATTATGAGAACAATTTATTTGAAGGAATGGATGGAACTTGTGATATTCTTTTACTTTTTCAGAACAACCCCTCCAGAATATTTCTTCTATTTTTATTATACATTTTATTTTTGATTATTTTTAACCCCCTTTACTCCTTTATTTTGTTGTTAATTAAAACCTTGTTTATAACCAGTTACTAAATAGTAAATATCTAGTTTGTTATACTCGTAATTCTATGCAATCAATTGTATTGATAGATATCAATGTAGCTGTACTACTTAGTTAAATTTTGATGAACATAATGATTGAATTTTAACTATAACAAATAAAATCTTGTTGGTAAAATTGAAAAATATTTTGTTCGTTTTATATAATAATAAAAAGTCCTTCTCTCACATTTTGATATAAAAATTAATTTTTTTAGTTTTATCTATGATTACCATTTGCTGTTGTTTTATCATTGTAATATTAACAATACTATACAAATAAAATAAAAATATTTTAAGATACATTAAAGTATCTTAAAGTAAAGAAATACATTAAGATAATTTGAAATAATATGTATTTAAATTGTCATACTTGAAAAATAAAATAATATAATATGGCGAGGACATTGTTTCCGATAAAATTTTATTTTCATTTTTGCCATATCTTTTTATATCTAAAGTATACTTTGAAAACCATTATAGTTATCTAGGGACTACCTCAAAGAAGTTCTCATTGTCCCTCAAAAATTGTTTTATTCTTTTTATTCTTAAATTCATTTTGTAATTAAATTTATGATACAAATTTTGATCAAAAATGGCTTAACAATTCTATACCTGCAAATTAATATACTTTTTCAAATTAAGAATAATATTGCACACTCTTTAAAAATCACATTCTAGAAATAGTTTTCTTTATATTTTCTTTGAGTGCGTTTTTAGTATTCATAAATATTTTTTTAATTTTGCATAACCACCAACTAATTTGCACATATGTTTGTCATACTTAATTATATGGTAATTTACTTCAATATCAAATGATTCTTCCAATAAGAGCGACAGGTTATTTATTTATCATTATTATGACTAGGTGTTTTCCAATAATAATATACTTAGGTAGAAAACAAATTAGGTTAAAATAATATCAAAATTGTAATAACAAGTAAATAGAAAAAAATAAAAAAATAATATTTTACGCCGACATTTTAATACGTATATTATTTTCAAATAATGTATATCTAACATTTTTTTACGCTATACAGTGGTGATACAAAATATTATAACCAAACTATTTTTTGTTATTTCTTTAATTCTATATTACAAATACAACTATATATACTATATATTAACTATAATAAAATATGTATTTTGTTTCCCTTAATTTTTGTAAATATACATTAAAAGAATGAACTGATACTGCTGATGGGTGCGCCACTGTTGTTGGTTAGAAGTTGGAAAGGTTGGATACATAATATTATTTAATTTATATTTGTACGCAATAATAAATAAACCATTGCAAACAAAATACAAATCTGAGCAAAGTTCTGTTATTATATGTTTTGAAATACTGTAATATTTACAATTTTTTTCAAAATGTATTCTTAAAACAATAATAAAAAAAAACTATTACATTACCATCAACTTTTTTTTTACCACTATCTATAACTTGCAATGAACATCGGGTTAAATTTTCAAACATTTTTGTTTAGTCAAATATTTTTATTCACATAATTGTTAGTACCTTAACAAATAAAAACTAAAACAAAAACCTAATCTATTAATAGGTATGTAATAGGTATGTCAAGAAAAGGTTAATATAAGTAATTTGTACAAATTTTAGCTCTACAATAATTTTTAATCTATTTACAACAAAAAGCCAAAATTGAAAATAATGTAACCTTCTGTAATTCCTATGGTTTTTTCCCAATCAATATGAAAACTGGCTGGAAAATGAACATGGATTTAACTAAATCCAGAATACAACAAAAAAATCTTAGAATTTTTAATTTAAAACAAAATTTCTAGTAGAAACAATGCTACAAATCAAAAGTAACGCTGTAAATATTTTTTCAATTTTCCTACAAATTTTCTTCTGGTTTTTTTTATATTATTATAAAAATCCTTTGGAATATTAAAAAATGACCTCAATGCTACAACTGGTTCCAAAATGCAAAAAATTATTCTCTTGTAATTTTGGGATTCAAGATTTCTCGTAAAAAAGTTTTTCTCAGACACAGAAAAAAAAACATGTATTAAAACCATTAAAATCTTCACTTAGCTCAGTATCTAAAATATAATAATCACATTATTCAACATAGTATTAATAATTAAAATGAAACAGATTTCTGTGCATAACTAGTATGATTGTATTACAAATATGATTAAGATAATAATTTGTATTATACACTTTGTTTTGGGTTGCTTCATTTTGATTCATAATTTTATGGTGACTGGTCAGTAACTATTTAGTATAATATATTATAATATTCTTATCTAGTTATTATGTATGTATATGATTTTGACATGGCATTTAGTACAATGATAATGTACAGCAAATTCGTTTTTTTTTTTACATTATAAAACATTTAAAAATGATGAATGATTTTACAATTACATATTTATTTTAAATAATTATATTAAGAATTATGTGTTCCTGCTTGAAGGAAAATTAAGTAATTTATTTACTAATCATGATTTAATGTTAATATTTTGAAAAATGTAAATAACTACTTATGAATACATTGTTTCCTATTTATTTGAATTAATATAATCTGTTACAAATATAATATAAAATTAATATGGGTTATTTGAATCATTTCAAAAATTAGATATATTAATAAATATACAAATCATACACATTATAGATTAAATAACACTAATCTTCAGGTTTTGTACCAACTGTGTATAATAGGTAATATTTATTATTGTTAGAGAAACTAAAATGTTAAAATGTTCTTACACTCCTCAATATAAAATGTGTATGCTTTGTATGGGATCTGTATATTCTGTATTTGAAGAGGTAGACTACAGTGATCCATAAAATAAATAACTTTTATTTTTGACAAATTGTAGTTATATCATTATATTTAAATTGTTTGTAATTATATAAAATATTACTTAGATTTAGAACTAAGTATATTTATTGCATTATTAAGCATACTTGCATATGTAGGGGCTATCTGACATTTATCACAGGAGGCACAAAATAATATTTATCTATCCCACTCCTTCAACATTTTTTGGTAAAAGATTAATTCCTTACAAAATAAATGTTTCGTTTAGATAAAAAAAGGTATTTATATTTTCATATTATTTTTAAAAATTATATTGTATATAATTATACATCCATATAAATATTTAAAATAATATACTTAAAAAAAATATTTGTTATAATTTTAAATGTCTTGATATTAGGTTTTAATAGATTAAACTTTTCAATAATTACATCATTATATAATTGATTGACGTTATAAGGTCTTGCTCCGTGAAAATCATTAACATAAAATCTAGTCTCTCTTGTTTCATTCAACTCCTCAGTTTTGTTTTTACAATATTTAATTTTAAAAATGACCGCTTGCAGGATTGCCTGGTAATTGGAATAGTCACAATATTGGATAGTGCTTTGAGTACATTAGGAAAACTGTCATTGTTTGTTAATTTTAACAACCAATTATGAATTATTTTGGTTGTTAATTTGTATGGCTTATGTTTAATAAATATTGCCCAATTATAAAAACATCAAGAGATCTTTTTGTTGAATTTTTAATTTAATTAGTGACCATGAAAATAGTTTTTTGTAGTATTTTTAATTATTGAGAAAAACCAAAAAATACATAGAAAGATCTGGAAAATTTATGAAAATAATAAAACCATTATTTTCAATATTTTTCAAGAAAATTTGACTAAATCTGATCTTTTTTTTTTATTATTCCCTAAACAAAAAAAAAAATAAATTTATTAATTCACTTTAGAAAATTTTGTAAAAATTTTAATGTATCATACATTCATATCAGATTAGGTTTCTTAATTATAGCCATTTTATTTCTAGAAAATAAGCGTGAAAATAATTGATATTCAATAGAAGGAAAGAATTATCGTACTGATTGTTATTCCTTATCGCATAACGTATTATTTTATTGAATATTAATTGTTTTGACGCCTAATTAAAAGGGCTTTAACTCTGAAATTATTCATCAGATATGAATGTGTGATATATTATTAAAACTTTTTGAACTATTTTTACAAAATGGCTATTTTGAAAATTTTCTAAAGTGTGAATAAAGTTATTTTTTTTTTTTAATTTCCCCTCTACCTTTCCAACTTCTCATCTACAACATGGCCCACTCATTGTGCGAAGTATATCCGTATTTTTTTTTTGTTAGAGCTGGTTTCTATAATTGTGAATTTTACAAGTACTTTTATTTTATTAACAGATGGAATTTTAATGCTTTGTAAGTCATATACTTAAGAACTTTTTCATACAGAGATTCATATTGGTTATCATCAAGTCTTTTAGGTCTTAGATTTTTTAAAATCTAATTTCTACAGTTTCGAACTAACTATACAAATTTCTTTTAAAATAGGTTTTACCATGTATAGTACAAAAATAAAGTTATAATTATTAATTTGCTTTAGCTCTAACTTCTGATATATTTTAGTAGTATCGGCAATATTATCAAGACATTGTAAAAGAGATGAATAATTTGTTTTTAACATATAAACTGTCTCTGAATAATGTGCCCATCTACTGGTCGAGAAACTTGAACATTTTCAGTTTAAAATGAGTTTGCCTTGCACTAGTTTCCAAAACTGCATGTCGTACAGTGCTTTCTTCAACAAAGTTGTATAAAAGCTGCACATAACCAAAAATAGTCAAACACAACGAAAATGTCAATAATTATATTATATTTCAAATTTAAGAATCTAGAAACGACTTGCAGAGTGTGCAGCTACATACCCTGTAGCCTATATTTGTGTACTTACTTAATGAACGAAAGAGGTATTTTGATGAAAATGACTTAAGATTTTAGGAAAACTAAAAATTTACTATACATTTTAAACATCAAACATATAAAAAGCTAATTCATCTTAGTATATTGTGATTATAATAATTGTTTTACAACAGTAAAATTTTCTATACCTTAATTTATTACTTGTATAGTATAAAATTATTTTGATAAAAGTTAAGTTTTATAATAATATATGTAAATTTAAATTGATACAAGTAGAAATCTGCTTTGAATATATTTATTTAATTTATTTTAAAATAATGTATTAAGCATATTTATTGTAATTTAGATAAATTAAATAAATATATTCAAAGCAGATTTCTACTTGTATCAATTTAAATTTACATATATTGTTATAGAAACTATCTTTTTTCAAAATAATTTTTATTATAAATGTAACAAAGCAATATTTTGCAGGAGAACCTACCACATTAATGTTTATAAAATTTTGTTCTTTTTCATCCATAAGTCAAAACAAGATGATACCTAAACTATAATCAACCTATGATTTTAATTAATTTGAATAATTTAGGATAAATAAGTATGTCTGGCTAAATGCCAATGAAATGGCAGTATTAGATATGGCGTACCAATGCATGTTATTTAGTTATATTTTAGTGGACATAATGGTTATCTACATGGTTGTATTTACTAAAACTGGTGATTAATTTACACTTTGTAGATAACCATGGTTAATATTAAGTTTTAGAAGGGGTATTTTAATATTTTAGAAGATTAGTTAGTTTTAAGTACTCTGATTTTCTGTATGCATGTTGGTAAGGTTTAAATTATTTATTTTTTTCCATTATACGTTTAGATTTTCAAAAGAGTGAATGACCTATATATTTTCAATATCTAATATTTGTTTAACAAAGAAACACATACCTAGTAAACATTTTACTACTGTATATAGTTATATGGTACCAAAACAACCTATGATAAATCTTCAACAGATTTTAGAAAAATTTTGAAAATTTAAAAATATTTTATTTATATAAAACTAAATAAAAGCTTAAAAAAAAAAAATCGAAAATTTAAACTGATCTTAAATAGCCCAAAAATTGCCAGAATGTTTTAAAAATTGTTGTATGTCTAGAAAATTCTTAATTCTGAATAAAAGTCAGTTAATTTTAACTGAATTGTAACAAAAGAAATTTTTATTGTATACATTTTCCCGTTTTGTGACTTTCCAAGTTATTTAGAAAACTTCAAGGAAAATCAAAAAATTAATTTCCCAGTATAACTCAAAAGTTCTTTTGTCTTTTTAATTAAAGCAAGATTTCTTGTAGAAAATTTGTTAACATTTATTATAGTAATACATTTTTGTTATGCTCAGAATCTATAATTTTGATTATGGAGAAATAATCTGTTATTTTTTTCTAAGCATGTTTATTTTTCATAACCTATAAGTATTGCATGAGTGTGTAAAGATTATTATTATTTGTATTTTGTTAGTTAAAATAAAGTTTTACATAGATACTTTGTAAAGTATGATAGTAATTGATATTGTGATTTACAACTTAAATTATTTGGATTTACCATTAAAATGTATTATACTTGATTAATTTATAAAGTATAAGGTTTAGTCAATATTTTGAACGTGTTTGCAGGATTCCCAAATTAGTCCAAAACATACAGTTCATCAACCGATTTCGCGAAAGCAAAGATTGCTTCAGGAATTGCATAATTCACCTATGCCTGATCAACAGAAGTTATCAACTCATATTTCCACTGTTGATCAACAGAGCACAAAACCAAAAGTTTGTTTGCACACATGTTTTTAAATATATTTAAATTATATATATTATTATGTATTATCTTTGTTTATTATTAAGGATGAAAAAGCTATTTCATCATCAAATAAATTAGACTGCATAAAAGTTGATGAAAAATCAACAGCAAAAGATATGTTGAGTCAAATCATCAATGAATCTTTAATGGACAATACGTCACCATTACCTTCTCAGTTTACAACTAATAATTTTTATAAACCAGTATGAGGAAATGTTTAATTTGTTAATTATTACAGTCATTTTAACATACCTATTGTATTTCATTTGTGCAGAAAGAAGAAACGAAATCTCCTGCGTCAATTATAATAACCAAACAAGATAATATTAAAATTGAACATTCAGATTGGCCGCATAATGACCGCAATACATCATGTAAAACTCCATCGCGCCATCGATCATCTAGTTTAGAGCTTGCAGAAAAAGAAGCGCAAGAAGTTATTAGAGATTTGTTAGTATTGAATCAGCTGTCCTCATCTTGTTCGTCGCGTAATACAAAAGATAATACATATAAAAAACATGTACCAATGTATTCTTCCCGTTCACCTGATGCACATACAAGTTCACCACTAGGAGTTATTCATCATCCAGCTTATAGGAATTCTTATATTACAGTATGTATTAGTCGACTTATGAAAATAATATAAATTGTGAATTATTATAATTGTTTATTTATTTGTAGACTACCAGTACGATAAGTAAATCAAAAAGTGAATTGACTCATGGGACAGCAATAGGCATGCCAAAAATGAATATTGGTTTCCAAGATGAGTTCCTCAAACACATGGTGAAAACCGAAGAACCCAATTCACAATTGACTACAGATAGTTATCAGTAATAAATAAATAATAGTTATTAAGCAAAGGAAAAAAAAAATCTTATAATTTATTGGTTTTGTAGAAAACAGGGGATGCCACATTATGGTTCAAAACATACAAATGCTAAATCTTCAGAGGTTAGTTGGTTTATTATTGGCACACTTAAAATTGTTACAACTAAGTTTATATAATAATAATATGTGAATACAAATTTGTTTCAGAACTTATATCAACAACAGTTTTACTCAACACTGAATACAAAACAAAATCAAGATATAAGTCATAATTCAATAACATACAGTAGTAAGTTAATATCAATATTGAAATAGCATAGTAAAATGTAATTAATATTTAATTTGTACTAATTATAACACAAACATTTCAGATACAAATGAATAAAGTGAATATTTTAAAATAAACGAATATAGTATATACAAAACTATAATGAAGTTTGATACAGTCAACAATATCTTCAAATTTAACACTATACGAGAGTAATTTTATCTTTATTTTTATTTATATAATTAGTATTATACTCAACTAGTAGTATTATAATTTTAAAAGATAAACCTCAAGATAAATGTAAAAAGAAAAGTAATAACTATAGGTGTATTTTAAAATTTTAAAATAAATGTTTATGTATATAATATTGTATCATCCATATTTATTTGTTCAGTGTATATTCCATTAAAATCCATCCTAAATATAATAATAATTGCATAATATGTTAGTATACAGTTTGCCATACTAATAAATATAAAATTTACTATCTATGTTAATTAACAGTCTCAAATAAAATTGTATAAATTTTGTATTTCCTTACCGATATAAGAAATTGTATATTATATTACCACTGTCCAAACGACTAATTTTTCTTATACATTTTAATAAGTCAATCATTGCAGCTGTAAATTTGTTTTCTAAAATTTGTATAGTTTTTTCAAAATCCATTTTCAGATTAAGATGATTTGTTGGTAACTGAAACAAAGACAATTAAACATTTAAGTTTATTGAATATAATTACCTAATGAGTACTTATAACGTACAATCAAATTTATAATTAAACTCAGCCTGTAGAAATGTAGCAATGTTGGAAAAAGTAACATCAACTAATCTAATAACCATAAATTGCAATGTTATAAATTTAATTACTATTATTGGATGAGTTTTACAATATAGAATGATTGATTTAATACAACACACATTTATTATTTCTAAAAGTATAAATTGTTTTTAAAACATTTTTTTTTGGTAATTGGTAATCAATGATACATAGCCCTTATTTTTGGGGGTGAAAAGACTACCTACTTTTGATTTTTAAATGGAAACTTATACTACTAAAATTCCATAAATAGATAAGAGTATTAGTTTAAATAAATGTTGGTATTGAAATTTTTAATTCCGTCAACCCATTGATGAGATATTCCACTTTAAGTTTAGGTAGTGGGATAGTATAGTATATGAATATTCACATTTTTGATGTATTTTAAGTTTAATGTGTAGTTGAAAATGTCAAAGAATATGATATTTGTTTTTGTATATTATAAATATAATTATAATTATTGTACTTACTAAAATATAATCACTAAACTCTGTACATAGTTCTAATAAATATCTGCTACTTTTCATTAAATCTGGATTAGTAACCATGCAATTCTTTAAGCAAAGGCTTAAAAATTTCTGTTGTTCATCTAACAGTTCATCAACATTTGTCACCTATATAAATGCAATGCTAAAATATAATATTATAATTTGGTGAAATATAAATACTTTGAATTGAATAGCCGATGTAAAAGTTTGCCATTGTGTCTCGATAACTTCTTCAAACATGTAATATTCCAAATTTTGTACAAATAACAGCATGTTTTGCCTTAAGTTAAAAGCTTTCTTATAGGTTATTTCTGAAGAACTCTTTTCTTTTTTTAACTGTTTGTCACAGAGCCATACCCTAAAGAAAACAAAAATTAAAATTAATAGAGTTCAATTTTAAATTATGCTGGACTAAGTCTTGTCACTCCACCCAAGTTATTTACATGCAACAATTAAAAAGTATACAGGTACTGTATTTGATTCTGAGTGGAGAAAAACGTTTATTGTTTAAATAATAAATTTTTTTTTTTCTTTACAAAATGTTCATGGAGTAAATCAGTTCAATTGTCATTGGATTAAACAAATAATTTTTTTAAGAAAAATCAAATTTAATGTTTAATAAGGGATTCCATTCAGAATCATATTAGGAATGTAATATTTATTGTTTTTTAACATAATAGCTGCTCAAAGGATAATGCCCATATATATATATATATATATATGTATTAAAATATGAAAATATACACTAATTCCCAAGCAGCTTAATAATGTGCAAAGTACCCTTCATGTGCTGAGTATATCCATTTTTTCTTTTTTTGAATAAATACAAATATAATACAGTATTTTTAAACAAAATTATTAATTACACAATACGTACATTTAATTTCTCATTGATTTTCTTTTTAAACATTAAATTTAAAACTGAAAAATTAATAAAATTTTAACTTGCTGTTAAACAAGTACCTATTAGCTTATTACTTAATTAATTACATAAGTAGAGAAATGGAATGGATTATAATTATTAACTAACTTTAATTAAATACATATTATGCTAAACATTTTATAAAAATTTTTTTCTTCGTTAAAAACTAGCCCACAGCTAAAATTGTGTTGTTATATTATTTTATTGTTATTTGTTACTAATAAATCACTTACTTAAGTAGTTGGCGTTCTACGTTTTTACATAATAATAATAATCTGAACAACATTTGATAATTTGATATAACAGTTTCATTAAATATTAAAGAAACAGGCCATTGTGTTGTTAATCCCAAGCAAAATGATTGTATACCCAATAAGTTTGAAGAAGGTTGAAAATCTGTATAATCTATATAAAATATTTAAAAAACGTTAATAGCCCAAATAAAATAAATGTTAAAAAAATGTCTGACTGTGATTATATGGTTTAAAATCTTAACACTAATGTATAATTTTAATTTTACTAAGTACAAACAACTTGTTTTCATATTTTTACCTTTTTCTTTTTCAGTTTGAATTGAAAGTATTTTAAATATTTGAAAACTCAAAGGATCTTTTTTTAATTCCATTTTAATGTCATCTTTGTATTGGTCAACACTTCCAACGTTTACTCGTAAACAAATATCTAACAATGATTCCAATCTGTTGTAAACAATGTCATCGGTAGGTTTTTTTAACTCATCATCGCATACATCTAACAAATGCACTACAAAATCTCCTTGTTCAAGTAGAAAATACCGTTTGATCGATCTGAAATTTTTTTTCAGACGTAATGTTCATTTTGAAAACAACTTCTTATGCTTACTTTAATCGGTTCATAAGGTCATAATCAACCAGCAGTACACTTAATAAACTACTACTTGCAAACATATAAGCATTATTTATTGTTTTTAGGTAATTTGTTACATCAGAACACCACATGGAATATACAAGTTTTTCATCACTGGTAGATTTATAAGCCAAATTTGATTTATTTTGAATATCTATTGTAAAGAGTTAAATTTTAAAGAGTAATGTTCTCTATTAGGAGTAAAAAAAATTAACTATTAACTTACTACAATGATAAAGTGCATTTAAATATTTTCCTGTACGTAAAATAATTTCTTTAAATTTTTCTAAATAGGTAGGAACATATTCATTTCTGACTGTATAACATTTATTCCAATATTTTTCTGTATCATCACTTAATACTAGATTACCACATTTAATCATAAACTAATAAAAATACATATAATGAATAATAATTTTATGTGAAAATGTTAAAAAAAATATAATATATATACTACAATAAATTATATTAAATGAAAAATAACGCTATTTTCCAGTAATTAACATTATGCATCTCATGTATAGTTAACTAACTTATTAAACCAGCTATTATGGTTATTAACCAAATACTCGGGTAATAATTGTCATATAAAGTAGATATTCCCAAATATTAATTGAAACATAATGGAGGTAGGTATTTATGCGCCTGATAAAGGTTTATTAGATTTACCTATGAATTACGCATTACACATTTTTAAAATTTAGTTTACCTTATCATTGCTCAATTGATATCTATTTAAATTATTGATTTTATTATTATTATGATTTTGACTTATTTAGTCATTTTTAGGTAACGGTTAAATATAATTATAAATATCACATACTTAAACATTTCCCATTTCATATGATTATCAATGTGATTCACTAAAATATTAAGATGATTCCCAAATTTGCAAACAAATAACATTATTTTCTGATAAAACATAATTTACCATAACATATATATATATATATATACATATAAACGTTAAATCATACTTCATCATAGGGGTCAAAAACTTGTCCCTTGAAAATCCATTTTTCTAAAGACTGAAAAAAAGGAATAGTTGATACTTCAACCATTCCAGCTAAAAGTTTTTTAAGTGAATCATCAATATAACAATGAATAACTTCCTCATGTAACACTGAAAGAGTTTGACCACCTTTCTTTTTATCCTAAAATATATTTAGTATTAATATTTTATATACAATAAAATAAATATGTCTTTTTAATACATACTTGTGAAATTGTTGATACTATATGAGCCACAAATTCCATTTTGTAAACATGAGCTTGGGCAGCAAATGACAATGATTGTAAATTAAGTTCTCCCAAATTGTGTTGATTTTCAAGGCATATTATAAAATTCTAAAAATAAATAAAATATGCGAGTAAATGCATTTATTAATATTTAGAATTTATTGGTAGACAAAAATAGATTGTTATATGGTGAATTCCAGTATTAAAATCACAATTTACAACTTCGAAAAACTTACTAAGTAATCTCGTATAAATTTGTTTAAATAACAAGATAAAGCTTGATTAACATATCCATTATGGCTCTGACGATTTTCTTCACTAAACCGACAAATTATAGTGTAAGACGATGCAAGTCTAAGTATTTTCGGTACTAAACATTTATATTGTGGACCTAAGCGAATAATCAAATATAATTATTATATTTTTATACTCATGATTTTAGATAAGTCATTAATATATTATTAAATTTAAAATTTGTGGTTTTAAATTTAATTTATTAGCAAGGGTTAGTTTTAATAGTTTATTAAAAAACAACAAATAAAATGTCACAAAACATAATAATTTTAATGTTTAAAAACAATCATACCATACATGAACCAATTTATTTATCTTTTAAAACAAATACTGGATTTAATTAGTTTATTTTGTGTGGGAATTCAGTAAGTTATATCTAAATGTATATGATTATAATCCGTTCATGATGAGGTATATTATAAAGCAAGCAGTGTTTTTTAACTTGGGGGTCTTCAAAAATATATATTATATAAAATTTGCTATTATTTAGGGAGAGTGGTGACAGTAAAAGGGTTGAGAAACACTGCTATAAAGTATACTTATAAAAAAACATTAACTTTATTCATTAAAAATACTTTTTTTTTGAATTTGAAAAAAATGTAATTTTAAATTGTAAATTTTATACTATCACATGATAAATTTTGAATATACCATGTAGTTTTATCTTCAATAGGTCAATTCAATCAAAATACAATTAGCCCATGCATAGTATTACGATTATTTTTAACATGGAAATTATGATGTTTATCTAATTAGTAAAGGAAAATATATATTCTTAAAGTATTCGAACATGTATTCTGAATATCTATTTACTAATCATTTATTTGAATATGAGTTCTGAATGGTAAAGAAAAGTATTATTTTCAAAGGTGGTAGTAATTATAGTAATAATAAAATATTTTACACTTAAGAATAAATACTTTAACATTTTATATCTAGAATGGTTATTAAAACTACTTATTAAATATAATAATAATTGAATAACTATCAAAAACAAACCTATAGACTCATGAATGTTAAATGTAATAGGTACATCATGTTTATTATGAGTGATAAATTTTCCATGGAAACCCTGAAGACAAGAGAGAATATCATTGACCAAGTCATATTCTTCTGGACAAATATGATCTATAATAAGATAATACAATTTAAGAAACAAATAAATATTACTTATTATTCAAAAAAGTGTCAAATTACTACTGGTTATAATGGAATAAGTCATTGGCATGCTAAAATAATCTAGAGCTTGATATTTTCTCGAATTTTTCCAAAGAGGAGTTTGATTATAAACACTTTTTTTCAAAATTATTTTTTTCTCTTTTATTTCTTTTTTTATTTGTCGTTGTTTTTGAAATTCATTTCTTTTCTAAAAAATATTTTAAAAATTAAATACCTACTTTATAATATAATACTTAGGTATTATTACTTATTTCAACTCAAAACTTTTGATAATTATAGATGATTTTTAATATTTTAATAAAAAAAAACTTTAATATATACAAAATATTTAATTTTTTTTTAGCAAATACACATTTCTACAATCAAATATTTATATTAAGTCTAGGATTGTACCTATATCCAATACTGAAAAAACAACAAATTAATCAATAATGACAAACAATAATAACTAATCCCAATTAATTATAATAAAATATAAAACAAAAGGTTCAAAAAAATTAGTACAAGTAAAAATAATACAAATAAGCAATTTCAAATCCTACTGGGTTTTTCTAATCTCGTTCATTTTCCTCCACAAAAATAGTTTTAATTTGTATTTTTCAAGAAGAAAACCACTAATGTAGATGAAACTTTACTGATTTTATGTTTATTTTTTAATACTTGTTGTTTATATGTAAAAATAGGTAGCTTTAACCCGTGATAGCTCCTACCGATAGAAAAATATCTAACATATAACTTATTTTAAGAATAAATATTATTGATTAAACGATAATTAATCACCCTTCCACAAATATTTTATCTATAAGATTATAAAACTTGTAACACCATTATTATTGATAAGATTAAATTATATAAAATTTATTTTAGAATTCATATTTTGATGAAATTATATAAAGTAATATATTGTTAAAAAAAATCAACATGCAAGAAATCACGTAAAATAAAACACGAGAGTGATCCTGATTTAATAATAAATATATACCAAATACTGAAAATTAAAAATATATATGTAGGTACCTACCTCAATTTCTTCTTTATAATGTTGTAAAGCTTCTGAACAACTTATTTCTTTTTCATATTCTTTAAACCGTTTTTCTAAAAATGAAGTTAATTTTTTGTCTTCACTTACTTCTCGAATTAATTCCATAAATTTATCTACAGATTCATTAGTACTAAAAAATAAAATAATAGTCTTTAATTAAAATTTGTATATACCTAATATTATAACCAAAGTATAATAATATACTAACCCAAAACTCTGTACTTTTTCTTTTAATTTCACAGGATTCTCAGAATGGAGCAATAATTTTCGTAATGAATGGTCTTTTGAATGTTCGAGTTGAATTTGTTGTCCATCATATCGGTTCCACCCTTCCAGTTTATCAAATACATCCTCAACAGTAATAGTAGATCTAAAGGAAGAACACCCAATAAGTAGGTATTAAATGTAATTTTATAGAAAAACATAATTTGTTCATGAAATAACATATTTAATGATCTACTTGAAATTCGTAATTAATTCTTCAATTGGTTTTTTTGCACGGTCCATTATGGTTAAATCTTTTTGAATTAAATACAATTATTAATGTTTAAACAACTGCATTTCTAAATAATTTTAACGGAATAGTAATAGAAATGAGTAAACATAAGTAATCATTAGGTATGTTCCGATTGCATTATTTGATAAGAAAGCCCAGTGCTTCCCAAACTGCGTAAACTATTAAATAGGCAATAAATAAGCACAAATGATTGAAGTGAAGCTAGCTAATGGGCGCTAAAAAGGAAATAGTAAGTAGTATTAACGTGTGAAGACAACATATTTTACATTAAACATTTTATACCAGATCACAAACAAAATTTATCTTTTGTAACTTAAAAGGCCAGATGTAAATTAAAATTATTAAAATTATTATATTTTTTTTCAGCAATATATAGACTATTTGTGCTCTTTGCTGCCAATATAAAACTTCTTCACTCGTCTCTATTATTTGCATGGTTTAGGTCCCCATACCAGTCTAGTCTTGACTCCTACATGTTTCTTCTGACTACATCTAACCACCGTTGCTTCGGTCGTGGTATTTTCTTGCTCGAGCGTATCACAATATTAGTGAAGTACTGCCTTAAAAATACTGTCGTTAGCTCTCCAGACGTGACCAACTGACTCCAGTTTGTGCTTTTTACGAATTGTACTACACTTTTTTTCCATATTATTGTTGTACCTGTTCGTTTGACCTTCTCTCCCACATTTCAGTATCAGGGTTATACCAGGTGATTCATTTAAATGGGTACATTCATTATCTTGGAAAGTATTAACTTTTTCTGAAATTTGTTTTCTAAAACATTTAAGAAACGAGCTTCTCTATAATTTTATATTTGTGTTATTTTGTCAACCTTATAAATTAAACACCTTCATGTATCCCTAGTACTCAAATTGGAAAAATAAAAGAAGGAATACACGACTCTGAACAAATTAGATGTCTTGGCAATAAATTAATAAAAACTAACCTTGGGAAGCTTTACTCCCCATAACTCTTTATACCAGTTTTTAAACATAATTCAGTGGTTAATAATTTACGAAAATAAAAATACTACTTAATAATACTATTGTAGGTTAAATTGTTGTTCACATATTCATATATTTATTTTAGAATCTACTAAGTACCTATGCTTTTTTCTGTCTCTGATAACGGTTTTTATTATATTCAATTTTTTTTTGGTTGTAATTCAGTGAAAAAAAAAGACGGACACACTTCGCACGTAGGTGGGCCACTGTTGTAGGTGAGAAGTTGGAGATGTAATAGAGGGGAAAATTAATGTATATTTGTACGCAACGATTAACCATCTTCTCATTTATTGGGAATACCCAGTCAAATTTCCTTTTAGAAAAAGTACTAGTGTTGTAAATCGGAGCAAAATTGCTAGTAGAAAAGTTGTCCACAGAAAAATATAAATAAATAAACATTATTGTAAAACCAATAGGTACATTAATGGCTTTACTCAGATTCTAAAAAAAAGATCATTTAACCGAATACTTATAGATATTATTTTACACACAAAGTGATTGTTTTTAACATGAATACCAGCAATTATCTCGGAGAATTTTAATTGAATTTGATTTCTGTTATTTTGCTTTATCATTGTACAATTTTTTAAGCTTTATTTTAAAATCAATTTTAATTTTTACCCCTACATTATATAGGTACTTTAAGTCTTTAAATAAATACATACTGTTGTTTTTCAAATTGGAACCCTCCTTATAAAACACAGGTTAGAATAGAGAGAATATTTTTTTAGAAAGACCTAACTGTTTGGTCAACAGCGGGCTCCAGACCCGGTAAACTCCTCATCCAAACCTGGGCGCAAATAACATTTGAGATTTGAGGGAGCTAAAGTCCTAATTACAAATCTTTGGAGGTTACAGAAGTGTATACCCCTCTTAATTTTTACTTGCTGCAATCGTTTTCAAATATTATACTTTTACCTAATTACTACAATATAACTGAATAATAAAAACTTAATAAACAAATGTACTATTTAAACTATAGTCTATATTCTATACTCTATATCAGTGATTCCCAAACTTTTTACCATTGTGGCACATTATTATTTAATATAAGTCGCGAAACACTATGGATAAATAAAGTCAATTTTTTAAATCTAAGTGATTTAGGATCAGATTTATTTATCATCTTTGCCTATTAACGAATATGAGTGGATGCGCAATCTTTTTGCAATAACATCAGATGCAATATTTAATCTGGGATTAATTGAACAAGAGCAACTTTTAGAATTTCAATCTGATTGTTCATTGAAATTAAAATTTAATGAACTTACTCTTCCAGTTTTGAAATTTTATTAAAATCGAATATCCTATAGTTATATAAATAGCAATAAATACGTTATTACCATTTTCTACAACGAACTTGAGTTTTTCGCCATAACTAATATCAAAAATAAAACACGTGAACGACTTTTATCAGTTAAACAAAAAATGAGAGTGTGTTTGTCGTCAATCCCTTCTCGAATTGAATTATTGTGCAAACAGCAGCAAGCGGACATTTCACATTAAAATTTGGAGGTATGATAATAAATCAATATTATTTTATTTGTACTCAAACTAGTTTTATTCCATTATATTTTATGTTTAATATATTTCCAAAAATTGTTTTTAATAAAATTGTATGATTATTTTATAATGATGTTTTAATAGAAAATAAATTTCTTTGGGAAACACTGCTTTATATAATAGTTAGCTATGTGCTCAGAAATCTTTATTATTATATAATATACATTAATGATGCATATTAGTATATTACACACACAGTGGCGTACCTAGAATTTTTTTTTTTTGGATTGGGGTTGAAAAAAAATGTAGCAAATTAAATTTATTTGCATTTTGTGTGCATTATAATCATACATTAAACATTTTATTACTATTTTATAGCGCTAATCATATAAAAGTTGAAATATTTAGTTATCTTTTTTAAAAATTATGTATGTATATTCATTTTTCGTTTTGATGTTTTAGCAAGTTCATCTATAACATCGTTGATATCCACGTTGATATTGCTATGAATATATTTTAGTAAGGCTAAACCATTTAAACGTATTCGTCCCGGAGAATTTTTCAAATATGTTTTAAAACGACGGACTGTTGAAAACGATTATTCTCCCGTGGCAATAGACACTGAAAGTGTTATGAATAGGGAACGGACTTTAATGCCATAAGAATAAGAGAAATGTCCTAAAAAAAATACGACTTAATGTGTTAAAAAAATGCACTAAAAAATGCCCTAAAAACATTAAATTTTTTTAAATTCAATAAAAACTATTTTGAACTTACAACTTTTAAAAAATACATTACTATGAACAATTTACCTAATAAAAAATATTTTCTGTAACTATACATATATATAAAAATATAATTAAATTATCTTCTTCATCTTATTATTCTTCATTTTCTTTTTACTCTGAAAATTATTTCCAAAAAACTAATAGGTACCTATACAATTTAGATGGGTATATTCGTTATACTTTTACCTTGTATTTCATAATAGTACTGTATAATCAGATGCTGCTTAATATTCTCAAACATAAATCTTCGACGGTTATCGGCCAGTGTTGTTTTGTATCTCGAGAAACTTCGTTTCACGTCAACTGACGTCATAGGTGCAAACTTTATATGAGCCATGTTATCAGCAGTTAGTTATTCAGATATTGTATTATTTCGAGATGTTGCTTTTCCTTCCAAAATATTTGAAATATGTTTCATTGTTTTAAATCCCAATTTTTTTTCAATTACAGCTTCTAATTTTTTTTTAATGGATTTTCCAATACTACTATTGTCTGTTCCAATTTCATTTTGTACTTGAGCAATAATATTAATTGCGTCAGCCAACGATAATGTAGATGTTTCTAACGTAGTAATGTATTTTGGTAAATTTCCATAATTTGCTTTGATAAATGTCAACTTAAGTTCTAAATTATTATCATTTAACAATTTTCGTGAATTCTTAATTGCTACAGCATTTTCTTTATCAAACTCCATCACAATTGATTTAATCAATGAATAATTTTCACAATAGTATATGGCTGCCGATAACCATGTAGCCGAACTAGTTAGTATTGGTTAAGGGGGCATTTGTATCCCTGGCGCCATTTCTTTGAATTTCAATACTCGAGATGGGCATTTCAAAAAAATCTTTTTTACGTTCGAAAAAAAAGTATCTATTTCAGGAAATTTTTTACGTATTTCATCAGCAACTCTATGTAGAGAATGTGCCAAACATGTAACGAGTTTCATTTTTGAGTAAATCGCTTTAATATTTTTTCCTACCTTCACCATATGAGGTGCTGCATCATTGAGAAATAGGAGTACATTATCGTGTTTTCGAATATTCATAACTTATGAATATTCGAAGAAGTTTAGATATTATTGGATAAACATCTGGATTAGTTTAGAAGTATATTTCAATAGCATTTTTGTTCTTGAGTTCGGAAGATGTTAAATTTGAATACTTAATGTAGCACAATTCTAATTCTCCGTTTAATATATGATCATTTAAATTTTAATCGTTATATTTATCAATTACTTGTATATATTGATATGTTTTTACTAATTGTATGAATTTACTTTTAATATATTCAGATATTTTCATTTCTATCTTAGGTGAAATACAATCAAAATTATTCAAAACAATCCTGTGTGATATAGATCTTTCGTTCAAGTGGTTTAAAAAATTATCTATAAAAGGTATGAATACCTAAAAAATATTCTGGATCATCTGATTTAGATTGATGTGACAAATTAACAGTAATATCAATTTTTTCACAGACAGTTATTACAGATAAAAGTAATTGTTGAAAATCTACATCACAATTTTCCCTAATATCCTGAATATTATTTTGAACATTAGCAGCTTCTAATGCAGTTTTAAAATCAAGATTTATGGTTTGAAAACTTATGGAAAGTATTTTTACTAAAATAGATAACGCTGTTTGAAATTTTAACTGTTTTAACGCAGTAAGAAGACGACTTGCAGAACTAGAAGTGTCAGAATCTGTCTAAAGTGTAATTTTATCGAATGTATGTAAAATGGCTGGTTGAAGTTCTTTAAGTAATATAACTGCATCATAGCGATCGACCTATCGAGTTGTACGTACATTTTTTAGTTTAAAACGATTATTTGTCTGTGGATATATTTCTTCTATTAACAGTTGGAAAGTAGTTAGTCTTTTTAGATAACCGAAAGCGTTAACCGATAACCATAGAGCTATCTATTATTGTAATATACATACTACACTATATTGGACTTGTATATTTTAAATTTTTATTATTTGTGTAAACTTTTAAGTGTAATAACACTTTATTCTTTTTATAAATTATTAGTATATTTTTTTTATTTTAAAAACATTTCGGGGGGGGGGGGGCCCAAACTCCCTGGATACACCACTGTACACACATAAATGGTAAGTTATCATTTTGTTTCACGGTGATAATTAATTGTTTCCATTTGTTCCGATATTTTGTTCCTTTCAAAAAAAAAAAAATAATAATAATAATAGGGGATTAAAAAACTATAAGTATATTGTTCTATGCGTGTTTAGGAGTATTCCATTTAGAAGAGGGTAGGGTTGGGTTGATTGAAAAATTTCCGTTCAAAAAATGTTGGTTTGTTTTTGACTAGAAAATTATATTACATCGTGAATTTAAACTATAAGTTGTTGGTTATGGGGGGGGGGGCTGGGTTTAAACTCCATGAACTCACGTCGCTCTTAGAGCACGTCCTTGGTACAGGATAGGTGTATTTGTGGGCCTAAGGCAATAGACATTTCAGGGCCCTCTCGCAAATAATCTTAAATTTTACCAATCTACAATTTAAAAAGAATAATTTTTTTTAAATAAAGTATTAACCATTTTATGGATTCTTTTATTCATAGGATACTTTAGTTTTGAGAAAAATAAACCTATCTAAGCTCCAATAACTAAGAAATATTAATAACAATTCAAACAATTATCCTTTATACTTTTCACATCACCTGAGAATTTATTGAGAACAATTAATGGTCTCTTCTGAGGGGATCAAAATGTCCCAAACACCCATAGAAATACTTCGGTATTACGTCTGGAAATATTCATTTCAACGGACGTAAGAAAAATAACAGAATAAATTTGAGGAGGGGGTCCCATTGAAATTTTCGGAGAGCTTAGCCCCCGAGACCCTTATACTGTTTTTACGATAATGGCTGAAATTAATAGAATTATCATCACAATAATAATAATAATCATAATAACGATAAAATAATACTACAATACGTATAACGTCGGAACGACGTCAGCGGACGACAGCCGCGCACCACGTGTGACTAGAGCAGCGTTGCAGCGGTTGCAACAGCGTACCTAACTTGAGCATAATAACAATAACAATAACATTATCATGATTATGGTTATTATTGTAACGCGACGCGCCGACATAATAATACGCGGACGTTGCGCACCGACGTACCGCTGGAACTGCGACGAGTACTCGCGTCCGCGCGCCTCTAAACTGGCGGGCACATCGCGCGGCCCGGACTACGGTGATTATGTGTGGTGGTAGGGTTGCTGCCACCGCCACCGTCGTCGCCGTCGTCGTCGTCGCCGCCCGTCGCCCGCCCGTCCGCGAGTTTTCGGATGGAAGGCGTGCGCGAAGATAAACCAACGTGCCGAGGCACCGGGACCCAACGCGCGGCAGTCACAATCGCGATATCGACTCGCACGCCGCGCTCGCCGCTCGTGACTCTTTGCCAATTTTTTTTTTTTCACATTTTTATTATTTATTATTTTTTATAATATCCGTTTCCGTTCCTTCCGTCGTACCCGCAAACGGGTACGCCGCACACTGTGTTTTCCCCGGTTCCCGACGCGTAATTTTTTTCCAAATTCCGTAACCCAACAGTTTTCAACTACCTATCGTAGGTACCCACCTATCTGTCTATGTAATAATTTATTTTGCGTAGTCTTTACGACAATCTACTATTCAATTGTGTTTTGTTTTTTTTTTTATCCCCGTAATTGTATTATGTGTTTAATGCTTGTATTGTCGTCGGATGCAGCAATGTAAACGCCTTGCCTACAACGATCGATTAATAATATAATATCGTTCATATCGGAATAAATGTGCGCACTCACCGTATACTAACCGATAGAATGGCTAGTTCGAAGCCTGATAACCATAGTAGTTATACGCCAAATATCGCGTGTCTAATCGTTGCCGGCGCGTTTTAATGATAACGTTTCCGAAACCGTTCGAGCCCGTCACCCGAGGAGTGTGAATAGTCCGTCCCCGACATCGAGGTTGGTATAATTTTTTATATTTATTTTTGAATAATCGTTACGGATAATAGGTGTAAATTGTTATAATAATTGCAGGCGGGATACCTGCTATATTATAACACGGCAATAGGATATCACGGGTGTATTACGATAGGTATACGTCTGTGTATAGGTACACGTATTCTGAAATAATAGGTAGGTGGTACCTTACGTGCACCTAATAACATTACGATATCGTATTTTTTTTTTTTTTTTTTTTTTTTTTGATTTTTTAATTAGGTACGTGGTTTTAAAATGCAATTTTAACGTTGTAATATTAAAGTTTGGTACCTGAAATCGCATATAGAGAAGGGAATAATAATTTTTCTGGTACAGACTCGTTTGTTATTAAATCGCCGGCGTCGTAAATTATGATAATGTTAATATTGTAAGTATTGTCGACCCTCAATCGTGTGTTTAAGGTTATTTCGTAGTATCGCTCGCCCCGATAATAGTATTAACAATAATATCGAAAACACGGTCTTAACAGCCGACCTTAACCAGCAGCTCGTTAGTTCTGTTGGTTTCAACAAAAAGCGTACGATTCGTTTATTTTTTTTTTTTCCCGTAGATTTTACGCTACGACACGGGCTACGTGAATTTCGACGGCGTGACTGGCGCGCGAGTAGGTACATAATATAATATTATTGTATTCGTTATCAAAAACGTACGATTTTTAATTTTTAAAAAATCAACGCAGTCAGGTTATATTATTATAATACTCGGCGGTGAGATACTGGGTGATAATGGACATTTCGCTCTGGTGCGGATCAGTAGAACACGTCGTTACATCGCATCACGAGCGTACAATTGTTGTATTGGACGTATCGTAGCTGGTATAATGGCCGGTCGGCGTGTCGCGTAATTATTAACATCACGTGCGCGTGCGAATGGTCAAAGGCCAAAGTGGTAATGCCTAATAAAAATCGTAAAGAGAAAAAAAAATCGTATTACGAGTCGTACGGCGGTCGTGATTTTTAGCAATTTTGCGCCGTCGTATTTCGGTTTCGTGTTATCCCGGCGTTAGGCGTGCTGCTGGCACCGCGCGGCGAACAATGCGGTTTCGTGGTAAGAGCCGGCACTCGCGCGCGCTCCCTCTCGTCGGCTATTATACGCGGGCAGCGCAATCGATTGCGCAAAATGCAACGCGCGAAAATTTCCCAAGGCGCGCGGGTCGGGTTTTTTTTTCGGTCAGCGGAACGGCGGCGCGGTAAAATTCGCCGCTTTTATCCCGGTAATAACATCGCCGGCTCGCGTGTGTGCTGTGCCCGCGGTTCTGAAACTGTTAACATAACCGTAATGTACGTTATAACAATGGTATTATGATAGGTCCGTAATGTTTTATAATAACTCGCGTTGCCGTGTACAAGGCATTACATGGTACTACCCGCAGGGGCGGCTCCGGAGAGGGGGTCACCAGGGGCCACGGCCCGTACCCCGAGCCGGTATTTTTCGGTAAAACAACTAGGTGTACAGAAAAAAAAAAAAAAATAATAATACATTGCCGACTACTGGCAGACACGTATAGCTAGAACTATCTGCAGGTTAGGTACGAGAAGCAAACATTTATATTATATAGAGGTATAGTTCGTAAGTTTGTGAGTTTGTTTGTAGGAAGCTGGGGCTGCTGAACAGATTTTGAAAATTCTGTCACCGGTATAAAGCTAAATTATTCCCGAGTGAGAAAGGCTATA